TAATGGTACTTTTATTAATGTTTAACCGATCGGCGATGCTATTTAGGTATGTTATATGTATACATATTTTCTGATGTTATTTTTTATAGTGATAAATCTTTCTAAACGCATCGACTTGAAAGTCTTTGAATTATTTTCACGCTTGTAAAAAGTAGAGAATGATAAATACATAATTATTGTTTCGGTGACATTGCTTATTGACGGACATTTGCATTAGGACTTGTACGGAATAGTTAAATCAGAAAGCGTGATTAAAGTTGTTTTTTGCTATATATACGATACCAATATGTGTTACCTATACATTCATAGGATGCTCGTGTTTGGTGTGTTGTGTTGTATGGTATGTTTGTGCTTGACTTAATTCATTGACGGTTACAATAAAATATCCTAATTTTATTAAAGACGACGGTCAGCTCACCAAAATTGGGCATGTACTTTTGATGTCTTGGTGAATAGTAGTCTTAAGTGATGTGCACTACAGCGTTTAATGGTCGCCTAATGATAAATCATACAAATTGTGAAATAACCAAAACTAATGTAATAATAAATACTTTAATGAAAAAATACTAAATTATATAGTTGGTACCAAAAGAGTACAAGTGTACATTTATTCTAAAAACTGAGATAATATAATATATAATAAATATTTTTTTATGTTATTTTCTATTCGTGTTTGTTTTTTTAACTATTCATACATTTTCGAAAGAAGTATAGAAAAAATGTAGTGAACATCGCCTATAAGAACACATTGAAAATGAAATTTACATTTTATTCTAAAGTAAAATCGTATAAAAATCATATTATACATCCTTTTGGATGTCACTACTTAAGTTGTAGTGCGGATTTGATTTGGGTTTATTTCAAAATGTTGACATGTATAGTTTTACAGTTAACCGTGTGGTAGGTTCTCGTCTTAGATCCGTTTCTATATCAACCCAGCTTGCGGAACTGCTTATAACGACCAGCCTGCTCAAATTATTCTTACTTAGTTACATAGTAGGAAGTATATTATGTTGAGCTATAGTAGTAAGAAAGTATATACAGTTTTTTTTGACAGATGTGTTTACGTGGGAACCGAAATTGACTGTACTTCCTCCCATAATGTCTGTTGCCAATAATATAACACGTTAAGGCTTAGTGTTTCTCTTATTATAAACTTTTAGTTATTTATCATATCGTCTTTTATACAGACAAAACTGTGAAGGATCTGAGCAATGTAGAGCAATTACTTTTCTTAGATGACGGTGGTATCCTTTTAACGTCAATATTGTACAGGACAGGAAAACAAGGAACATACCTTTATTAATGTGGACTCTGCAAACTTCATAATAATAATGATGTTCTTAAATGCCCGGACATTGGCGCGTTACGATGAGGGTCACTATATGAAAGCTAAGGGGAGGATAGAAAGATGGGGGGCAGTAAATCAAAAACCTGAGACAAGTAGAACAAATTAACGACGGCTCTTCGCCGTCGTTATGTGAGTTTAACGTCGCCGCCGTCGGGCCCTCCTTGTTTGGTAACCCGTCGGTTCATATATTCTTTTTTAACGGGACTTGGTCACTATATTATATTTTGCCGGCACGTCATTCAGCAATGTATACAACATATATTCGTTACAGGAAACAGCTGTGTAGATGAATGGCGGTTTGCATTTGGAATTGTACAGTTCAATCAAAACAAGTGCAAATAGAATGTGCCATTCGTATTCGCGGTTGAGTTTTCCTATGTCTTGTAAATAGTTAAAACTATAAGCCCCACATAATTTAGTTCAAACTTGAATTCGACATTACACTTACAATAGGGATTTTAAAATTATTTTACTCTAAATTGAATAGTTAAACCAAACATATAGGTTGCTATTTGACTATTAAACATTTAGGAGAGTCCTAAACAACCCTTAACAAACTTATTTTTAATTTGAATATATTAAAATGACAAAACTTATTTTATATGTTTTGGTAGGTATTCTTTAATATAATAAAGATTTGATTCAAACTTTTTGATTTTAATAAATTATAAATTCCATAAAATCGTCTTTTTGTTTTCTTAGAATTCTTCGCATTAAAATCTTATAACTGGGTGTTTCAGACGAGATTAAAAATCATGGGTGCTCCTAAAAATATTTATATTTAATGAAAAAACGCAAAGTTTTATGACTTGGTCTATTATATTTCGGCAGCTCAGTGTGGGTCACGTGTGCCCCAAATTATCTACTCCTTCATATTGTCTTCATGAATAGTCCGTTTATTTTTATACGTTTACGGTATAATGTTAGCGATAAACTACACTGTGACCTGTTTTTTTCTGAACTAAATCTCTCGTTTACCTTAATGCCAAGTATTCTTTTTTTGAATCTCACACGCACAAACACGGAACATGTGGCCCAGAGCCATTTTTATAGCATGCTAATATATTGTTTCTCTGACCACGTACGACGATAATATAACGCCTTATGATTGTTTCCAGCCAAAATTACTTTAATTCTGACAGATATGCTAAAACGGTCTTATTAATGGCCGCATTCCGTGATATGTGGAAATGGCTCAACCAATTTACAAAAAAAAAACAGGAAATCAGAAGCGGATATTGTTTTTTTCAATAACGAAGTTGAAATAAAAACCTACTGTATCTTCTCGTTATGAATATTAACTACATTTAGACAGTAAGGGGTACAGAATATTTTTTTTGTTGGGCGAAAAGTATTAAATTATATAAATTACTGGTTATACCTATTAACCAGAATTTTGCACAAACTGTATTATACTTGTATGTACTAACTATTGTATCGATATTGAAATTATTTTGTATAAACTTGTGAGCCAAAATATGATAAATGTAATCAAAAATTTTTCAGGACAACTTTTTAAACAAAAAAAAAAAACAGTTACAATACTTAAAGATATAAATTATGCCGTCAATTTCGCTGTTGATGACTATTTATTTACCTAATCGCATATTACTCTAATATTAAAATTTAGGATACGCGTATTTAAATGTCAAGTTCAATAATTATTGATAATAATGATCATTCTAACTCACCGACAGCTATAGCTTAACTAGTAAGGGTTTCTTCCATTCATCAGAGACCACTTGCATTTTATTTTATTTGGTTATCTGGTCAGGGCAGCATCACCGGTATTGGACAATTTCTGAAACCCAAACGCTTGTAGCGTTGATAACTTAAGTTCTTTGATCGGTCTTATTATTATTAATAAACGTCGCTGTAATAATGGATAACTTGCATCTGTTGTTCGAGTGTGACTATAATTAACTATGACGTATTCTCACGTCTGCGGTCTGGGCGGTGTCGTATAAATAATGAAATAAAAAACGTGTCGTTTTTCCTAAAATACCGAATCGTGCTTAATTTGCTCTTGATTAGCAGAAAACGAACATTAGAATAATAGTCACGATTTCTTGTAAACGTGTAAGAAAAATAACGAAGCTTGGCAACTTACCTACCGGTTTGTTATTATTCATTACAGTACTTTATGCGTCAGTAAGAGAAAAAATCATCTTTAAGCAACACATCTTTATATATTGGAAATATCATACTAAAAAATATATATTTTACTTGTAAATTTTATGAAAGTAACATCAAGTGTCGATACAACCGTTGAACAACTGTGGTACCTTATCCAATCGCAGTTTTTAAAATATTATTTATGCTGAAATTAAAAAAAAAAAAAAACGGAAAGAAGCATTCTTATACAAAGGGTCAAGGGTGAGAATACGTTAAAAATTAAATATAATTGAATAATATATTATTTTGAGATTGACTTAGGTCTAAAATTATGAATTCTAAGATTAGCTTAGGTTAGATTTGATCTAAATAACAAGTTATTTGAATAAAGTTCCATTCGAATGAAAATGTAATAAACTCTGGGCTGTATTTTTTATATATGATAAATAATAAAAATGTATAAGAAAACTAATGGTTTTTTTTTTTTTTTGTTAACTATTTTGCCTAAAAATTGTATATTCATAATAAATTTATGTGAGTCGTTCAGATATTACAGAATATATCGACCGACGAACATAAATTACATTCTTGGAAATTTAATCTGTATGGTCGAACGACAATAATGAAGAATGGTTTGATAAAATATTATCCGTGTCGTGTATTTTTATGTTCACATGTGGTGTATGGACCGAAGAATGTATAAAAAACTAAAACACATTTTGCTTCGTGAATCAAAACCATAAATAAAACTAGCGTTGGAATTAAAACTCTTCTATTGACTGCTATAGCTTAAGGCTAACAAAGTTGAATTGCATTTAAAATATAATTATGGAAAAAGTACACAAACTACAGGTTACAAAAATATTAAGCCGTCGGATATATTCTGAATGGTTTAGATAATATTATTCATAAAATTCAAAATTTGTTTATTTTTATTTTGAGAAATATACAGAAGTTATTTATCTAAAAAAAGTAGATTATGTTTAATAAATGTTTCTAATTAGTTGTATAAAATATCAGTGTCACAAATGGATAATTCAATAATTATCTTGACAAGATAAAAAATAAAAATATAAATAGGTGTATATACAAATATTATCTCATCGTTCAAATGATTTTCAAAAAGGAGCCGAAGAGGAGAATTTTGTACTACAAACGATAAAAATGTGTTTTAAAATAGTAAATTGATTTAAACTTATTAGTATTGTTTTTTTACTTTCTTGATTTAAAAAAACAAAGGATATATAGTAATTGGAGGGGAAAAAAATATTCATAATTTACAACTTTAGGCCGTTTTAGAATGGAAATGTTCCATACTGTAGATAGTGTTGTGAATATTTATTAGTTTTAAAATGAGATATTTATTTGTTTATAAATATATACTTAAGAATGATAAATGATGGTAAAAACGTGGTTTGAATGTCGAACGTAAATATACTAACGTAATTTGTATTGTTAATGTATGTCATAAATAAGTATTTAAAAAAAAATGCACAGTTTTTTTTTAAATCATAAATTTATTTGATTGTTACAGAGTCGAGACGTTTTGGAATTGAAGGTTTTGGAACTATGTCCAGAATTGACGTTACTCGGGGAGACGTTGGAGGAAGCGTTGAGCTTGCAAGCCGAACACGAACGAGTGTTAGAAAAAATTCAGGTCTCTATATAAAAATGCAATTACAATAATACAAGTTGTCTGATTGTTTACTGTGAAAGAAAACCAGACGTGTAGTGTTTAATTTTAGAATATGCGCCGTCGATAATATTGTACAAAAACCGGACATTGTGTGTGCTCTTGTCCATTAGTGAATGGCGCCAAATCGTTTCGAAACCTACATGGATCCTATTTAAATTGTTCTAATCCATTTGTCTGTGTGTATACTGTTAGTTATACTATTATCTACCGTCTATAACCATTAACTATTGATCGACCACCGTATATACGTTATAGTATTATGAGCTGTCACAATGTGAATGATTCGGTTTTTGACGATTATTTGTCGGCATTTGTTTGACCGTCCGACATAAACAAAGACGAACTATTAAAGTAATAACTAAAAATATTCAATAGTGATGTAATTATAATGCAACCTTCGTGTAGACCAGGATTAGATGCGATCTTAGCGGTATGTTGGTGGTTGAGACTGGATTTGACAATATATTTTGTAGACAGTAATAATTCTTTTCCAGTTAATGGTAAAAAAATGTAGTACATATACTTTGTACACATTTTTATCATTTTGATTTATAGCGACACTTCCCTTTTATAACCTCTTACACATGATATTATAATAAGTTTGTACAGTTATATAAAACGAAATTTATATTTTAAATAATACATGACTAGTTAGTAAATGTATACACATGTCATTTATAAAAATACAACACAATTAATCAACTCTGTCGATTAAATTATTTAATAGTTGATCTGTCTTGAGGTATTTTAGACCTAGGACAATAAAAAAAAACGGAGGTCTACAATCTACATTTCATCGAATTTTGAGAAAACAAATGTTTAATTCCAAACGATTGATGATAGTGTACAATACATGAAGAAATGTTAGATCATTGGATAAAAAAATATTTTAGGTATAAATAAAACGCTGTTACTGTTTTGGGTGGGCGTACAGACATTGTTTTATATTACAGTGACACTCCTTGAAGTGGCTTATAAATTATGATATTTTTCAAGTTTTTTGACATTCATTTCATGACTAAAATATATAGTAATTTTTTTTGAAAATATTTATTTATTTTAAACGTTTGTCAAAGTGTAAATGTGTCAATGTTGAAACTAAAAGTGCTTATGATTTATGAATAACCATTCATATCACTATCGTACCTCGTATTAGCTAATTTTGCTTTATACGCGCAATTAGACAAAGACGTCTTAAAACAAATTATAAGGCGTTTCTAACTACTGGAGATAAAAAATAGCCGGAACTCCGATCTCCTATATTAAAACTCAGGAAAATATTTTAAGGGCACAGGGGAAAAACGGTGTAGTAGTCACATTATAATTTTTTTTTTCAAACAGTTTTTTTCAATTTATGCCATTAATTTTTTTTTATTTCTGTCAATAGATTGTTTAAATAAATACATTTTTTATTAGAGTAGCATTTAATATGATTTTAAATGCGTTTTACCTAAACACATTTTTATGACCAATATTGCTCTTCACCATGTCCGGTTTTTTTAAATTACTCCTTGCTTCCCCTTTGAACGGTAGTTCTGATCTATTTTTTTCTATACCGCCGTTGCCATTTATTACAAATACTACAATAACCATGATTCTTTTAAATTACAAGTTCTACATAATATATTGTAAGGTTCAAAAACGACTCGTCAATATGTCCACTCTTTCACTATGTGATCTTTTTAAAATTGGTAGATTTATTTTCAAAACGTTAGTTGTTAACTAGTATAATTATTACTTTGAGATAAAAAAATGACATATCCATTTGAACATATACTTTCAAACGCGCACTAGACTCTTGTAGTGGCACCGAGCTAACACATATACATTCGAACTGCAACACCACGATCGCATTGGCTCTATATGCCCTTCGTAATGCTACTAACGGACGTACAAATAGTAATAATTAATGTTATTAACATTGTATTTATCGGTCGGTCTCATTAAAATATATTACGGTAATACGGTGTATTTTGTATCCGTACCATTTATGGCCGTAACCGGCTTCGCCATCGCAGCCTTGACTCGTCGTTTGTACTATATTACAATATGTACTCGTATACATACACATACACACAAACAAACTCGAGTACAATAATTTGCATACACACTTGTAGTAAAGCCAGGACGATTGTGAACATTAAGTAATAGTGTGTTCTCTTGTGATTTGTTTGCCTTGTGCATAGGAAAAGCAAAGTCCCGTCAGCGAACTGCTGAAGAAAGCCGACCATCTGATAGCCACGCAAAACACCCAACCCGAGGTGTACGCCGCCATGGCCGACTCCTTGGGGTTGGCCTGGAAGGACGTGAACGACATACTCCATAAACGCAGTTTACTGTTACACTTGAACGTCGAATACCACCGGTGAGTCGTTTGATTTCACAGTTTTATACCACCGTGTGTAATCAAAATAACAATTCTATTCCCCGTTCAAGGCAAGCCGAACTGTGCATGGAACGCATCAGGGCGCTGGAAATGCTCTGTCACAGTTATCTACCGACCGAAGTGGAAGCGATCAAAAATCACCTCGATCAAATTCACGAAGTCCGCAAGTCAGTTTTGGAATCGTTAATGGTAGCTCTGGGCAACGGCACTCAACTGCTGGACTTTTTGAAGGAGATTCACGTCAAAGGGACCCTGGATTCCAGACCGGGTTATAATCAACACTCTACGTCACTAGGTTCGAGATTTATTATTTTTTTCTTACTCGTTAAACTAACAATCAGATGTATGTGGGCATTGATATACGATAAGACATTTTGATACATCTCTAAATCATGATCTTCACAAAAACATCTTGGTACAACTTGATGTACTTATAAATTGTATTTTCAGTGATCTCTTCCTACATTTTACGTTTTCCCACACAGTCAAAACTATAGTTTTAATGCTCCGTATGTTGATGTTATGTAACTCATTAGATGATATATATACCCAGGTAGAAGAAATTCTATAAGTTATTTTGAGCTATTTTAGTAAATTTTGTTATTTTCCATTCTGGACATTGGGATTGGTCTATTTTTTATTATATTTTTTTTGATAATTTTTGTTATTTGTAATCATCAGTTTTGTAATGTATTTCATTGTACCCTGTACCCTTTGGGCGTAAATTATTAAAAAAAAATAATAATATTTAGGAATAATTTAATACAACCGGAAGGGTCCCCACGTGGTTATAAAATATAGACAAATTTTTAAAATTAAATTTCGATCATGTCAACTATTTTAAGGTTAATTTGGGGTTTTTACGACCTACCTTTTTTAATAAACATAAATGTATTTAAATTTATAACATCTTAAGGAAGTATATGATATGGAGTTTGAGTTGACATTATATTTATAGGGATTTATTTTTAGAGAGAGAGAACATAAACAGAACATTCTAACAAAAATGGTAATTTATGAAATGCCAAAAAACCTGTTATGTTGATTACTTTATAAGCTTAGTAACGAACTTAAAACACGAATTAATACAAATAGAAAATAAAAATATGTGTATATAGTTCTGTAATATTTAATAAAAAGTAAATTATCTAGTTTTTATTTAATTTTATTTTTGATAAATAAAAAGAAGTCCAGAATAATTAAGGCTACGAAAACTCTAGACAAATTTGTTTGATCACTAAATCCTACTCGAGTTCACTAACGATTTATAAAAATCTTAAAAATAATGTTAAATGTGTCAGTAGCATTAACAAGTAACTCGATTTTTTAACTATGACGTATTTTTTTGTTCTAGCTATATCTCAAGTGGAACACTGGTTGGAGAAACTCCACGATAACCGTCATTCGATCGACGTCGATTGTCACGAGCGTAAAACAATGCTCGAAAAACGTCTGACCATATCTTTACTAGTCACTGATTTGAATTTGCTCGAGAATATTATTTCGGAAAGACAGAGTTCTTTAGAAAAAGTCAGAAATTCTCTCGGCGATTCCCAGTACGAATGTTCCAAGTTAACGGAAGTCAATGAAAATTTAATCGTAGAAGCCAAAGATATTAGGGACCAAGCTTTGAGGGTAGTAAAAGCTACTGAACAGCTCCAGTTGGCCAAAGGTTACATGGAAGAAGATTACAAGTTCAAAGCGTACAAGCTGCTGGAAATGGCGACGGAATATTTGGAAGAACTCAGTCTCAGAGAACGGCTTTTGGACACGGCAATGAAATTCTTCGAATCCGCCGAAAAAGTAATGACATGTTTTCTATAGTTATACTAAACTTGAGTACAAAGAAAGAGGCAAATTGAACATTACTTAACTGTTTAAAATTAAAAAAGTGTCTATCCAACCTAAAATAAAAACCACGGTTAAATAACGAAAATTGTAATGTACGATTAAACAAATTACGGCCTTTTCTGAGTTTTCTTATATTATTTTTTCATTGGTTTGCTTACTGTACTTGTGTTATCTAAGTATTTATTCGAAATCTTATCTAATAACTGAAGTATATTGATGAAGAATTCGTTTTTTTTCTGCATAGCTTCTACGGGCATGGGACACTATACTTCAACATTCGTCCGATGAAAATGTATCGTCTAAGACTACGTATGTAACTGAAACCGTGAAGCGAACCGGCGCTTCTGTCATTCAAGAAGGGAATTTATTACTTAGAGAAGTACCTAAAGCAGAGGTAAGTACAACAGTAGGTATAGTTTTGCTAGCAGTTCGGTGTATTTGTAATAGCATTGGTTTTTTAGGGAGTTAAAAGAGTAGTGGACGAATTAGAAAGGAAAAAACAACTGATACTATCTATCGTTATGAAAGATCATGATAAGTATTTGGAATCTTCCGAAGCGGTTACCACGTTCTCGGAAAATTACAACAAAGTAAGTGCAATTCGGATTGTTGTCGAACCGTTATTTGTTTATACGTCAGTTGCATAGCTTCACGGTTGATTATAGTATATATAATAACTATTTGTTTTATTTGTTATTGTTTTTAAGCCCGTTATTGAGATCGGATAGCTCAATATTAGCATCCATACTGCTGAGTGAACCTAATAATTAATTTAAAAACAATATAATATTTGCATCATAATAGAGCCGGGTGGGGCAAACGTAAAAGATTTATGTTTTATTTCTATAGAAATTCAAAAGTACTTGTTTATTTATTAATCTTTGTACCATATCACACGATTAAAAACTTACTTTCGAATTTTAAATTTGACGATTATTTTCATAAAACTATTTTTTTTATTTATATTTGGCACCTTCGTTTGTGCTTATCTTGTTATTTACTTACTTTTTTATAGTTGTTCAAAAATTTCACTAAATGTAATTCTATTAATGTTATGATACGTACCAACTAAAGTGTACTATAAACAAAATATTAGTTTTTAATAGGGAAATTTTTCATAGTACCTACATAAGTAACATTTTGTAAACACTATTTTTGACACATATAAACAACTATTTTTGACAGTTCGGCCAAAAGATTATTTTAAAAACATTTACAGCATTTTTGAAAACAACATTTTTTCTGTTGTATAGGAGGTTACAAAACGTCATGAAAAATTTGAATTAACAATATCAAATAGCTTTTTATTAATTTTACTTCGCGCGTTTGTTGTTGTTGCGATTGGTTGTATACAATAAGTAGAGTTTCGTAATAAAAACTCGACAAATAATAGTTTGTGTAAGGCTCATACAAGTTTTGTAACGTACTAGTAGTAATACATTTATGTAATACTTATTGTTATTATTATTAATTGTTTTTAGATCTTTTCATGGCTGGTGAGTTCCGCCGAATCGTTTATGCACGAACACAATTATATGGGTACAAATTTAAAAGAGACTAGAGAATTTTTGGACTTACATAAATCACTGCAAATGGAATTAAGAGTGAGTCGCGAATTCGTTTATATTTTTATCTTGTGTAACTATTCTATTAACAACAACACACTTTTTATGTACTGAGCAAAGCTGTTAATATTTTGTACCTGTGCGTTTTCAAAATTGTAATTTAAACCAACGATTTTAAAATAATGAGTTATTTTCAATAAATTTGATTTTAGCACATCAAATAATATTTTATTATTTTATTATTTCACTGTTTAAAATACCTGTTGTATTAAATACTTTTGTAATAAAAATGTTGAACTTTTAATTTAATTATCTCTTAAAAATAACAAAATATTTAGAGTTAAATTTTAAATATTAATTTAAATAATTGTAAAGAACGACATTAATCATCTTATTGTTAAAAATATACTCATAAAACTCAAAACATACTATTTCTGAAAAATTTAAAGTTTATTTTACTAAAAGTTTGTCTTACATAGTTTAATGAATTGTCAATTGGACGGTATTTATCAGGAGAAAACCAGACCAAAAAATTATTAAAATGGAGTTAAAAACAGTTTTGAATGGAACTATTGCCAGAATATACTTAATGGTGGTAATTGTGCGAAATAAAATAAAGTCTGTGAAAAGAAAAGAAAGAATTTCATCTCAATTCACTCGGATTAAGTTGCATGGTTCCCTGATAAATGCCGTCTAACCGATACATATTTTTTAATGAGATTCTATAAAATTATATTGTTAGTTATTAATAATGTTTGTTTGTTTTGTTTTGACACGTTTCATAGACCAGAGGAATTGACATTAACGCTTTGGTGAGTTCTACCAATTTACCGCCGCTGACGTACATCGACGCAGACTCGAGAGTCGAATTGGAAAGTAAATCAACCGCCTTAAAGGACCATTGGACCTACTTGGACAGGATACTGAGCTGGAGGGTTCAATTGGCAGAGTTGTTCGTCAAGTTTTATTTGGCCGCCGAAACCCTAGACGTGGAGTTTTCCAAAATGGACGAGGTTGTCACGCAACCTAAGGTTTCCAATCAAGGTTTGGACGCAGGGCATAAACTCTGGACTAGTATCAATCAATTGTACGTACAGCTGAAGAACACCGGAGAGAAGTGTTTACATCAAAGCTCACAAGTGAGTGAAATCCGAAAGAAAATGCTAAATCCTATCTAGCAATAGTGGAAATGGGTTTTTTAAAAGGGGCACATATAGGCAAACTTTATACACACGTGCATAAGCTGTTGTGTGCCTAAACGCCTTGTAGTTTACTAATAGTATGATACTAATATTGCGGCGCTGCGTTTAGAAGCCAAGCCATACATACGTGGTTGTCTTGTGTACATGACGGATAACTTTGACGTTTTTTAAAAATATATTCTTCCATGAGACATAGGTACAGGCATTAAATTAAGCTATCTATGTAACGAATCAGATACTGGAATTCGGAGGTAGGCGCAAGATAAGACAGTAGATATTGGAAAAAATAATATTATATCATGCTGTGGTTTTTATTTGTTAACCCAAAATTAATGATTATTAGGATGGTTTTGATTCTGTTCTGATCCTTTCAAAACTTTAAAGTAAGATTAGGTCCGGATTAATATATTTTTCAATCGTTTAATATAATATAATATGTTTAAAGTTGTCACGCACCTTATTTACTAATTTATATACAGAAAAACACCATGAACTTCAATAGTTTTATATCGTAATAATATTAACTATTCTAAAACAAGTACATGCAATAATTATTTTTTTCAACTTGATATTACATATCTAATTAGTTTTAACATAATGTGAAATATTTTTTCATTCGATTCTGTCGTTTGTAGTTGAATATCTTGATGATTTCAGTTATCAAAAAAATCAATTATTAGTTTTAAATTCAAAATGCCTTATTCTTATTCAGATTAGGTCATTTTGTATAAGGACAGCCAAATATAAAATGAAACATAAACAGACAAATATTAAACAGAGATATTTTAAGGAGACAATTTCTTGACTTTTTGATTGTCATAATCCTTTTAGCAGAATGCCGGGGGATTGGGTTACTAATGTTCTCTTATTGCTTCAAACGGCCGATCGATTGATATTAGATAAATTGTTGGTAGTTTTCCAAGTTAAAAAACAAACTACGATGGTTCTTGTGTCCTCGGGTACAATTATGACAATTTTACGGGTAGTCCAATGTGTTAAAATCTTAAATAGTATACTATAAATAACAAAATGGCTTTTAACCAATTCGTAATAATTGAAATACACAGAAAAGTTATAGCTGTTTTTTTAGGGTTGTAGACACAAGAAAAATAGTAAAACCGGCTCGATTCATTTTCCACGATGAGACGATGCGTTTGGACGATTTTGATAATGATATTTTTTTCGTGGGTAGGTCACGGTTTTTGACGGTTTCAGTGGAAAAATCAAAGTAAAACTCACACACTGTTACTCGACCGAAGCAGTTGTTTCGCTGGCTTACAATAATAATTAGAATGAAGGTTTGGTAGGGTCTTGTATGCACACATTTTGACCGGTAAGATTTAAAAATAATTCCTGATAAAAAATATTGTTTTTCGCTCCAATCACAAAGTCTTTTGGCAGTGTCCGGTAAAATAAAAAAATAACAAATTCGTACAATCTTGAAAATTGGCCAACGCCGGTTAGGACAGAAGTTGACTAATTATTGTGCTTACGACGGTTTGGTCCATCTCCTCCGCCGTCACAGTAATAAACGTGTATTGTGTACAAAACGGCTTTGACCGTTAAGGATCAGTTTCTACCGGAATCGAGTTGGACAGTTTTTATTTTTGTCCAGACATAACGACGGCGGCTGCGTCTGCGGAACACCGTAGCCTCAACAGAAACGCACACAACTACTATAATTTTATATACAGGGTGTGTGCTGAATAGAGAACCTTAAAACATCAACACGGGGCTTGTAAACCATAAATAATAATCACTCCACGAAGATAATATGACCACAATTATATTTATGATATTAGGCGAGATTTAAATTTTAACGTGAAAAAAATTGACTAGTAAATAGTTGGCTTCATATTCTAAAAAAAGAATAGAATAGATTTTCCCATTATTGTGGGTGAAAGTGTTAAGGATATTATTTTAGTGACATGTCTAAAGTACTCCCCAAACAAATTCGGAAGTAATTTGACTATTTTCCAAAAAGTGTCATGTTTTCAATTTAAAACAAAAATTGTCTTTGTTACAAATCTACAATTGTGTAAAAAAATGTATAAAACACATAATCTTTAACATAAAATCAACAAAATATAAAGTATACACAAATCACTAATCTTCTATGAAATACTACACTATACAACGAAATTTGACCTTTTTTTTTTTTGATGAAATTAAATTTTAATTCTGGTCAGAATTAATCTAGCGCGTATAATTATTTTTTAAATATAAACAGTTTACAAAATAAATATAATTTATTTCTAATTTTCTTTTGATTATAAAATAAACTAAAAATTATAAATAATTTTAAGCTAAATCTAAATGGATAAAATAAAATAGAATAAAATCTTTATTTGAAATAAATTAAAAAAAATACTTAATTGTATATATAACGTTGAAATACCTAAAACTGGTGGTTTTCTCAAGTTGGAAGTCTATTATATAAATAAATAATTAGACATGCTGGAACTATTCTGAGTACAGATAAGAATAAAACCAAAAAAAAAAAAAATAGATCAATTTTGATACTTGCTCCAAAATTGTGTTGTACAGTGTTATTTAACAACTTACTGGAAGCGTTGACTTGATTGACCAGATATGGGTAAACTGTACACGGGAGATAAGTTTTGAGGATTAATCCGGAACCACGCTGTGTATGTGTTAAGCGTACATGTTTAGGATTTCGACAATCTGTCTGGGGATGGCATATGTTTAGGTGTTTGGATTATCGTCGTAGACTATTAGAGGCTGTCGGTGATTACGGTCTTCGCCCTTCGACGTCGTTGTTTCTTGGTCAATCAACCCAAAGGGGAGAGGATTTTTTTTTTTAATTTTAATATAATAATAAACATCTCCTGTACTCGTGTTATATTTTCGACATTTTGGGCTTTTAATTAGTGGTGGGCTGTGGTAGTGGTGGTGGGGGGGGGGGTCTCTGTCGCTGGCACCGGTCCTAAAATCGGAAGGGACGCCTCGGCATCGCCATCGTGTTAATACGGCGACTGCTGTTGTTTGTTACAGTCGGAAGACGTTCAACTGGAGCTGGACGTGGCAAGAGAACGAGTGCGGTCGGTGCTCGATTTGTTTGCGGATAGGAAAACCAGCATCACTTCCGTTTGGGAGTCTTGGCAGCGGACGTCGGCCGAAAACGAATCGGACAGAGTGCTCTGGAAAGAAACCATGTGCGAGAGCAGCAAGGTGAGTAAAAAAAAAAACCCTAAACGCCTGATTTATCATTAAACGTCATAAAAACAAATCTAAAAAATATCTTCAATCAAAGTACCTTTGAAGGAGAAAAAGGAGTGTGAGGAAATACACGCATTAAAATATTTATTTTGGTATGCATTGGAATAAAATAGGTGTACTCATAAAATAAGTTTGAAAAACAGTTAATAAATATTTTATTGTTCTTTTCAACGGTGCATCGTAATAGAGCACATAATTTTAGTATTTGTCTGTAAACTGGCTTCTTATTTATGTTGTTTTTTTCAGTGGCTTAATTTAAGTTTTTGTTTTTGGGGTGTGAGATGTTGTGTAAGCTAACTATCACTATATTACCCTAGTTCAATAACGACTTACAAATTGTCTGCCACCCTTAATAATTTTTATTAATTTCATAGTTTTATATTTTTTATAGTAAATTTAAAAAATAACCTATTTACTTATATTTATACTGGTGTGGCAGATCCGGACAAATATTTCTTACCGGGTCGTTTATAATGTACGATTTCCTCTTCCCTGTACTTTTTTTAATTAAATTACTGGTTTCTTAGGTTTTATCATGTGTGCTTTTAACTGATCACTATAATGCCATACAATAAATAAAGTAGACCACTGGATGGAGATGGCTTACATTTTGAAATAACCGCATACATATTTAAAGTTATAATTCGTTTTTTAAAATGATTCAAATATCAAACTTGAATCATCGGTTACTTTTTAATATTTAACATCGAAATTATATTATTATTTTATGTTTACACTTTTTATGTATCGTATTGTTTATTGAATAAATAAATGTTCTTATTTCGTCGGTTTTATCAATTATACGATAACATTTTATTTAACCCTTTGAGTCACACATTAGTTTTGTTTTTATTTTTTCAAATTATTTTGATGGTGGTTTTAATAAGATTCTACAATTCACAATAGCAAAAAAAATATTTAAAAGGTGGTTTCAATATAATACCACTATGACTCAAGGGGTTAATGAGCGTTTTATTTTTCATTAAAGAAAAAAAACAAGTTTTAAAATATCGTAATCGCTCGAAAAACAGTAATTAAGAAGAACTTTTATAACCTTGGTCGAAACCCTTAAAACTTTTAAATATAAACATGTTTTATGACTAGGTGGATTGATGCCAAAATCAATGTACCAAGTAGTCTTTACGCGTCATGTACTGTCATGTTATAAAATTAATAACCCACTTTTGAGCGAAAATATAATATTATGAAGAAAATAAAAATTATTTTTATTTCGGGAACCCAGGAGAGTAATAATTGTAATTTTTATCTTTTTTTCCAGACTGTGGATTGGGTTTCCAAATTGGACGCTCAGCTGTATCCCATTTTGAAAAGCGAACCTTCGACCGTAGACCGACACATTTCGGAGGTGGAAAACAAATTAAACAATATCTTACCGGAAGTGAAACGGGCCCAAAATGAAATCGAAACTAGAATTACGACGGCCGAAGAACTCATTGGAAAAGGTACGACCAAAAATAGTGTTGCTCTTAAAGCAGACCGTTTCATGCTGAATTGTTGTTTAGGAAATATACAGGGTGAACATATTTCCATTCCACCGAGATTAAAGGAACTCCATAGTCGTCTAGTCGGCATCACAACGGAATACCAAAACCTGTTGGACATGTTTTTGTCGTTTTTCAATTCTCTACGCGAGGTATGTAGGATGTCACTAAGGTATTTTGAAATTAGTCAAAAGACAACTGTCTTTACTATTGAGTATCATACAATCGTTGAAAGATTTGGAAACTTAAAAAGTGTGCTCAAAACTAAATCAAAGCGGTGTATGTATTTGTGTTGTAAACAAGTAATTCAATGCGGAGACCCAGTAAAATGTATGCTCGTGCCAAATAATGTATAAATACTGTACATTATTTTATGTTTTTTACAGTTTCATAAAACGGTGAAAGACGCCGAACAATGTAGACCGACCGATATTTGCAACCTCAAGTTGGACGAGGTCGAAGAATTACTCAGAAAACACAACAAGTCCAGACAGATCGTATTGGATAGCTTTAAAACTGTTTACGCCGAAAATATCAGACTGATGGATAAAATCAAGCAACAGGTAAACGGTTTGAAACGTTTTGTGTAAAATATATAACAGTTCTAATTGCCGGAAAATGTCACTCGGTGATTGACGTTTGAATTGATTTAGGAACCTCAGAAATCCGCTGAACAAGATATGTACGTGGTACGGTGTTTAATGGAAAACGAAAGAAACGTTTGGGATCAGTCGTGCGAAATGTACTGCCAAAAAATCGAACAACAGCAACAGCTGAGTCAATTTGACAACGACTTAATTCAGATTAACAACAATTTAAACGATCTGTCACAACAGTTAGCTTCCACTCGAGGACAGTACGGTTCGAATTTAGCATCCGCCAAATCTGCTTCGTTGGCCTTCCATTATTTCGAAAAGACAATCCTTGTAAGTCTTTTTTATAATTTTATAAAAATAATGTTATATTGAACTAAAAATAGGTTTTCATCAAATACTTTTTATTTGGATACATATCTACGTAGGTATTGTATTTTATAAGAATTTTTAATGACTTTTGAATAAATTGCTTTTTGTTAAAATCCGCATTTTTGTGTTCCCGTATTTATTGAGTATACAAAATATAACATACGCCGTTACAGTATTTATCATTACTATGATGAATGTGTTTGTTTATTCAGCTTTTAGAACAGCGAATCGAAACTTTTATCACCGCTGCGAATTCGTTGATGAGTTTTGATCACGCCAAGTCTGAACACATAAAAGAAGAGCTAAATAAATTGAAAAGCAGGTGGGATACATTCCAAGCGCAAGTGGCAGAAAGTAGAATTCATATAGACCTATGTGTGCAGTATTTTACACTTATAGAAGAAGTCAGTCATTTAGACACTAAAAATAAAAAAATTAAATAAGTAATTATTACTATAATATTTTTTATTTATTGTTCCAACAGGCTCAGCAATGGTTTCATGAGGGAAGCAAAGTGCTCATGAACATCGCTCAAAAATCAACTGAAGTCAAAACGAGAGAAGAAGCCACAGTCTTGTTAAATGAGATCGATATTTTTTTGAAGCCGGGCGACAAAAAACAGGAAGACAGAATAAATAAAATCGACACATTGGGAGCACAACTTTACGGAAAACAGACTGGTTCTGAAACGCCTCGCGTAGTTACTGAAAACAAGGAGCTCTTAGATTCATTTTCGTTGCTTTCTAAGGAACTCAAGTCGTTTGACGAACAACTGAAGTCGAGAGAAAATGCCGAAGAAAACACTAGCGACGTCAACCGAATAATAACTAACACATACGAAGAAATAATGACTTCGACCGCGGTTAAAAATGTAAAACCAAATGTTTGCAATATTTAATTTTGTGTTTTTACTATGTGTTTTTTTTTCTATAGAATATAACGTCGGAAGACGACAATGCGACGTCAAAAAAAATAAAACTCGATGAAACTATCAAACCAAAACCTCAAATCATCGCGCCCCTGCACGACAATACAGTCGAAGAGGGTAAAAAGTTCACCTTCGAGTGCGGGTAAAACATAAATTAACAAAAAAAATAAGTTTATTTTACAATCAACATATGGTTTTTTTTTTGTATTATTTATTAGCGTGGACGGCGAACCTTCAAAAGTCACTTGGTACAAAGACGGCATATCGATTGAAAACAACCCAGATTATAGGACCACCAAAGTAGACAATCGGTATGTACTGACAATCGAAGAAACGTTTGTAGAGGATTCGGCTAGTTTCACTTGTCGAGCTGAAAACGATTCCGGGTTTAGCGAAACCAGTGCATATCTCTCGGTCAAAGGTAGAGTTGCATTGATAAATTGATTTCACATTGTGTAGAAACCGCTTTAGTTAAGTTCGAAATGCGTAAGTTGTGTTGACTTATTCAACTATTTTCTGTGCAGAGTGCGAACCCGAAAACCAAATCAGTCCGTCGGTTTTTACCAAATTGTTATCGGATGTTGTGGTAAAAGAAGGCCAACCGTGTTCGCTGTCTTGCAAGGCCGAGGGAAATCCACTTCCGACCGTCCAATGGTACAAAGACGACGTGTGCGTTGAAAACAATCCTCAGTACTTAATTACATACAACAACGGTGACGCGTTGCTTGAAATCGAGCACGCACAGAAGTACAATAAGGGCAAGTATATTTGCGTGGCCACCAATAAACTCGGTTCGGATTCTACTTCGTCTAAGCTGTTCGTTGATGGTCAGTAAATACACGGATTAATAACTAAAAGTATATGTAAAACTTCACATTTGGTTTACAGCCTTAGAAAAACCACAAGACGTACCCAAGTTTATCGTGCCCTTGTCGAACATCATGGCCAGAGCCGGTCAAAAGTTAAAATTCGAGTGTGAAGTCGAAACGAACGAGCCACCGACGTTAATATGGTTACACGACGGAAGAATTATGAAAGAAATCAAAAACTTTAAGGTAAGTTCACACGGAAATCCATAGTTCTTATGTTAACCACAAACTTTCGTTTTTTTGAGTTGTGTTTAAACAAACTTTTTTTTTTAGACTACTGAAAATCGTGGGAAAATAAATTTAATCATACCGGAAGCGTACCCCAAAGACGCGGGTACTTACACTCTTAAAATTAAAACGCAACACGGAGAGGCGTCAAGTTCTTGTCAGGTGTCGGTCAAAGGTATATTGCCGAACGAGACTTCGGATACCGAAATTGTCAACGACATGGACCCGGTAAAACCGTCTATTCCGTTACCTTTGAAAGAGCAAACTATCGAAGAAGGAAGCAGCGCCCACTTAAAATGTGTGATAGTCGGTCAACCGGAGCCCGAGGTTAAAACTAATAACGTTTTTTGTTTTTATAAATTTGTACTTTGTGCGTACAGAGGCCAAATCTAATTTTTTTGCCATCTCCATTTTTATCAAAAGTTGGTTTTTACGAAAAAATTTTAACGTTTGGTGCGTCAAATAGTAAAATACTTACAAAGATTAAATAAAACACATTTTTTCTCGCCTATTACCAAGTGGTAAATGAGACAGTTTTGTTTTGACCGTCCAGAACAATTTTAAAAAATGGAGATAGCGGGTTATTGCACCGGATCTATTATTATCGTAAAAAGTAGCAGGTGTATTAACGTCTGAATTTTGTATGTAGGTAATTTGGTACCATAACGGTAGGCCCGTGAAAGAATCTAAAGACATTCAACTATTATTCCAAGGCGATCAATGTTCTTTGGTGATTAAAGAAGCCTTTACCGACGATGCCGGTGATTATAAAGTAGTGGCCATTAATTCGGCCGGAGAGGCTAGCAGCGTTTGCACGTTGAAAATAAATCCTAAACCAGGTTAATTTTGCTTATTGACAATATTAAAAAAAAACAATGATTGTGGAAGTATTAATCATTTATTTATACAATCAGTGCCGGAAATAGACGAACTTATCGTCGCACCGAAGTTCACCAAGTTACTGTCGGACGTGCTGGTGCGTGAAGGAGACTCGATAACTCTAGAGTGCATAGCCGACGGTTGCCCGAAGCCGGAATTCAAATGGGTCCGAAATACCGTTGAAATTACACCGGACCAAAGGATATCGGTAATTGATTAAAATCTAACCTTCTGGCATTATCTGTCAGTCGTACAAAAAAAAAAATTGTCACGTTTCAGTTGAGATCGGACGAAGACGGTACGGCTGTTCTTCATATCCCTAGCGCGTTACCCGCGGACAAAGGTCAATACACTGTGAGAGCCGTTAACAAAGGTGGAGAGGCCAAGTGCTTTTCTCACGTGATCGTAAAGGCCATGTCGTCGTTTGATATCGCCAACGTCGGCGTCACGGACGGAGTTAAACACGAAGATAAATTGGAAAAACCAGTATTTACCGAGACGTTTGGCGATGCGACGGTTCTACCTGGTGAATTCGTCAAATTCGAATGTATCGTTGTCGGTAAACCTACACCAAAGGTAAGACGGTATTAGCAATTGGATTTTGTTGATCAAGACTGAACGATAATTATGAAAAATAGGTCCGGTGGTTTTTCAACGAAAAACCGGTAAGCGGCAAATCCTTTTTGGTGTCGACCAGCGGCGACCGACAGGTACTGACGGTTCCCGAAGCAGAAACAAGTCAAGCCGGGATAATTGAATGTGTGGCCGAAAACGAAGCTGGCAAATGTAGCTGTGCGTGTCAATTAAATATTAAAGGTACGCGAGATGAAATTATTTAAACTAAACCGTACGCGGTAATCGTATGTGTCTTAATGATGTTATTTTTCTCCCCTACACACTGTTTAAAAACACCTAAGACATGCATCGGGCTTAAAGATTATATATGTATATATTATACACATACACTATTCTTGTCACAGCGTAAGACGAATGAAGTCTGAGTAACGGTGTTCTAAAAATATACGTTTTAGTAGCGTTCATTTACACTGAACGCATTCCCATTGTATAACTAGCGACGTGCGCGGTACCATCTTTATATGCATCTCTCATCAGACGAATAAAAATATTTTTGTTTTTCACTCTACCTAAGGATAACACGGCTGTAACTTGTATATTAATATTGTAATTTTTTGTTCGCTTAAGAAACCAAAATCGTCCCGTTCGCCATGGCTAACAACAACAACGCCGCCGATTATAAGCCTATCGTTTCGTCCGACTGTTTTGAAAGTAGTTCGAAGTTCGAGTCAAAGCGATCCGTGTTCACGTCGTCCTCGTCGACGTCTGTTGGAGATGGTGCACCGAAATTCAAAATCGACTCACTCAATACACAATCAGAAAAACAGAGCCATCAGTTTGGAAACAACGCTCCTGTACAGGTTAGGATTCGTTCAATAGCCATTAATGCATGGTAATCTGAAGGGTGCTGTCTTTAGGGCATAAAAACATGTCATATAATATTTTAAATTGAATAGCTAAAAGTATAGATGTTTTCAATTTAATATTAATCAAATTTTAAAAATAAATTTCCCTTAAGTGGTAGAGTGGTTGCCGGTTAGGGTCATTTCCTTTGTAGTGTTAAGTATCAGTTATTCGATATTAACTTGTATACGACGTTTGTGTAGTTTGAAGCTTTGCGATCCGAAGAATATCATAACGTTAATGGTCAAAAGAGTCAACACGTTATCGATCACAGTTCGGCCAATGGCGCTGAAGGACGACAGACTTCGTTCTACGAAAGGAGTTTAATGAACCAAGAGCTCAGAAAAGACAACTCACAAACGTCGCTTGCGGAAAGAAACATTGTGAAACAAGTGCGAAAACCAACTGCACCTCGCTTCGTGTCGGCCCCACAAGGTAAAATCGCAGAGCAGGGTGACGACGTATTTTTGGAAGCTATTATCGATAGTTATCCGCCGTCCGATATCACTTGGAGTAAAAACGGCGTAGATTTGTTTCCCGACGGAAGCAAATTGGTCATAACGAACCAGGTCAACAGGAATCGTTTGGATATCAAAAACCTGACAGTTGCAGACGGGGGTCAGTATACGTGTAAAGCTATTAACACAGCTGGGAGCACGACTTGCACGACAGACATAATCGTTAGAAGTGAGTTAAATAATTATTCGTTGGCATTCGTTTAATGACTTTTTGGCTAATTTTTTTTTTTTTTTTAGAAAATGTATTCCCCCCTGTAATGTGTCGTAGGCTATTGCCAAGCACAGTGGCCGAAGGGGAAAGAGTGGTTTTAGAAGTAGAAGTAGCCGGAACACCCGAGCCGACGATCAGCTGGTTTTGGAATAATCAGCCTTTGAAATTTCCGTCAAGTATTCACAGGTTCAGACAACAAGGAAACTGCAGTGCGATCATCATTGAAAAAGGTGGGTAGTATAATTGAAGAAAAATAAACAATTGTAATTGACTACGTTTAGAACAAAATATAAAAAATATCTGTATAAATTAAATTAATCTTAATTGATGAAAACGGTAACATCATTACAGCTACTTTAAATCATGCTGGCGAATACAAAGTGGTCGCTAAGAACGAAGGAGGAGAAGCGGTGAGTTGCGCTGAATTGCGGATTGTTCAGTCTATACCCGATGTACCAGGTACAAACTTATATCTGTCTTCCGAAAACAACTTAGAAGATAAAATAAACGTGGTGAGTAAGAATTTGACTATTAAATTAACTGGTGTAGCATAAATAAGATACCGCAATGATCCATTACTCTTAGGCCTTATTGAGTTACCATTCGATAAACCACATTAACTTACATTTCATAATATTGTTTATAAATCTATATTATTTTATATGAACATATAGGATTACTACAAAAGCGTAGTGCCAACAAATCAGCCAAAACAATTTAGTGCGATAAACAGAATCGAAGAAAAATCCCTTTTCTCTAAGTCTATTATTGTCCAAGAAACAATCAATACTAGCAAAGATACGGTAATGAGTGTAAATCATGGCGATGTAAATGGACGTGGTCTAAACACAGGGAGTACGAACGTCAATTATGAAATAAATGAAAAACAAGTGTTATCTCAAAATGAAAATATCGAAGGTGGGTCCATACCGAAAAAGAGCGCCCTTCAATTCTTTAAGAATGTGATAGAAGATAACAAGGAAAAACAGGAAACGTCGATTGATAAATTTAGAATTTTGAGCCCTAAGACTACAAAAGAAGTTTACAAAATTGAAAACCCTATAGAGAAATTTACTAATACGAACATTGTGTCATCTACAGAAGCGTTTCATACCGAAGAATTTTTTTCGAGCAGTACACATAAACAATCAAATGACTCAGAAGTCATTTTAGAACCCGGTCCGCCGCCTACTTTTGAATACATGCCAAGAACACAGACGGCAAAGAAAGATCAAATGACTGAGCGACTGAAAAAACTATCGACCAGTCAAAAACTACTGTCACCTGAGCAAATACCTTCCGGTGCTGTCAGAATTTTCCCAAATGTTGCTTCGGAGAAGAAGCAAGAAGTAGTAGAAGAAATATGTGTGAAAAAAGAAGTATTGAAAACGGGCGCAAACGAAACCACGTCAAATCAAAAACACTCTTATACGTCTGTACCGCATCCTGAGCACCCGTCTCCGCTTTTGCGGCCTCGAGCAGATATCGAAGTACGACCGGGTTCCCCTAGGCCATCTGCGGAAGCGATTTCGATGGAAAAACTTTGGTCAAAAGCACATGCCCAAAAAACACCAACAACGTTTGAGCCTATTACTCAGGCAAAAACATACTCGACATCCGAAACGCAAGCATTTTTTTCGGAAACTGTGGAAAAAGATGGTAAAGTGGTGAAGAAAGAAAGCCGAGAGGAAAAACAAGGCAGTTTGAATATCGACGACGGTGTTAAGAAAATATCCGAGAAGTTTTCAGAATACTCAGTAGGCCCTACCAAGCACGTAGAACCACCGCGAACCGAAATCAAACGCCCTTCTTCGGCTACAACGTTTAACGAAGTAGTTGCTACGGACAAGTACTCATTTTATAAATGTCCCACACCCAATATATCGCAGAGTACAGCACAAACCAAAACGACATCGGCGTTCGACGTTCAATCCAGTTTTTCCGAAAGCAACCGGCAAACGGTGAAATCCGAGCAGTTCAGCAATAATCAATCGTTCAACAGCGGTGTTCAGAAGACTGCTCAATTGTTTTCAGAGCAGCCGAAAAGTCCTATAAAGCACGTAGAACCTCCTAAGTTTGACATAAAAAGCTCGACGTTGCCTAGGTCGTTCGGCCAAGAGACTACCAAGGAAAAAGTATGGAAATCTCAGTCACCAACGTTGTTCAAAGCGCCCCCTCAAAATAAATCGTACTCTGCCTTCGAGGCCCATACTAGTTTCTCCAAAAGTCTAGAAAGAGACGGAGTGGCGGTGTCGTCCGAACATAAGGAAGTGGGCAACCGAGTGGTCGACGACGGCGTGCAAAAAGTGTACGATTCTTATTCTGAAAACTCCAAGAAGCCAACCAAATGCGTAGAACCTCCGAAGAACCAGAGCAAAGCGAATTCTATTAAAACGATGCACAAATTTTTCGAGCAAACCGGATCGTCTTCCAACGCAGCCCAAACGCATTCGAGACCTTTTAGCAGGATGAAGTCGAGAACCAGCGACAGCGAATTTGAAAGCGAAGCCGAATTATCCAAGTACAACGTAGAACAATATTGCGAAGGTTTGAACAAGGGCTTCGAGAAAAAATCGTATTCTACTACGTCTCAGTTTCAAGAAACTAGGAGTTCGGTAGTCGTCCAAAGTCCAGTCAAGGAAAGTGGTTACTTTGCCGACACAGATGAACCGAGAAGCTTGCCGAACGATTCGGCGACCGGTCATTTGTCAAACAACGCCAGAAGAAATACGGGGTTTCACAGTGCACTCATGAAGAAGGTTCGATGAGCAAATGTGTGAACAACTCCCAATTAACCGTGTGCGATGTTTCTTAATTTTTTTTTTTAAATAGGCGTTTTGTTAGTTTTATTATTAAAACTGTGTGTGGTTTGACGTTGCTATAATAAATCCCTTACAAGTCGTACTATAATAATTAATACCGTACTATGTTATCCCGCCCTAATCCGATTTGACTAATATATTGATTTGTGTTGGTAGAAATCATGTAATATAATATTGTAATTTTTATTTTTATTTTGTCTTGGCCTGTCATAGAGGACATCAACGCTTTGAGTAGTATTGTTTAGGAACTTTTTTAATTACAGTCTAGTGGTTTTACAGGCTGAATTCTTCGAGAACGAGCGACGATACAACCGGCAGCCTCCCCAGTGGCCGGTCCAGAGCGGTCAGCATAAAACCCAAATTCGCAGTCCCCAAAAGTTGGCCAAAGGTAACTGCCACGAGAGCGACAATGAGAGCGATTACGAATCAAACCGGAGGATCCAACCGATTTGGCGGCCGTATGATTCGGAGTCGGGAGAACCGGTCTATAAGCCCGTGAGACCAGCCTTTAAGCAGCCGACTAGACCCACAGACCCGCAGCGACATCAAATTAGAACGGCTCCTGTGCATTTGAAAGAGATAACCGATCCGGGATTTGAATTAAAACCGGGAACTCCGCCCGAAATAGGCTTTGCCCCGTCTCAGGATTCGCAAAGGTCGGCGGGCCTCGTGGAAACCGATGGCGCTCAAAGGACCTCTTATTCCGTGTCCACAGACGGTCGTAATCCCGCTATTAGTCAAGGGTACGACTCGTTGGAGATGAAAGCGGAAGCGATGCGTTTGCAGAGAGTCGACGAGATGCGAAAGAGGTTCGAACATAAGTCACTAGTGCCCGCGAACGAATCCAATTCCTTCCAGACGGTCCCGTCGCAAATCAACCACTCTTTTACTCAGGCCCGAGGTATTATTGACATATCACTATTACAATAATAATAATAATGTTATTTACAATTTCGTTGAACAATATATTTTTTTGCTTAAGCATTTCGCTAAGTTGACGACGCCGCGTACCCGTCGTCAGCTATGTAAATAATACAATGCATAATTAATTTCACGCGTCATACCCATAAACGAGTCTTGTACGGTGTAGGTACTAACCAAAGCGACTGCTTCCAAGTCGATCTACCGTATTTCAAATACGATTTCGGATACGAATTCGGTATAGCGTATCCTGAGCGAATCGGAAACGGTAGCACGGCCAACAGACAAGTCTGCGTTAGCCTACCGGTCGCACACGAGTCTTCCAATCACGCCCACACGGTTTCAAAACAGTCGAGCAATCCGACTAATTATTATAAAACACACACTACCCTGGGATATAGTAAAAACAGCACAGGTGAAAGTCTTGATACAATATTGTCTTGGAGTTAAACAAATAAAACATAAATACGATTTAGTGTAATATTCCGTAGTTTCTTATCGTCGTTTTCTTGATGATTTTTCTATATTTATTTCTATTATACAGTATGTAGTCTATGTTTTTTCTTCTTCGTAGTTAGGTACACTGACATCATCTCCACGCTGACTTTTCAGTTTACACTTCACATTACATGCACAGTAGCGCTAAAATATTTGTTTTACGCATTTGTCTCTATTGTTGAATAATTTTACGCAGAAATCAACGCTTAAGCTGTGTTCGCCTGTAAACATATCTATTCACATATTGCTTTCAACTGCACTACCGGGTAAAAATCTAAAACGCTATGTAAGTAATGTGTAAATGTTTGCTGTTTTCGTTTGCTCGTCACCCATTTGGCTTTTGTATTAACCGTCATGTTATAGTAATGACCGAACAACGGCATCGATCTCATTAACTCGTACCTATTTTAAATTTTGCTTTGAAAATCATATTTGCAGATGGCACCGTTATTAGCCCCATTTACCAAAAAGAACTGAACGCCGCCGAACAACCGGATCCTTCGCATAGTATACCGTTTTTCGTAACCGTAAGTCCACTATAAAATTATGTTTAGAAACAAAATATGCCTAACTACCCCTTCCAATCGTACTATTATTATAATTACAGCCATTAAAAGACATAGCAGTAGTTAGCGGCAAGACAGCCAGATTCGAGTGTATAGTTCAAGGCGAACCAGTCGAAGACGTCGTTTGGATGTGCAACGGCCAAGTGTTGGACAAATCGGATTGCTATCAAATGCAATACAGGAATGGCGTTTGCAGAATGACTATACCTAAGGCGTACCAATGTGAGTTAATAATCAAGAATTGTTTAAAAAATAAAAAAAAGTCACAGGTTGTAGAAGGAGAAAGGTGTTGATAAAGCAAAAAAAAAAACAGTGTCTAATAAGAGTAAGTTTATAGTTAAGTTGACAGGGTCATCTGATAAAAAATATAACTGTAATATTTCAAATGTATTAGACTAATTAGATTTAGAGAATTTTACTTTTATGTAATGTTGCTGTTTTTATCTTATGATTTTTTTTCACTGTGGCTTTTATTAAACAGTTACCCTTATTTTAATTTGAATTTAAAGGCAATCTTTATAGTTGTAATTGATGCTTATAAGTTAAATTTTAGTTATATTAGAGTTATTAAAACAAGAGTTCTTGAAAAATATATTTTAAAAACAAATAAAGTACCATTATATTTATGTTATTCGAGTATGCAGGTACTCAAATATATTTTTCTAATATTTGATTACTTACTCATTTTTTTCAACATTATTAGTACACAAATAAAAACAAATTAATAAACAACTCCAGTAAGATAGTTAGGTCATCTGCTTTTTGTATAAATAAAACAATAATTTGATATCTGCCCATGTAATATAAACCTTTTAAATAACACAATAAAATATGCATGTATAAATAAAATAATATTAAAGTTTAGTAATTAAAAATGTCATTTTTCAAAATAATTGATGCCCAAATTTTAAATGAATTTTGTACTACAAAATAGTATTTGAAATCTACTGAAATAATTAAAGAGAGTTAAATGTATAAATGTATTTGAAAATAGTACTCAATATAAAAAAATATTTATACATACATATATATATATATTAGTATATAATTATTCAAATGCGTTTGTATGTTTTGTTCAATATGCTTTTGTTGCATATTATTGCTATTATTGCAATTACCGTGTACACAAAGCACACAAGTTTCATTTTATTCTGTTGATTTACATCCAACTAACTGTCAGTAACAGTTAAACTTATGTTATGTACAATTTTTTTTCAGTTAACGCCGGTTCGTACGTTTGCACAGTATCCAATTACCTTGGGGCGTGCAGCACTTCGGCTAAATTGCAAGTATCAGGTGAGTCACGCACGTACATTCAACGCTAAATCCGTGTAATCGGCTTGTTCTTCTTTCACTCAAAACAACATTTTCCCCCCGTCTGGTTTGAAAACCAACGAGTTTTTCGATGTTATCTTAAAATATAATATAACTATAATATAATTTAACAAAAAATTTAAATGTTTTTCTTTGGACTGTAAAACTTTGAAATTTTTTTTTAAGAAGTACTATTGTTTAGAAAAATTATTAGTATAATATTATCTAACTAAAAAAAAAATGTCAACATTAATTTTAATACCCTTAACTTTTATATTATTTATTAATAATTAGTTTTATTTTGAAGATGTAACGAATAGCGTATATTTAAAAAAACATCATCGTAATACTACTACTATTATATATATTTTTTTTTTTGTCAAATCAATGAAAGGTTTCAATAAACTTTTTAAATACGGTTGTGGTTCTTCTTTCTCTATGTCTATCATGCTCTCACCTATGCCTTATGCTTACAGCAAGTAGTGTAATGGATTATTTCACTATCATTTACTTACTAAGTACATGCACGCAATCACGTGGAATAATAACAATTTGCTATTTGCCAATAAATTAGCACGGTGGGTGTGCAACGTGTGAATATATATTAAACCATAATTAATTGGCATGTTTACATTATGGTCAAGACCTAAACTCGACATATTATCAATAATTTGGAGTACTATTATTATAATATTTAATGTAGTGGTCGAGATAAATGTTTACGTACTGTAATAGAGCCTATATTATACTTAAGACATCGAAAGGATGGGTTCAGACAATGCCAAAATTACTGTTCTATGAGTTATACAAGTTCATCTATGAAACATGGCTAAGTTACTGAAGTAGCTATAACTTACAATACACTTAAAAATAAACTTAATCAGGTTTAGTTTTATATTTAAACTAAACATGTATGCTTGAAGTCGTATTTATAACTGTTCAATATAATTTTAAAAAGAATTAGTTTACAAAAGTTTGATCAGGTCAAACTAGATCAGATCATTAAAAAAATTGAATATTTCTGACTCTTGTGGACTTATTTTCAGATATATAAATTATTTACACACCTCGTAAGTCGTTTGTCTTAATTACCTCTATTTAAATTATAGGTGAGCAAAAAGTTGGTATAAAAAAAATGTTATTTGGAATCTATTATATTTATTTGCATATTAGCCTTTGACGCAAAGACTTCTTGAGAAAATATATGTCATGTCAGGTAAGTGGTACCACTTTATTTTTACATCACAACTAAAAACAATAAATCTACTTGTCATTTAGTATCATAAGAAAATATCACGTGTAATCAGTTAAACTACAAGAAGATGTAGGTATTTTGTATAGAATCAAAGCTTTGATTAATAAATAACAATGTGTTATTAATCAATGCTAATTAGTAGTGTAATGTTAGATTACATATATCTCTTAGTTTTTGTTAGAATTACTTTGCCGAATAAAGCTGTATAAAAAATGTGTAGAACATATTTTTAATTTATTAATTTTGACGTTTGTTTGGTATATATCAATGATTATCGTGTTTTATTAGTAAGATATCTTATACAAAAATTTCCTAATATGTCTAATGTATAAATTATTATGTACAAATACACGCAAAGAAAACTAAAATAATATATAACTTCGCATTATTTGTCGAATAAATTGCATTTGTTCTAAATGATATACACTCATTAGGTAGATATATAATACATTTTTTAAATTCTATATTAGTTTTCCATTTTTTAATGGTGTATTAAAATTTCAACTGCGATGTCCAGAAGATAATAGATATACTGACTACACAATGCTGTTTTCTTTCTTTGCTAAATTAGTTTTAAATTGTTTTCAATGTCTTCCTTAAAAATACATATTATAAAATATTGATAATTTTGATTTTATACCAAAAAGATCAAACTTAGGTAATTATTAATTTATTAAGAGGCAAACGCTAGGCGGTTCATATCAATTTTATCATATACAAATATACCAAATTATTTTAAGGCAAATTAATATTAAGTGTTTCTTGTCATATAATTTTGTAAGTTAATTTTATCCGAATTATGGCGAAATAATGATAAAAACATATTGTTATAAAAGTGACTTTCTGACGTATTTATTAACAGGTATACATTTTATGGAAAGTTTTGAAAGACTTTTCTATGGGATCTAAAAGACCGATTTTATATTTATTTGCTAGTAATATAGCATAATAGAAATAAATTTTAGTTGTATTCTTATAATTTAATAAAATATATACTTACAAGGATTTAACATGGTGATCTGTCTTATACACATTTTATGTTGTAACTCAACACTTCATAATGGTAAATGACGTATCATAAATGAAGTATAAAAAATTGTCCCCGTAAAAATATGTTTTCAAAGAAATTGTTTTGAAAATCATAAATAGTTTAACAGTTTTTAGAATATAGAACCGTAATGATTTTGTATTATTACAGCTATGATAAATATTTATATTTGAAAGTACACTACTATTAAATATTGGTGGTTAATATTAATTTTCAGAAACATTTGATGATTTATAGTAACATAAAACAATAGGTTGACGTCACGTTTATATTCTGTAGACAAAAACAAGTTCTATTGCTAATCATAATTTTCTTTCTTATCGTTTAACATCTGTTGGCTTAAGGTTTAATCAAGTTTTGTTAAATCTGATTTAAAACATTTAAAAAACACGTTAAGTTAAATACAATACTTTGTAAACAGAATCGAATAATAAAATTATGATTTATTTATTTCACAAGTTTTCAAAATAGGAGTTAAGATAAACTTTGATTCTAAAATGTGAATGATGTATTGCAGTTGAGATATTTCCCCCCTAGTGTTTCAACTTAGGTCGGTGTAATGTATATTATTTTTAGTATAACCTTTTTAGTAAATATTAGACAAATTACATGTTTCAAGGCGATTAGATAATCGTCGAATTGTGTAAAAAATTCTGGTCACTGTTTTAGTTATTTAAGATATATTTGACAATATCAATTATTAAGCTTTGCAAGTTTAACGATTTTATCTAACTAATTGTAAATCGATTGAGTAGTTACTCCGGACTATTGATAAGACATTCTTAAGTTTTTCAAGTGAACACAAAAAATTCAAGTCTGAAAGGGTATAAATGTAGCTGTTGGGTCCAACCTCCCGGTATCACAGAGCAACATTAAGTATACGGTATTAACACTACAGGAAAAATAATGAGTCACTTGTGTGATGTTTTAAATTTCAATATGTTCGTATACGGCTATTCATAATACATTTTTACTATACCGAAGTACAATGTTGTGTACGAAAATATGTTTCCGTTCCGTGACAAAAATTATTTTTCAATTAAATGTCTCAATAATTTTCGATAATTATTCGATGAACCGTGAACTGGCCGGAACCGTAATAAGTGTAAGCGTTTTGCAAAAAAACGAATATTTAATAATGTAAAAAAAAAAACATAAACACGTACAGTATTCATTATCGTTATTGAAGTTGAGGAATATTTGTGGCATTTTACTTTTTAGTACTTTTCTATTTCACAATGTTGCGAAACGGGTAACGGAAAAAAAGAAAATCTAGTGCATTCGTATTATAACATGTTAGACAAAAGTAATTTACACTAGAGCTCGGAATTGGGACGTTTCTTATACACTCATGCATGTGCATACATATACAGCAGTCAGTATTTATATTTAGACAACTTTGTATTTTTGTTTTACTCCCACAGCGACACATTACATTCCGGAATCATAAATCCGTTTTATTCGAAATATCATCATCTGTTGTAATATTTCATCCACCAAGTTCTATATTTCAACAGTGTTAACACGTTGGCTTTTATTCAGAACATATTTTTTCCCCATACGATTGTATATTAATAATATAATTCGTCACTAGCGCCGATATATTATTATGTATAGGCTGTATTTTAATTAAAAAACAAAATCTACAAAGAAGTAGTTTACAAGATATGTCATGGTTTTCAATGTTAAATAATAAAATTCTGTAAAATTATTATTATACATGCTCTTGGTTTTAATTAATATACTCTTTGATTGTTAGTAGGCACAAGACGTGAACATACACTTTTCAAGCCGACCAATTTTCTTAGGTAAATTTAAACAAAACACAAGTAGGTTAGGTACAACGACTATTATTACCTAATGGCTATCACTATATTAGAGATATCCTCATTTTGAATGACAGTAGGTTAAAAATCACTTTTGCATTTAAATCTAACTACATGAGTTTTTTGGAGGATACATTTTAGAGCTTTTCATATTAGAGAATCCAAAATCCAAACGTTTCATTAAATGCAATATTAAAAAAAATTGCCTATTTGTATATATATAAAATAATTGCATTTATAAAACGCATATTCGCATTTTTTTAGATCAATAGATTGCACCGGTTTGGCACCGTTAGGTATCTCATAGACGAACACCGAAGTCTATTTTTATACTTGTAATCGTGTATTTATAATATGTTATACTCCTTAAATAAAACGGTTGTGCGTTTTTTGTGTTAATTTGTTCTATAAACCGTTATTAATATCTTAAAAAGTGGTAGTGGATGGATGCGCGAGGGTTAAATTTAGGAAGGCAGAGTATCCGCATTCTTACACCCCCTCGTGAATGTATGTTAGCCGTTGCCACTGTTACCAGTATGAGGGTTTAAATGTATATTATATACATTAAAACAAATGATTCAAGTTTACACGCAAAGTTTAAAATTTTAATTGTTAAAATAATTAGCTACGCTCGGTCAAATACCAATTAACGTTATCGTACACTAAGGTTATAAACAAAATAGCCAACGATAAAAGATTTAAGACTAATAATTTCATTTGTATATTTTAACTTGGCTACCTTAACTTATAAAAGGTTATAAATATAACGTGTTGGTGCGGTGTCCTTTATTTTAATTGATCATTTTGTGAAACTGTAAGAATTAGTCTAACGAGTAATAATAACAATGCTTAGTAACCTAGTTATTACTCATAGCTTAAAATAATTCAGTGCACAGATTGTGAACACATTTGATTATACATGTTCGTGATGTGGCTGCTTAATGAGTACAATAATATAAGAATTATCGATTGGCGTTAAATATTATTGAAAACTGCACAATTTGTTTTGTAGATAATTGTTGGTATTTGTTTTATGATAAGATTGATAAAACGCAGAAATTATATTTATTTATACTATTAGAACAAAAACAAATAATTAATTAAACTAAGATAAATTGTATTCAGTTTGGAGCAAAACAACAGAATTTAAGTTTATAAACAAAATAATTGGTGACCGTTTTTGAACATGATCCAAAAACCAACGTTGTTGATTTTACTGAGTTTCATAAGTAATCCCAATGGGTTATGTAGCAAATTTCATTACCACTCGATGAGATGGCAAGTATTTTTTAAAACATGTTCGAAAACTACCAAAGCCACAATTTGTTTATACGGTTTTATACTTTCTGCCATAGTCATTATTGCAAACGAATAAGGGACATTTTATTTTGAGAATATTATGTGGGTCTATAATGATGAATCATTATTGTTTGTATAAGGAAAACGTCATAATGAAAAAACTCGATCGCTCCATAAATGTGTAAGAAAAAAAAACAACTATTTTGATTAGGATGACACCGTTCTAATGATCGCTATTTATCTAGATTCTTTTAAAACTGTAGTTGTTTATAAATAAATAATGCTAAATTATTTTCTAAAAACGAGTTTTTGATCATACATTATACTTTGTCAGTGATATTTGTTTTCGAACTGCACTTAGAAATACAATTTTTTTTTAATTTAAAAAAAAGTTATTTGAAAAAACTAATGAACATTAAAATACTTGGAAGTACAGTTTTTATTTTGCTCTTCTGTAAAATTGTATCAAAATCCCTCTTGTTTTTATATTTTGATCACTTCACTTGTAGCTTATAGATCTATAAAGAGGGATAGCTGAATTATGTGATTGTCAATCGAAATTTTTTAAATTATGTAAATTACAATTAGTAAAAATCAGTAGAATTTTGACTTAGTGTATATGTCTTTTTAAACCTTGAAGAACAATCCCGAATCCCGTCTTTGTTCATTTATTTTTATTTAAGCAGCAAGGTGTAAGCCGATAAGAGTCTAGCAACAAGGAGTCAGTGATGAGCAGGAGTTTGAGTGTCATTTTATTTCTTTTTCAACGTTGTCCCAAACTTCTTGGTGGCCACAACTACTCCTTTTTAAATGGTCGCTTACTATACCTCTGCGCTTATACCAAGTACCGACCATCCTCATGTCATCATTGCTATAACACGCACAGTTTTTACTTAATTCCTATCGTCTTATCTATTGTTGTTAGTGATGTCCCTTCTCTCGCGTTCCTTTAAGCAATCATTTCTGCTACACTAGGGAAGTGTGCCAAACACAATTTTCGCCGTTCATAAAACGTGGAAAATCGTTTTTATTGAACAGCACTAAAAATTCATAGGGAACTAATGCGAGACAATTTAAAAACGCCCGCTGTCCAACAACGCGATACCGAGATCGAGTTAAGTACACACGTGCGACTTTTGGATGGTAAAAATATGTGAAAAGAAAACTGCCGTTCGGTTTTGCGGTGACGGCAAAATAGTGTCCAGCCGTCGACGGTCAGCGATATTTGGCACCGGCTGATGTTTTTTGGCACTCCGAGCGACCGTCGACGACGCTTTATAAACGGCTCTGACGCCTGAAAAATCGGCTAAGATGAGCTGGTCTAATAATAACGTCCTTGTCGATGGACGCCGTTTACTCTCATTCGTTGTGTCCTCCTCTGGCCGTTGATGATAATCAAATTATTATCGTACTATACACACACACACACGCACAAACACAAGTCGGACAAAGTAATTTTTTTTTTAAATTCTCAATAACATGGCATAAGAAGATGGGTAGACCAGTCGATCCATTGCCAGCGTGGGGGTTTCGTCGCTGAGTATTATTACGAGACTCGACTCGATAGTTTGTGTCGCTTAAAGTCATCAAAACATATACAATGATATTTTCTATTAAATATTATATGTATATTTCGGTGAAAATATCCAATAGGCAATACTAATATTGTATATTGTGCAGAGTAGGCAACGCAATACCTGCAGTGGCGCCAATCTCGATCTTAATATTTGTAGTGCAGTGCGTACATGCAAAACATAAATACAGATTACAGAACGACCAACACATAAAACTCTTTTCCACATATAATTGTCATTTAATTTAAGCAATATTAAAACAAAAAGATAGTTTTGTCTTACATTAAAATTACAATCTACCCACTAAACAAAATATAAATTATTAAGTTTATATTATTTCGAGTGCCACAAAATAACTTCGTATATAACATATTGTTGTGTATACAGCTTGGTAATTTTTTCATCGAAATTATATTGGCTGGATATAATAATCTGGTTGAGGACTTTAGAGGTTGGGGATTTCTTAGTTGAATTACACGTGTTTTGTCTATATTAAATTTGTACGACTATTAGGTTTAACCATATAAAGTCACTAGTTAACATTTTAAACATAGTTAAACAGTTTTACAGATACATTTTCTTGATTTTACCTACTAAATTTATTAAAAAACTGCCTCCAAGTTTAGTAACAATAAATTCAGTATTATAAGTTAAAAACATATAAATCATCAACGTGAATTTGAAAGTTATACGCGTGTTATTAAAATAATAATAAATATAAAATAAGTAATATATTATTAGTTATTAAATTTTGATATTTAAGTTTAAAACAATTTTTTAGGAAAGGTTAGTTTGATGACAAATTTGTGTATTAACGTGTCAAATCGTTATTTAGAAAATCGTCTAATATCGTTGACACTTAACTCTGACAAGCGCTTAACCTTGCAAGCATATTTAAAAAAAATTTACATTATTTTTTGTTGATGGATAATTCTTAAATACAACATTAATCGTCGTATTATTTTATTGAATTATTTAGTGGAAACTAACCTAACCATTATTTAATACAATTATACATAAATAAACGTCTACTATGTAGCTATTATTAAAAAAACTATACATACATATTTTGGCATTTTGATAATTAAGCTTGGATATTTTTCACGATCAAGACAGCATTTTACATCATCGTTTTAGACCTTGCTAATGTTCATAATCAAAATTAATTATAGTATGGCTCTGCAGTTTTAACACTTTAAATTTAAGAAGCTGACGTAGTTGCCATGTCCATCATCGTATACAAAAAGTATTTATTTAAATAATGTTTGGAGATTACCACGTTTTAAAAATAAAATAGAAATACTTTTAACGTAAAAAAATGTATTTAACGTCCTTCTAATATAAATTGGGAAAAAAATGAATTATAGTTTTATAAATAGTTATTATTTATGTTTGTGTTAGTTTATAATTAAATTAAAAAAAAATACATCATGTTTCTTTAACAATTGTGATTCTTGATGTGACTTAGGATTTGTTTTAATTTAAACAAGCTTTATAAGTACTAACTTATAAAGTTTGTTAAAAAAAAAATCAATTTTTTAGTTATTTTATTTTGGTAACTTTAATTTATTTTGTTGGTACTTCACATCTCAACTAAACCGAGATTAAAATGTTCTCCATTTGTAATATTTTTTTTTATGTCTAATGTAATAACTAAAAAGCTTAAAACTACAAAGAAAATAAGTGTACTGTTTTTATGTTTAGTTTTGATATTATAATATTTAGTTAAGCTTTTTACTTTATTCTCTTCACTAAGTGTCTGATACACATGCATTTTATTTGGCGATTTACGCCATTTCTTTCTCATTGGCATGTTTAATTGTCGTGTAAGAAAAGAATAGCTTGAAAAAAACTAGAACAACGGACTTACCTAGTGCTCTATGAATATAATTAGTTTAAGCAAAATGGTTAGTCATAAATCATGTTTTTTGGAATGAAATAAAGATCTGAAAAAATTAGGGATATATTTTTCTAATATTTGGAGCCAAATGACAGCTAACTAACGCCACGTCTTATTTAAAGACCACCCTACAGTGTACACTTATCAAAACCTCTTATATAGTAGCTAAGTATGAAATTATAAAAATAAAATGATGACAAATCGAATAATAAAAAATAGAGGTTGTCGGCTATAATGTAGATGAGCTGATAAGCTGATGTCCATCTTCAAAGATTTAGAATTTGACTAGAATATGACATCATTTGACTCAATGTACAACGAATCCTATATCATAGCTACAGACAGATAAAAATAAAAATGATAAAAAAGTGTTATAATAATATGTTTCCTAACATTCTGCAAATGTGTTGATACTTAATACTTGAGATATTAATAATAAAAATTTTGGTTCAATATTATGTATATAATTTTTGTATTAATGACAGTAAATTTTTACATAGCTACAACAAATTAATTTTTATGGTCTATATCTACCTCTATGTGTGTTATCATAGATTCAATTTACATAATGTATATTATACTAAATCAATATTTTTATTTTTATTGGTTTTGTTCGTTAAAAAATGTTTTTGAGATCATGAAATGGTTTAAACTATAATTTTGTTCTATTAAAGCATGCTCTAGCTAAGCCTAACTAAATCTGCTTCTATTTGCATGTTCATTTTATTAATCTATTATTTTTTAACATACACAGAAAAAATACATAGTTGGTCCAACTATGTATTTTCCGTGTATGTTTAGTAATTATTATTTGTCAACGCTAACACCAAAAATAGATTCTTACTGATCACTTGCTACTCTTTTACTTATGCCATATATTGATTTGTACACAACATTTGGTTAAACAAATTAATATCTCGATTTTTGCAATACTCCCAAATTCCACTCAGTCATTGTTATTAGCCAAAGCATTATGCTTGCTTTTTCGTTGATAAGATCACGAAAAGTTGCCTTACTTTTTATTTACAAATTAGTATTAACCATTATTGGTATTTTTCAGATATTGAATACGTAACTCAACCTTATGATTGTTACCAGAAAAATGAAGTAGCAGTTGAAGTAAAACGTAATGAATACACCAGTAAGTGTAAATTAGTGATTTAAAAAAAATATGTACTTTAGTTTCAAAAAAGATTTGTAGCAAAACAAAAAAAAAAAATTTGTTATTTGGTTCTTTTAGGGATAGCCTCAGTGTTCCAATATAATGATTTATGAATTATCATACTTTTCATACTAACTCAGGTTTAAGAATTGTCTATGAAAATCAAAACAAAAGAGTTATTTGTAGAATAATAAAAAAAAATGCCTAATAAAATTTAATTAAAAAAAGCAGGGTCTGTTAAAAAATGGTAATATTTAATGACAGTTTGTTACCAAATGTTGCTAATTATGAGACTGACTGATTTAAATCCAATATACTGAAAATCTATCTATATTTTTAAGCTGTAATGTGATCCTAATATTGCCAGTAATGACCAATGACAAACAATGTTATTAACCGCAAGGTGTGTAAATAGTTTAAATATAATACCCCATTCAAGTAATAATAATGTTTTTTAATTGTTAAATGAACCCCTAAACAATAAGTATATAATTAAATTAAGCTTTTGTATGGTATCCATTTGTACTAATTATCAACTATTACATTGTTTGTATTCTTGTGCGCGGGAGAGGGTTTGGAATCGGATTTCATCATGTTGCTACCATATGCGTAGATTTGTTGTTATTTTGTGGCAGTTTATGAGCGCCCGCACGCATCGTATACAATAAAATTGTAAACTTAAAACGGGGGTCATTATCTTCCTAATGATCAATTCCAAAAGTATTAAAAAAATGTATTTTTTAATTATATTTCTTTATTAGAATAAATTATTAATACCTCTAATCTATCTAACTAGCCGAGCTCCACCGACTTATCTCTTTATCTGAGGTAAAATTCGGATTCAGTGGTAGAAACCGTAAATAAATTATCTAGCCTCAGATTTTTTCAATAAGTACGACTGGATAGTTTTTGGATCACCTCCAAAGTTATTGGTGAACAGCTAACTATTTTATACTTCCTTTTTGTGTTAAAAATACATGTATTTTCTCTATATTAATTTAGACCCGTTCTGAATTCAATAATATTTTAGGAAATTATCATAACGTACAAAAGACGCTGAAAGTTCATCAAAAGTACATACTAATTAATACACACAAAGTATTAATTAAAATAGAGTTCGTAGTTCGTAGTTGTTATTAAAAAAATGTATTCTTATAAACAAATTTTTGAAGTTCCTTTCGAAATAAATATTCTCTGCGAACTAAGTTATTTTGTTCACTAAAAAAATATACAACTGCGAATATATTATAGTAACGCACCCATTATACAAATGCCGAGATGCATTTTTGATATTTTATTATTAGACTCTTAAAATGTTTCTGACGTATGTAGTCTTAAAAAAAAAAATATATATATACATCTGTTAAACTAGCGTGTTACACAATTTTGTTTTGAACCACATAAATGCGTTATACACGAAAAGAATAAAATATTTTTTAAAATGTACTCATAAACCATAGAATGAATATAATAATTGTTGAAGTGAATGTATTATTGGTTCCAGTACTGTAGTAAGGTGATCTCATTTTTTTTTATCTTGATATTAAAGAGTTTAATTATTTAACTCAATGGCCTTTACCAATTTTAAATTTACTATTTTTCGTTTTTACCTAATCAGAGAAGTATTTGTAAATTTGTTCATATGGCCTTAGGTCACTATAGCCTCACGATTCTGGCTTTCATTAATAAATGTTGAAAATTAATCCTTTATAATCATACATATTTTTTACACTTTGTACATTTATATATTATATATATATATTATTTTTTTTTTGTTAAAATGTAAGCGATTTCTTGCGTAGGTCACTTCTTCGTATACTTTCATGGTAAAATAGTAACGTCCACAACAACGTCGTTAGGGTCAGGTTAAACTTGTAGATAGCGCGGCATACTATTTTTTTTAAAGAAAACAATCTTTTTGATAACTTACATGATATAACATGTATGTATATGCATTTCGTTGAACAGTTTTGTATTTTCAACAAAATTAATTAATATTTTAAAGTTTTGATTAATCATTTCGAAACGACGGTCGGGGTAAATGCGACACGACTTAAAAATATACTCGAGTATATTCACGTGTCATTATTAATTCATAGACGGTAATTTGTAAACAAGTACGTCAATCCTCGAATGGATATGACGAATTGGTCATTTTAAATTTGTTCGTAATGTAATTATTTTTTGCAATTATACGTAATGCTCTGCTGCGTGGCTGGTGAATAACATTTCATTTTTCTTTACTCGTTCCTTTAGAGTTCACCCTCTCTTTCCGTGGTTGTAAGTAGAAAAAATACTAAAACATAATAATAATAATATTAGTAAATAAATTAAAAAAAAATCCCGTCCCACATAGTGTTCGCCTGTAAGGGACCCTCTAGTTTTACAGAGATCTAAATAAAGCACATTGCTCAAACGTCGGTCTCCCACCACGACCGTCGCCGTTTTATTCCAAGTAACCCGTGCCGCATACTTCGGCGACGATTCAGTTACCACCAAGACGAAGTCCGAGAGACAATATATTATTTATTACAATAATGTACAACTTCTAAGTATCGAAATACTATTTCGGAAATCGCGTACTCTGGTCGTTTAATAAACGAGAGCGTGTAGTCCGTTTTTTTTTCTTTTTTTTTTTCTAGTGTTTCCAGAAATAATTGTTGAATACTTTGTGTTTTTTTATCAAGTTCGTAACTCAGAGGTGTTAGTGAGCGTGCGTGCGAGGTTCGGTTGTTCGGCAAACGACGACCCTGCGACCAAGGGGGTTCCTTTGGTTTTACACTGCGCTTACAGGGGTTGTTCGCCATGAGTCATCAGCAGCAACAAATCACCACCACCAGCTCCGAGCAAAGGAGCATCAGCCGTACCGAACAACAGGTCACCCGGCAGATCATGCAGACCACTCAAAGACAAGGTATACCCGCTACCCGGTTGAGTGTCGAGATAAGACGTTTTTTATTTTCGTTTCCGACGAGCGTACGTTTGCAGTTGATACCGAGGATTTGACAAAGGTCCATACATTTTGTACAAAAGTCTGTCAAACGTTCGCACTCACACTTTACCGATGTCTTTTGGGGGTTTTTCGCTCAAAAAAGCATTTGGTGACCTGAGTTCCGCTTCTGTCCGTGTTATAGAATAACGTGGCTACTGCCAAGAGACGTGTAGAAATAACAGTAATCGAATTACAATGATTTAGAACGTTATAAATAAACTGAACCGTAATTTCAAACGAATATTGCGGGGTTTGGATTATTTTATAATAGTTCTCAAATGCAAAAACGAATTAATGATTTTTTGATTTTGGACCGTTTAGTGTTTGACCATAAAATTTGGCTGTTACATCATTAAAGCATTTTTTTTTTTGTATGAAATATATTTATATGAGAATTAACCTGATGATGCCTAAGAGACGAAACCGGTAGTTACACTATAAACTCTTGATAATACTCTTGGAGAGCGGTCGCATATTTTTTGTTTATACATAATTATAAATGTATTAGTTCATTTGAGTGTAATTGGTTCTGCATTTTCAGCTAATACTAAGTATTAATTAATGTACGACTAGTAAATAATCAGTTTTGAGCAAGAATTACAATAATTCTTACTAGCCAGTATTTTGAATGAATAGTGCTATAGCCTAGAAGATAAAAACAATATTATATTACTAACACTTCATTTGTCTAAATTGTTAAAACCTTGAAGAGGACAGTGTCACGATGGAAAAACGCTAAAAGATAAATTTTAATAATAAAGCTCACTGCTTTCTGTTGAAGTTTTTATCATTTTTAAACTTGTATAATTTGGTAAACTTAAAAAAACAAGGGCTCGCTCATAAAATGACTATAAATATGTAGTTTCTTAAACGTTTGATTTTTTTATAGGTACGTATTTCCCTGAAATCTGACCTCCGAATTTTTTCCATAAGACGTTTATTAGAGATTGAAACACATTAACCAGGTTTTATTTTTATTTTCGAAATGTTATTTAAACTTTGTTAATTATAACACAAAAAAACGCAAATTGTATTATTAAATGCATACCTTACTAGCGTATGAATTATGTAACATTAGTTGATTTTGATTTAAAATAGATTATTGACCGATTACTTTTCTTTTATATTGATCGATTATTTGTCAAACTTAGGCCTTTTGGGAAATAACAATTTTGTATGGTTACGTTATCCGGATATATCAACTTATAAACTAATAAACCATTACTGAATTAGTCGTGGGTAATAGGTTAGGTTGAGCTGTAGATAGATATATTTGTAGAAACCAGTTTGATATTATTTTCTTACTTTATTTTTTACATTTTTATAACATAAAATAAATTAGCTTTAAACTTAGTAAGGTAAATACTGAAATATTAAAAAATATCTTTAGAAACAGCATTAAGTTGGGTATCTGCATTTGACAGCCATGGTACGATCGATTTCACCCATTTTCAACAAGTTGTGAATTCGCTATCTCGTTATATTATCGAATTAAGCGAGCTACACAGGTCCATTTAGCTTACTCGGGAAGTTTACTTGATAACTATTGTATACATTTTGGCGGACAGACTAGTATGCAAACGGTATCGGTTCCCATCAGTTCACAACTGTTTATCATTGTTCTGGTCCAGATTTGTTTCCAATTGAATTCTGTAGATTCGCGCCTGGTGTTTGTAATTAACAATGAAATTAAAACCAATTTCTCTTGAAATCACTCCGTTCAAAAATCGTTTCAGTGGCGCTGCCACTTAGAAATCAATGAAATATTTAAAATCCACTATGCGGTGACAACAATCGGCTGTGCTTTCAGTATTTTACCCTTTCCGAATGCGCATACGGTTATGAATTTTATATAATATGAACATAAGGACGTGTGCCTAACGTGACTGTTAACACGGCGATGGATTTCAACCGAACTGGAAAGCAGTTGCATCGCCTTATAGGTAGGTACACGTCTCACAAGGCTATGGGCTGCTGCGCGCAATATTGGTGTACCTAAATGCTATCGACCTTTCGTAGGCATTCGACACTGTTTCTCGGTATAGTTCGTACAACGAATACTATGTGACAAAACAAAATCGCGGTAGTTAACATTCTTAACCGTTTACCATGATTTTACGACCGGCCTGGAGACCGAAAATACCGCAGCAATACTCCTACTCGAAACGCAGTAAGGAAATCAAACCTAACCGATCATAACAGATTTACAAATACCTTAAATTTGAATTAACTTATATTAGATTTTATAATTTAGTAATTTGTTAAAGGAGTGTTTAATTTATTTATTTAAAACTAAAATCCGATATTTCTTTGTCAGTCGAGTGGAAATGAATAACCGTTATATATTTTGTCTTCACTACAATTATACCATTAATAATTCGTATTAATTTCGTTGCTATTGAATTAATAAATAGATAATTTTCACCAAATTCGTTACTGCGTAAAATTATATATTTAACATGACTAAAAGTCGACTTATCATCAAAAACTTAAAATTATCAACAACATGTATAATCCATGTATTCTGTCTATCTCACAGTATACCGCAGTTTCTTATTTGTCGTTTATACTTTAGAGATAGTTTTCATAGTTTTAAATTGGATAAGTGTTGTGTATGCGTGGATCACTGTTAAGGTATACAACAATATTGATAACAATGTCAGTATTTACTTATTTGAATTTTCATAGATCTCAATGAGTATAGTTTAATTTTATATCTAGTTGTATGCATACTTAATAATAATATTGTACCTACATACAAAAGATCCTATAATTTAAAAAAAAATTTCAATTTTTTTTTCTAGAGTACATCAAGTAAGAAATACTTAATAATATCCCGAAAACCCTAGTAACTATTATGGTTTACGGATCATTAGTTAGTATATTACTACAATAATAGCCAAAAGTAACATTTAACAATCATTTAAAACATGCGTGTTGTATATTAGGTATAAAAATGTCTTATAAAAGTTTATATTATTGAGAACGTATGGAGAAATGAAAATTAATATCTACTATTTAAATTAATTTATTAAAATGTATTTATTTCCTTGACGACGTTTGTGTTTTTGTATAAAATAGCAAATCTTAATTTTGGTATTATTGTTTGAGTTTTTGAATCATACAAACGCATATTTAAGACTAATGTCACTAAACAGCAATTTTCATAATTCATTTGTCAACGAGAATATTGTATATTCTTATTCTTGATATTTCTGTGAATTAAACTAGTAGATATTTATAGATTTGGTAGAATTATAATCTTTAATCATGAATTTATTTTCCATCACTTGTACTTAGTAGACGATTTGTATGAAAATAAATTTTCATTTGTAAAGTTAAAGATCATCGTTGCGTTTATCTATAATTGTCATAGATTGGCTAAAACATGATTATTACAATACCTCGACGTGTTGGTCTGACTTTGTAATTTTTTAAGAATAACAAACGAATAAGACCTTGGTCACAAATGTGTCCCTTACCGGTAACCAGATTTATCCATTTTGGGCGGAATAGTGACCAATAAATAGTGGTTTACATTGAAGTCTCTATCCGAGTTTCAACCGTGTGCCCGTATGATTCATGTCTAAGACGATTTTTACGTTGCACCATCTTGCCACTGTTTTGTTTTATAAATAAGCGCTGCCAATAATAAATCATGATGTACAGATAAGTGTTTGGCGCGCATGCACCGCGTCGTACCAAAAATTCTCCCAATTAAACGAGCACATGAAAACTGCATAAGGGAGTAGTTACCCAAGCAACCTTACCCAGATATTGATGATGAGCTACTGTAATTAAAGCTTATAAATTATGATAAAGTTACAAAACGCAGCATGCGCCAAAGTGCACAATCATAATTCTGCATTCGGTTCTATAATATATATTTTGTCTATTAGTTTTTTTTATACCAATTTTTTTTAGTATTTTAAAATCTCAACCGGCTGGATAGTTGTATAAATAAATAGCAAAAAAATGTCATCGCCTTGAAAAAAAAGTTTTTATTTTTTCCCTCTTGACGACGTTTGTACATGCGGGAATTTGAACAAACAGCTGAGATCGCCCACAGAGCGTATGGCGCATACATGACCTGTTCCAAAAATGAGTCCGAGTAATTTGATCTCGTTTTTTACGCGACCATGCCAAGAAACGATATTATTATAATTACTGTTTACTCTAAGTGTAAAAACACCCCAATCGTCTGCACTTTACTTTGTGCACTATGATAATATGTTTTGGTTTTAATTACATTTGTCCAATAATAGCTGCTCGATCTGACTCATTTATTGCAATTTTTATTAATACATATTTGCATGAGTTTCATAAAATATCCGATTTAAAATACAAAAAAAAAAATTCATTAAATAACTTAATAATAATTATCAAATATTTAGCTGTAGTTATGACACAATACAAATATATCGCACCGAATGTAAAATTAAAAATTTTGTATTTTGCTAAACATAATATTGTTATCATTAAATTTTTTTTTATTAATTAGCGCATAAAGTTAAATTTAATAAAACGGTATAAATATAAAACTAGTTCTTTAAATTAAAATATGTTTTTATTTAAAAAATGTATTGAGCCTTAATTTTTAGAATAAAATAAAGAAAAAACAAACATTTTGGATTTTGAGGTTGTAGGTGACTGTCTTTATCCTGAAAAATTAGCTACTACATATTAGCTAATTCAATAATTATTAATAATATTTAGGAAAAATATATTTTGTTGAAAAAGGATGACTTATGATTATATTAATGTCTTATAAATTCAATATCAGAATAGAAAATGTCCGCCTAAGTTTACACATTATATCATTGAGTAATATAAATTTCACCTTTTATTTTAGATGTTATGAACATAATATTTTTTTATTTCTAGAAAATTAATAAACTATTATTATTGATTTCAGTTCATGAGGGTTTCATCGTCCAGCAGTCTGCTCCTAGATTTGGGTAAGATTTTATTGGAGGGATTGTTATATTTCTTGATTAATGAATTCTATCTACCTTAGCATTAACTCAAATTGTATTTAAATCTATATCCTTTATTGTAGAAACGATGCTGCGCCGCCTGTATTTGAACAGATTTTTAAAAATGCGAGATTCGCTCAAGGCGGTGACGCCGTATTTCAGGGAAAGGTGACTGGTATTCCTAAGCCCTTTGTCTCATGGACCAGGAAAGGTGCTCCACTACTGGGTAAGAGTTGTGACTTTTCATTATGTCAATATTTCAATAATTAGAATTTAATTTGAATAAAAACCTCAGTATTTCCCAAACGCATTATAATTAGGTCATGATTATGTAGGCAAATAATAATTGATGAGCGTGGCATGTTTTATTTCAGAGTCATCCAAGTACCACATGATGTATGATCAACAAACAGGGAATGTTGTTCTTACTATCAATCATATCGGTCCAGGAGACGAGGGCGAATACACGTGTTCGGCCCGGAATCAATACGGTGAAGCCATTTGCTCAGTTTTCATTCAACCAGAGGGTAAATAAATAGCTAATTTATTAATTTGATGTTATTCAAAAAACATTATTGTAATATCACATCCTATTTCTAGGACATACTGTACAACAAATACCACAGAATAAGTACGGCTCGCAAAGAGTCCAGCAAACGCAAAACACTCTCTACTCAAATAATTACCACACTCTCGAAGAAGTAATATAAATATTATATATATATATACAAACGAGAATGGTGTTTTTAATTCTGACATTTTTTAAATTATAATTCAAGGACTTTAAAGTCGATACCTTCGAGTACCGATTACTCCGCGAAGTCTCTTTCAGGCAATCAGTTACCAAAAGGTATTTAGGCGAACAAGACGTGAAGTTTACCAGCAGCGCTCATCAAGGTCCTGTTGTAGCACCTCAAGTACTTCAAAAACCACGTAACTCGAAATTAATGGAAGGATCGAACGCAACATTCACGGTGAAAGTATCAACAGCTAAGGACACTCGGGTATGAAGATAATCAGTTGGATCAATATTTGTTTAACAAGTATTATTTTATGTTTTGTTTACAGTTAACTTGGTTCAGAAACGGTCAGAGACTCGTGAATGGACCAAAACATCAGATAAACTTTACCAATCAACTAGCTACGCTAAATATCCCGGAAGTTCAATGTGAGGATTCAGGCCATTACACATTACTTGTCGAAAACCCACAAGGATGTGTAGTTTCGTCTGCATACCTTGCAGTTGAATCAGTTCCAATCGTTTATGATCGGTCAGAAGACAAGTGAGTTTGCATTTAAAATAATTATTATTATTCGGCTTAATTTATTTATATCGGCTTATGTTTTTTTAGAGAGAATATAGTTACCAAAACTCAACACAACAAGCTAGAGTCGGTAGAAGCTGTTGAGGGTAAAATGTTGGCGCCGAACTTTGTTAGAGTCTGTGGCGACCGAGACGTGACGGAAGGGAAAATGACACGTTTTGAAGTCCGAGTTACAGGGAAACCGTACCCTGAAGTGTCTTGGTATATTAATGGTCAAAATATTAAAGATGACGCTACTCATAAAATATTGGTCAACGAGTCCGGCGATCATTGTTTGATGATAACTAACGTATCCAAAGCAGATGCCGGTCAAGTAGTCTGCGTAGCTAGAAGCAGATCAGGAGAAACTTCTTTCCAAGTAATTACTTCACAATAAAATAACAATAATAAGCTTAATTTTATCCATATGTTTGACTTAAACAAAAGTTACTAAATAATTACTTGTAAAACTATGAAATTTGCTTTCTTAATAGATAACTATTTTAAGATTGTAATTTATGAATTCATAAGGGTTAAACAATATTTTTTTATTTTTTATTTGTTTAGTGTAAATTGGGTGTTGTTGAAAAGGAATTAGTTGTCGCTCCAAAATTTGTGCAACGTTTTACACCTGCCAATGTAAATGAAGAAGAACCTGTTACGTTGAGTGTAAGAGCAGTAGGAACGCCAGTACCCAGAATTACATGGCAAAAGGTATGGGAACAATTTTCACCGAGCTCAATAACTTGAACTATATGATTTCTCCGTTGTCTTTCTTTAGGATGGTGTGATGGTAAGCGAAATACCTGGCAAGTTGGCACTTTGGACCGAAGGCGGAGGATCAGTTTTAGAAATCGCAAGCGCATCTCCTGCAGACGCTGGTTGGTATCAGTGCACAGCTCAGAATACTGCGGGATCAACTGCTACACGAGCCCGTTTGAATGTCATAAGAAAGCCTGAACCTAGCGACTATGAAGATAAAAGACTTAGGTTCCCAAAACCAACTAGGGTAATCGAACCAGAGTAAGTTGTGAAAGAAAACAAAAATGCTTTACAATTTCTTATATTAAAGATATTTTTACTAAATTGTGATTTTGTATGATAATGAAGGCCTGAGCCGGAACCAGAAGTTGTTTTCTTGAAACACGTTGAAAGAGCAAAACACCAAACTTCTCGACCAGAAGAAGATAAAATTTACCCACCACCACGGTTTATTGTGCCTTTGTCCAATATTTCACAGCACGAGGATGGACGAATTCATTTTGAGGCAAGAATTGAACCAGTAGGGGATCCATCCATGAATGTCGAATGGTTTGTTAATGGTTATCCACTGAAAGCTAGTAAGTATTTACAAAACTGCGATACGGTAATTGTTTTTAAAGTAAAACATTACTGGTAAATTATTTTTTTTAGGTTCTAGAGTAACTACTCTATTCAACTACGGATTCATAGCTTTAGATATTTTAAGTATAATACAGGACGATGCTGGAGAATACACTTGTAGGGTAACGAGCAACTCGGGTACAGCTCAATCTTTGGCTGTGCTCGGTGTTCAAGGTAAGTTATTATTACTTATGGGGATTTAAAAATAAGTGATTGCACATCTTTTGTTCGTAGGCCGAGATGAAATAGATAAGTCGAGTCAATATCCAGATAGTTTGAAGTACATTGAACAGTTAGAAGATTATTCCAAATATCAAAGAACTGATAGTTATGAAGAAGTTCAGCCCGTACCACCAACGTTTGTTCGACCTCTTCACGATATGGGTGATTTGAATGAGGGAAGATACGCTCACTTTGAAGCTCAACTTAACCCGGTCAGTGATCCAACTATGAAGGTGGAATGGTATAAGGACGGCAAGCCTATCACAGCAAGTATGTGGTTTTATATTATTTATTGTATTTTTAGTTTATTCACTTTTTGTTAATAATATCGCAAATTAATAATACGATCTTAGGTTCACGTATAACGACCATTTTTAACTTTGGATACGTCTCATTAAACATAATGCATCTCCGCACTGAAGATAGTGGAGAATATACTTTACGAGCAATTAACCGTTGGGGTGAAATTATGAGTACTGCTAGACTTAATGTTATAGGTAAATACTTTTGTAGTTGTCTTATTAAATAAACGATGTTGACACAGTCATTACTCACTGAGGTAATTATATTTTTAATGTTATTGCAGCTCACAGCAACATTACAGGTGATCTAGGTTATCCGGAGCAACAAAGATATATTGAACAAACCGAAGCGTTAGAAAAATCTTACCAACAACATAAAAATCAAGAATATAAGACAATGGTACCAGAAAGTGTTGCGCCACCACAGTTTAAAACGCCAATTAAGGACCAAATAAACGTTAAGGAAGGTGGTTTCGCTCACTTTGAAGCAAGATTAGAGCCATTGGGTGACTCAACGCTTCAAGTGGAGTGGTTAAAAGATGGAAAACCAGTCGAAGCCAGTAAGACTTAATACGAAAAAATGTTGATAATATCACTATTTAATGTTTCTATATATTTTTAGGTTCAAGAATGACTGTTTTCTTTAACTTTGGATATGTTGCATTGACCATTAAACAGGTTACGTCATTTGATATTGGCACATATACTTGTAGAGCTTACAATAACCTTGGCGATGCTTCGACGTCTGCAGCGTTAACTGTACTTACGAGAAAGGATATAGTACAAGACAGTCAGTATCCGGGAGGCATAGAAAAGTTTCAATATTTGGAAGACTCTAAGTAAGATTGACTTGTAACGGTTGTATTCGGCTATAAATTATAATTTTAACGAAATGTTAGGAAAAACAAACGCAAAGCCGAAGAAGAGACAATAGTTACTCAAAAGCCTAGATTCCTTGGACCATTAAAAGGCACTAACAAAATAGCAGAAAGCCAAAGAGCTCATTTCGAGGTTCGAGTGGAGCCACAAAATGACGTTACAATGAAGGTAATTAGTACAATTATATTTTTATTAGGTTTTATTAAACATCTAACAATTAAATGTAATGGTAAATAGATTGAATGGTACTTCAACGGACGATCTATAATGAGCGCTAATAGAATTCAAACGTATCATGATTTCGGCTATGTAGCATTGGATATACTAAGTGTTAGGGCGGAAGATACTGGTACATATGAGGTTGTAGCCAGAAACGCTATTGGAGAAGCTCAGTTATCTACAACTATGCAAGTGGAAGGTAGACCGACAAAAAATAATATAATAATTGTGCTGTAAGTAACTAAAATTCAATTGCAATTTTTAGTTCGTGCTAATATTGATACAACTACTATGCACCGCGGAGTGGTTGAAAAAGCTCCATATCTTGAAGCGAGAAAGTTTACTGAACCTCAATACGACATTGAAGAAATTTCTAAATCAAAACCGATATTTATTCAACCTTTAAGTGATCCTCAACCAGTCAATGAAGGCAAAAACGTTCACTTAGAATGTCGTCTTGAACCAATGGGTGATCCCACTATGCGTGTAGAATGGTTCCAAAATGGAAAACCGGTTACAGTTGGTAAGTTGTATTTCAAATTAAAAAATAAATTTACATATAAATTACTTATAGTTATTGGTATTGTTTTTTTATCTGAAAAATAAATACTTCCAATGAGTTGTACTACATTTAAATCAATGTATCTATTTATAAAACGTGTATAATTTGATCGATAACGTGTATGTACAATTAATTTAAATTATACAATTTTGTTTTTTTATTATAGGCTCGAGATTCCGTACTTATTACGACTTTGGCTACGTGGCTTTAGATATTATTCACGTGACATCAATTGATTCTGGAGAGTATACCGTCAGAGCTACAAATCATTTAGGATCTGCTCACACATCAGCATGTGTTAATGTAGGTTGCATTTATTATATAAAATATACATATACATTTAAATATTATATTAACTCATATTTAATAGATCATCTCTCGTTCGGGTATACTGACTGAGAGTCAAAACGAATACGCGTTGGAACAGATTCAGTTATTAGAAGATGCTTCGAGGTATCAAAAAATGGTTATTGATGATGAAACTGTTATGCAAGCACCTCAATTTACAAAATCATTGCATAATATACAAACATCTGAAGGCACAAATGTGCATTTGGAATGTAGATTAAAACCCATCGGAGATTCAACAATGAGAGTTGATTGGCTTGTAAATGGGCGATCTGTAAAAATTGGTCACAGGTTCCGTCCAGCTTATGATTTTGACTATGTGGCGTTAGACATACTAAGCGTATATCCCGAAGACTCTGGAGTTTATACTTGTCAGGCAAGAAATGAAATGGGCGAAGCAGTGACGTCGAGCTCAGTAAAAGTGATAGCTAAAAAGGACTTGATACTGGATACCCAAAATCCAAGTGGTTTAGAAAAAATCCAATACTTAGAAGATACGTCGAGATACAAAAAAGCAGAAATGTTCGACGAAGAAGTGAAAATCATGCCTAGATTCTTAACTAAGCCAAAGAACGTAGAAAATCTGAAAGAAGGACAACATGCTCACTTCGAATGTAAACTTGAACCAGTCACTGATTCTAATCTAAAAGTTGAATGGTTCAAGAATGGACGGCCAATTATAATTGGTAAGTATTATATTCTATAAAAAGTACACAGTTTACTAATACATCTGCTTTATAGGCCATAGATTTAGACCTATTCACGACTTTGGATATGTTGCGTTGGATATAATTGATTTGATTGAAGAAGATTCAGGCACTTATACTTGCCGTGCTATCAACTTAATTGGAGCAGATGAAACCAACTGCCATTTGTCGTGTAGAGGTAGTATTAGCAATCAAATTTAATTGAATATAATAACAATGTGTTTCTCATTTTTGTTACGTTTAGGTTCAAAGGCCATAGTGACAGAACCACAAAATGAAATGGGACTTGAACAAATACAATACCTCGAAGAGCGAACCCGCTACCATAGAAAAGAGGAAGTAGAAGAAACCACTACACAAGCACCGATTTTCACTACTTCATTGAAAAATTGTGACATAAAAGAAGGACAGAGGGCTCATTTTGAATGCAGACTTATACCTGTATCCGATAGCACCATGAAAGTTGAATGGTTCCATAACAATGTGCCGATTAAATTTGGGTCTCGTTTTACCGAAACCAATAATTTCGGATTTGTCGCTTTTGATATTTTACAATGTCTACCAGAAGATTCAGGAACGTACACGTGTCGCGCTACAAATTGGCTGGGTCAATCGATTACATCTGGAAACCTTAACGTACAATGTATGTATATAATACACCCAATTACCACCAAATGTACTAAATATTCAATGTTTATTTGCAGCGAGAAAATCAATATACTTGGAATCGCAACACCAAGAAGCTTTAGGCCGTTTATCTCAGCTTGAGAACGCTAATCGCTATCAGCGCCATTCAGTTATCGAAGATGTAGTTACACAAGCACCAGTTTTTACTCAACCAATGAGAGACTTAAAAACTGTTGAAAGCCAATCCGCTCATTTCGAAGCCAGATTAATACCGGTTGGTGACGATAAGCTGAAAGTAGAATGGTTAAGGAACGGAATACCCATTCAAGCATGTGCGTATAAACATTATACCTACTTGCGTTATTTATAGATTTACAATAAGCAATTTATTTGTTTTTACAGCTAATCGAGTAACTACGATGCACGATTTCGGTTATGTTGCTCTTAATCTCAAATATGTGTACCCAGAAGATTCTGGTACATACACGTGTAGAGCTGTAAATGAACTCGGACAAGCAGTGACTTCAGCCACTCTAGACGTGCAATGTATGTGTGATTGTAAGAGTATAAAACAGATCACTAATTGTTAAATTTATAATTTGTTATAGCTAAAGCTTCACTTCAGTTGGAAAGCCAACACGAGGCAGCTCTGTCAAAACTCAGGCAACTTGAAGACCAAAGTAAGTACCAGCGGTCAGAAGAAAAGGAAATTGAAGTCACTGAAGCACCCAAGTTCATTGTACCTTTGAATGGAACCGAACACATATCGGAAGGCCAAAGTGCCCATTACGAATGCCGCATAGAACCTTATCCAGACAATACATTGAAATTAGAATGGCTGCATAACGGAAAACCCTTACAAACGGGACATCGGTTTAGGACAACTTATGATTTTGGATTTGCATCTTTAGATGTACTTTCTGCTCTACCGGAAGATTCTGGAGAATATACTTGCAGGGCAATAAATAAAATTGGCCGAGCTGAGTCTTCCGTTAAGTTAGGAGTACAATCTCGTGCTTCCATTATACGCGAATCGCAGCACCAAGGAGCGTTGCAAAAAATACAATACTTAGAAGACGATTCGAGATACAAGCGCGCTGCAGCTGAAGAAGTACTTGCAACTGAAAAACCACAATTTGGCCGCCCTCTTAAAAATGTCGAACATCTACCGGAAGGCAAAAGTGTTCATCTTGAGGCAACGTTAATTCCTGTTAATGACCCAACTATGAAAGTAGAATGGTTTAGAAATGGAATACCAATTCCGCAAGGTCATAGATTTAAGACGACCTACGATTTCGGATTCGTTGCTTTAGATGTACTTTATGCGTATCCAGAAGATTCAGGCACATACATGTGCAAAGCCAAAAATGCCGCCGGTGAAGCAGTAACTACTTGCATTGTAACAGTTGATTGTAAGTTTAAGTGTACCTTTCAAATTTCACGGGTTCAAGTTATACTCATTACAAACTATAACTTTTAGCTAAAGCCGGACTACAATTGGATACATTAGATGAGGACAGATTGAAAAAAATCAAACAACTCGAAGCTTATGAAAGACCTGCTGCTAAAGAGGCTGAGTTTGAATTACAAAAACCAGTGTTCCTCACACCTTTAAACAGGTAAAATATAATTTTAAATCATATATAATATGTTTTCAAAACAAAATATATCTATATTTATTAAATTTAGCCTGGAACTGAAAGAAGGAGAACACGCTCATTTAGAAACCAGAATAGAACCGATTAACGATACAGACTTGACGATTGAATGGTTTGTTAACGGAGTATCAATTAAAACTGGTCATCGGTTTAAAACTACACATGATTTCGGTTATGTCGCTCTTGATATACTTTATGCTTATGGAGAGGACTCGGGTACTTACATGTGTAAGGCAACTAACAAGCAAGGAGAAGCCGTGAACACTTGTCAAATTAACGTTGCTTGTAAGTGAAAAACTGTTCAATTAGGATTTATGTAATATTAAGGCACGTATTTAAATTTAAAAGTAATTTAATTTCTTTAGCTCGAAGGAGCATTTATCTTGAAACGCAACATCCTGATGGTCTCGAAAAAATTCGAGAACTGGAAGCTCAAGGACGACCAGCTAAACTTGAGATAGATGAGCCTCCACCAATGGCACCCGTACTAACGGAGCTCTGGGTTTGTACTATTTTATTTATTTTAATACTTTAAGCTTCGATGTCGAGTTAAGATGAATTATACGTATGTTTTTTTAATAATTTAAAAATATCTCTAGTCTTTATTTATTAATATTTCATGTTTGAAAATTAGCCAAGAGCTGTAGTATATATTTAATTTGTAACTGCTAGTTTTGACAAAATTAAAATATAATAGTATTCTTGGCGTCTTTTCAATTATATTTTGCTTATAAATATTATACTTGAATGTTAATTTTTTTTTGAAATATATATTGCACCCCCGCTTAAAAAGTGAGACAACTCGAAAAACATGATTTTCGAGGTTATTATAGCATATTTTACATAAATATCATATCTTTAGTGTGTAAAAACGTCATAAGTCTATTATTATTTTTCACCGATAGATGGCGCACGTCCCTTTTGGTATTACAATATTTCACATCATGTTGTACTTTTTTAAATGACTATTCGAAAATGGCATTTTTCCAGTTGTGTCAATTTTTTAGCGGGGGTGCGATGTATTATATATATATAAATATATATTAGGGTGGCACTTAAAAATAGATTTTTTACGGTACTAAATTGGTACTAATGTTCTTAAAAAAGTGTTAAACATTTAAATCCCTTATCCCTGGGCCTCACAAGTTGAGTTGGAAAGTAATTTTTAAAAAAAAGGTGAAATATTCGCTACATTTTTTCTGATGGTCAATCCACAATTATAGAAGTGTAACCATTGAATAGAATATTTTAAGAGGATTAAAAAAAAGTGCTTTAAAACAATAATGAAAAAATGTTTAGGGCACTACTGAGGTAGCTGAAGGAAAAACAGCCCACTTTGAGTGCCAAGTCAAACCGATTCACGATTCAAATTTAAAAGTGGAATTTTTCCACAACGACAAACCACTGGGCTCCGCTTCTCGGTTCCATACAACCCACGACTTTGGTTATATATCATTAGATATCGGTCATGTTGTGCCTGAAGATGCAGGGAAATATACAGTTAAAGCTACTAATGCTCTGGGACAAGCCGTTTCTAATATTACCTTGAAGGTTCAAGGTAAAGTAATATTTATATTATTGTCACTTATGTAACTAAAACGTTTTGATGTTCCCATTTAGATAGTGGAAGTATTATTTTGGATTCTCAAAGGCCAGAAGGACTTGATAAAATTAGAGAACTTGAACTGGCGGTACCATTTAAACGCCCTGATTATTCAGAACCGATTACAAAACAAAGACCAATGTTTACTCATCCTTTACAAAATATTGACAGTATTAATGAAGGGCAAACGGCTCATTTTGAATGTCGTCTTATTCCGGTTGGCGATGCAACTATGACTGTCGAATGGTTCAGAAATGGGCAACCATTAGAAACGAGTACTAAATAATTAAAAATATCACTATTATCGAGCCAAAAGTTATGACATTTATTTAATTTTAGGTTCAAGAATCACGAAGTCATATGACTTTGGTTACATATCATTAGATATTTCTCACGTCAGAGACGAAGACAATGGAGTGTACAGTTGCAAAGCTACAAATGTTCTAGGGGAGGCAGTCACTACAGCTTCCATGCACGTTAGAAGTGAGTTTCATATCTGAAATTATATCGTTTAAAAAAAAGTATAATATCTAACCTTGGTGTCGTTGCTTTCAATAGCCAAAGACGATATTCAACTAGAAAGTCAACACCCCGAAGGACTGAAAAAAATTGTCGAGTTGGAACGCAGCGAACCGATGAAACGAGAGGAACTGGAAAGAGTTTTTGAAAAACCCATTTTCACTCAACTCCTTACCGGACCATCAGAACTTATTGAAGGACAACATGCTCACTTTGAATGTAGAGTGGTGCCAGTTGGAGATCCGACTTTACACTTCGAGTGGTATGTCAATGGAGTTGAGCTAAAAATGGGTAAATATACAATCAATATTAAGAAATTTTTTTAAAATTAAAATTATCTAATTATAAAACGTTCAATTATCAGGATCGAGATTCCACACAACACATGATTTTGGTTTTGTCACACTTGACATAAGCCAAACTGTTGCTGAAGATTCTGGAGTTTATACGTGCAAAGCAATTAACAGGGCTGGAGAAGCTGTATCTTCCACTTCACTAAAAATAAGAGGCAAGTACTTAAACGTAAAACGAATTAATTCTACTTGTGAAATTGTATAAGACCGGTATTAATATTATAAAGTGTATTTGCTTAGACCGTTCATCGATTGTACGGGAACCATTGCAACCAGATTCATGGGAACAAATTCAATTGAAAGAAGCAGAAATGAATAGAGTACCAGAGATGTTTATAGATACGAGACCCCAACAAGCTCCAGTATTTACTACTCATTTGCAAAATCAAGATAGTCTTGTAGAAGGTCAGCACGTTCATTTAGAAGCTCAAGTAGAACCTAGAGCAGATCCTAATCTCAGAATAGAATGGTTCAAAAATGGGGAATCGTTGACAACTGGTTAGTATAATATTTTGTATTTTTATTTAAATTTAACTGGATAGTATAAAACAAACTTAATGTAATATATACATTTTTTTTTCATTCTAGGTTCAAGAATAAGGAGTACCTTTGATTTTGGGTTGATCACTTTAGCGATAAACAGTTTGAGACCCGATGATTCAGCTATTTATACTTGCAAAGCTACAAATTTATTGGGTGAAGCTGTATCGACATGCACTTTAAAGATAGTAGATACCAACTGGCTTTTGAGCAATACTTTACATCCCGATTCTCTTTCAAGAATAGAAGCTTTGGAAAAACCACAACCTGGACGACCTGAAGGTCCTGAGCCCGTGTATGAAAGCCCAGTATTTATATCACATCTCAATAATTGGGAGTGCAAAGAAGGCAGCGATGCTCATTTTGAATGTCAAGTGGAACCATCCAAAGATCCTACAATGAAAATAGGTTCGTAATTCCTAATTGTAAATACAATAAAATGTACTAAACCCTAATTTACATATTTATTTCCGCTTCTTTACGAATTAGAATGGTTTTTAAATGGAAAACCGCTTCAAACTGGGTCGAGATTTAAACCATCCTACGATTTTGGCTTCATTACGTTAGATATTAAACAAGCACTTGCAGAGGATTCTGGAATTTATACTTGTAAAGCAACTAACGACAAGGGATACGCAGTGACGACTGGAACTCTAAAATGCACTGGTATACAAAATTATTACTGTTGTTTTATTTGTTTATATATTATTATTATTGTTAATTGTATTATCTAATAATTATCTTTTTTATTGAAAAAATTACATATTTGTGATAGGTTTCCAAGGCATACACTTAGACACACAACATCCTCAAGGTATTACCGGACTGGAAAAAGTACAGCAAGTTGAAGATACTTTGGCTCATAAATATCAACGTCAACCATCTTTGCCCGAAGCTGCTTACCCAAAACCTATATTCATTGTACCACTGGAGGCTGAGTTTATACTCCCTGAAAGTGCACCACTTCATTTGGAAGCTCGAGTTGAACCGAAAGACGATCCCAGTTTAAAAATTGAATGGTATTTTAACGGACAAGTACTTGATTTAGGTAATGAAGATTTTTGTAAATTTATTTTATTTTTGAATTCCATATGATTTAATAACTTAATAACTAATACCATGTTTAGGATCTCGGTTTAAAACTAACAATGATTTCGGATTTGTCACATTGGATCTTACTGATGTATATGATCGTGATCAAGGAGTGTACACGTGCAAGGCTTACAACCATTCTGGTGAAACGTATACTTCAACTACAGTGTATTGTAGTAGCAAAGATGGTTTAATTGAGCATACTCAACATCCTAAAGGAGAAGAAGGTTTAGAAAAAATACAAAATTTAGAAGAATCCTTACAAAAGCCAAAACAAGGAGTAATTGATAAAGAAACTGGACATGCTCCTGCATTCACATCACAAGTAACAACCATTTTTAATTAATAATATTATTGCTGGTATGGCTAATTATTTTTTAACTATTGTTTTATAATAATTACAGTTTAAAGATCTCGGATTTTTAAGTGAAGGTGAAATCGCTCATTACGAAGCATCGTTGATACCGGTTGGTGATCAAAAAATGAAGGTCGAATGGTTCTATAACGGAAAAGTGATCGAAGCAAGTAAGTCATCGATAAAAAAAAATATGTATATTAGAACTGTTTAACATATTACGCTTACACAATTAGGTCACCGTATTCGCACAATTTACGCTTTTGGAATGGTTGTACTTGAAATACTCGGCACAAAGATCATTGATACTGGAACTTACACATGTAGAGCAACTAACGATTATGGTACAGCTGAAACAAGTGTCACTCTAGAGTGCGTCGAAAGAATAACTGGTCAGAAACCAAAATTTACGTCCCAAATCGAAAGCCTCGAGGGACTAAAAGACGGCGATTCTGCTCATTTCGAGTGCACTTTAATACCCGTCAATGATCCCGACTTGAAAGTGGAGTGGTTCCATAATGGCAAACCGTTGTTGCACAAAAATCGCGTTAAAATGATTTCCGATTTCGGCTATGTTGTCATGGATATTGCTTATGTACAAAACCACGATGCGGGAGAATACGTTTGCAAAGCAAGTAACAAGTAAGTCATTGAAGTTGTTGTATGTCAAGCATAACTAAATAATAATCACATTTTATTCATCTAGATACGGCGAAGACACTACTAGAGCTAAAATTCAGTGTTTCGGCAAAGGAGGAGTGTATGTAGATTCATTGCAACCCAGTTCTTTAGCCCGCATCCAAGAACTTGAGAACCCTGTAGGTGCTCAGCGATCACCTTCTATTCCAGTATTAGAAGCGCCAAAATTCGTTAGTCAGATAACAGATATAACCAATTTGAAAGAAGGCCAAAGCGCTCACTTTGAAGCTCGCGTTACTCCTGTCAACGATCCAAATCTTGTTGTAAGTCTAGCACCTGGTATAATTTATTTTTAATTTCTTCAAAACGTATTTTTTTTTTAAATTTGTTTGAAGGTTGAATGGTATTTCAACGGCGAGAAGTTGCAGCACGGTCACCGGTTTAGGACATTCCATGATTTCGGTATTGTGATTTTGGATATACTTTGTTGTTACGAAGAAAACTCTGGAGTTTACGAGTGTAGAGCTTTCAATAAAGTCGGATCAGACAGCACTAAAGCAAAGCTTCGTTGCTTATCAAAGACGAATCTTATATTAGAATCACAACTCCCTCAGGGAATGGAAGGAGGACTAGAAAAAATTCAAACTCTTGAAGATTCAACGATGAAAACTAAAGGCGAAAGAGCGTCTGCAGAAACTCGCCAGGCTCCAATATTCACAGAACCACTATCCAATATTGACAGTCTTCGAGAAGGCGAAAGCGCACATTTTGAAGGTCGTTTGACACCTATTGACGATCCAAACTTAAAGGTAATTTTTATAACTTTTAATACATATTATATATGATATTTATGAATATTGATATTTACGATTAATAGGTTGAGTGGTACTGGAACGGTAAACCATTAAAAGCGGGATCCAGATTCAGGACGTTCTGTGAATTTGGGTTTGTTATATTGGAAATTTCTCCTGTATACCCTGAAGATTCCGGAGATTATTCGTGTCGTGCAACTAATAACTACGGGGAAGCAGTTTCAATATCTAGCATGAAAGTTCAAGGAAAAAGAAGCATTATCATGGAGTCTCAGCTTCCTAAGGGAATGGAAGGAACTATCGACAAAATTGCCGAACTCGAAGGTCTTGGTCAGTCAAAAGCGATAATTGAAACCGAAGACGAAATGGGAAAAGCTCCAGAGTTTATAACTACACCGGCAGACCTTAGTTTACCAGAAAACTCGCTATCACACTTTGAATGCAGACTTTTACCTGCGAACGACCCGAGTATGGTGGTAACTTGGTTCCACAATGGCAAAGTGCTGTCGGCCGGATCACGTATTAAGACGATCAATGACTTTGGTTTCGTCATCTTAGAAGTAGCCGGTGTTTACATACGAGATTCTGGTCTATATACTTGCAAGGTAAATACTTTATTCAATTTTAATACCTCTTGAGTCGTATAACATTTTTTAATAATAAACATGTCTTTTTAAAAATGTATTACAAATATATATATATACATATCTTCAATTGATTAACGTCAACGTTGTCCCTCTTAGGCCACTAATAAACATGGGGAAGCTACTGTAACATGCAAGCTGCAAGTGAAAGGTCGACAAGGTATTGTTTTGGAACCTCAGTTGCCAAATAATTTCAGAACCGGTACAGAGAGCATACAAAAACTCGAAGAGAATATGTATAAAAAGGAAGAAACTTTGACTGAAGACGAGAAACCTAATCCACCGAAATTCATCGTAGAACTGAAGGTAATGTTCGCATAAAAAATTCGAAAACATAATATTATTTTTACATAATGAGTTATTTTTTAGGATGCATTGGACGTCCAAGAAGCTAAATCTGTGCGTTTCGAGTGTAGAGTCGAACCGATTAACGACCCAACTCTACGCATCGATTGGTTCTTTAACGGAAAACCTTTTGCCACGGGTTCACGAGTTCACGTAGTAAATGATTTTGGCTTTATTTCATTAGACATGGATTATGTGTACTCTCGAGATTCCGGCGAATATATATGCAGAGCGACCAATAAATGGGGAACGGCGATAACCAAAGCAAACTTGACGTGCACAGCCAAACTGAACGTTATATTAGATTCTCAATTGCCCGATGGTATGAGTGGTGAAAAACTGAAAGCGTTAGAACAGGGGCCCGTTCAAGAAAAAATAGTTCCAGATGAGATAGAAGCTATACCGCCTAAATTCTTATCGCAGGTAATGCAAATTTCATAGTTATTATTGGTTTTTAATAATATACGGTCATTGTAATTAAACATATTAAATACAATTTTACAATAAATGTAAGGGTTCTAATATTTATCTATTGAAATCTTGTTGTTTGTAGATCGAATCGGCGACAGTCGAGGAAGCTAGTTCGGTGCATTTTGAAACGAGAGTAGAACCCAAAAACGATTCAAAACTCAGAGTGGAATGGTACAGAAACGGAAAACCTCTTCCGTCGGGACACAGATACAAAACATTATTTGATCTGGGCTTTGTTTCTTTGGATATATTATCCATGTATGCTGAAGATTCCGGAGAATATGTATGTAGGGCTGTAAACGACCACGGCGAGGCTATAACTAAAGCTATGGTTACATGTAAACGTGAGTGCAGTCCCACGATAAAATATTTAATTATATTTGACATTCTCAAATTAAAAATATAAACGTGTTTTTCATTAGAATTACCGACAATTTTATTGCAAAATCAAGTACCGAAGGGTATGAAAAAGTCTGAGGCATTGACTCAAATGGAAGCGGCTATTAAAAAGTATACTTCTGAAATACATTTGACCGAAGACGATTTGTACGAACCGGAAAAGAAGCAACCACCAAGGTAAATTAAATAAATTATCAGAAACATATAAACTAAGTAAACAAATTTGGAAAATAATTTTAGGTTCGTAACCCAAATCAACGATCAATTATCATTAGTCGAAATGGAGTCGACCAAATTCGAATGTCAACTCGCTCCAGTGGGTGACCCTAACATGAAGGTTGAGTGGTTCTTAAACGGAAAGCCATTAAGACACAGTACGTTGTTAGTTGTTGTTAAATATCATTACCAATTAATAATCCTTTCTTCTCAATATCAGAGAACCGATTCAATCCAATTTATGACTTCGGTTATGTCGCCATGAACTTTGGATGGGTGTACCCAGAGGACAGTGGAGAATATGTTTGTAGAGCTACGAATTTATACGGACAAGATGAAACTAGAGCGATGATAAAAACGGCCGGTAAACCCGGTATCATTTACGAGTCACAGCTTCCGAAGGGAATGAAGAGCATTGAAAAAATCCGAGAAATGGAAGCTTCGTGGCAAGTGTAAGTATACAGCAGCATCGTATGGGGTTAATATTTAAAATTAATATTTATATGTATTTTTTAACACTTGAAGATTACCCGAAGAAAAAGAAGAAGAAGAAAAACGCAGGGAACCACCACAGTTTGTGAGCAAACCCGAACCCGTGACCATATGTGAAGGCGATTGGGCTAGATTTTGCTGCAGAGTTACTGGATTCCCTAGACCAAGAGTCATGTGGCTGGTCAACGGTAATACTGTAGTTAATGTAAGTTGTTACCAAATAGAAAAAAGTAGAAAATGGGAGTTTGTCCAATTAGACATAACACGCTTGTTGTGACTAAAAAATCACGTTGCTTCGCAGGGTATGCGTTATAAATTAAACTACGACGGAATGTGGCACTTGGACATACCGAAAACGAGACAATACGATCATGGAAAAGTCGAAGTGATCGCCAGAAATTCGGTGGGAGAATCTCGCGTCGAGACCATGTTGACGGTCAAGTCCAGGCACGACGACTACAGAGGTGTATTGAAAAATTCACCGAGACGTAAGTATCACATGTATTCAAAATTATGGCCATACTCGAAGGCATATACGCATATAAACTATTAATGCTGAAATTTTGAACGGTTCAATTTGTGTTGTCGCATTACGCACATAATATAGGTGCATTTACTGTGAAAGTCTTAAAAGTGAATAATGCTTTTAAAAAAACTCATAATATTCAAGTATGTAGATTTAATAATCTTAAGCAAAATATTATACTTGTACACGCTCATACACTCACCTACATAACACAATACAATACAGCTCCTAGTTCCTCCTCCATCATCTTTTATATCAAATGTCGTTCATTTGTATCATGTCGCTTTGCTAACTTGCTAAATTGGCTTGTCAAGAGGAAGTCTTCGTAGTTTCTGTTAACTGTCTGCGGTACTACGCTTCTTGGAGTTTGGAAACAGGTATTTTATTGCTAAAAATATTAATCAATCCAATCATTTGCGGAAAATCCACCCAAACTATTAACATTTTAATATTATTACAGTTTAAATTATGGTTGAGCTTAGATTTTAACTAATTTAGTACTAGAATGTTGTTTTTGTAATTAACCATAAACCGTATCCATTTTTATCTAAAAACGTAATAATAATTGGTTTCTATGTGTATTTAGCGTGGTATGACTCCGATTTGGTTCAATACCAAAAGGATCTCCAGGAAAACGAATTGGAAAAAGTGTTTACTGAAAGGGCGTCGACCGTACAGCAGTCTGATTATGGCAGTACCGTGATATCTGCCGTTGGTGAGCACATAAAACAAAAACAATTGAGTGAACCAAAACCAGAATGGACTGAAACCGTAAAACAAAAGAAAAACGAAGAATACTACAACAAATTGAGCAGGGTAAGGCATTTCAATACACTGTCATACGCTTAGGATAACTGTACCAAATTAGTGTGTTTAATAATTATTTTTTTTATAATGTTAAGTTGGAAGGAAACCAGGTCATAAAGGAAACTAAAATACGTGAAGCATCACATCAGATGCCAATTCCTGGTGAAAAAATTGTTAGTAAAAATAAAGGAACAGCTAATGAATTCGAAGAAACTCTGTAAGTATTTCCTGTTAATATGTTGAATTTGTTTATAAAACTTTTAATTATTGGTCATTTATTTCAGGGTTAAAGAGAAAAAAGAAGAGTTGATGCCATGGCAAACGAAGATACTTAAAGCCAGAGCCGACCACGACTCACAATTTGTACCAGATCCCTCGGAGTCCTCTGTACACGGAAAAGAAGTGCATGTTTCCACGCAAAAACAAACTCAAAAAGAAGTTAGTACTAGTTAGACGTATTTGTAAATAGAACGGTGGCTCATTAGTAAACCTAACATGTAAAACATACACAATTTAATTGCATACTCTTGTGTCACTCTTAGCGGTGAATGTCACCCAGACTATCAAATGATATGTTATAAATATAATATATTATTATATCGGTCTGACGTTAACCGTTTTGAGTGCTACAGAGCATATTCATTTTTAGAATTATCCTATGAAAGAACCATTCGCTGCTGTCGTATTGACATTACACATTATTTAGCAAATCTATTTTAATCTACATGATTTTGATTTCAAATTTATTAATAGAAATCTTTATTTATAATTAGATTCAAGGTAACAAAGAAATCAACAGAAAAATAACTTCTACCGAAACCACCGAAATGGAACACAGCGGAAATACTCAAGAGAAAATGGTACAAGGAAAAGTAGTAAGTGAATGAAACGAGATAATTTCGTCCCGACTGTGTCATTAACCATATTTGTTTTTTTTAGGAACCATCAAAGCCACCAATATTCACTAAGAAAATTCAGCCTTGTCGAGCTTTTGAACAAGACCAAGCTCGTTTCGAAGTGGAATTCGATGGAGAACCATTGCCGACGATTAAGTGGTACAGAGAAGATTTCCTAATCCAAAACTCACCGGACTTCCAAATTCACACGTTCAGCACAAAATCTATTCTCGTCATTAGACAAGTTAGCCTCGTACACTGTTTACTAAGTCAGAGATGGGCAAAACATATTAATTGATAAGTTTAAGATAATATTACAAGATTAATCAAATAATTAATACATATTATCATTATAAATTTAATTTATAAAGCCATCAAATTTTAGCAAGAAGTAAATTTATAGGTGCACTATGATTAATGAACATATCAAAATCTGTATTAATGTCTACCTCTGATTATATAAAGCAATCGAAAACGAAGTTAGTGTTACTCATGCCGATCCTATAATTAAATTTTATAGGTATTCATGGAAGACTCCGGAGTTTTTGCTGTCATTGCCGAAAACAGAGGAGGAAAAGCCAAATGCAGTGCCAACTTGGTAGTCGAAGAGCGCAAACAAGTCGGCAGGAAAGGCCCGGGACCTCCAAGTTTCCTGACCACCATTCAAGGGTCGGTTGTAAAAGCCGGACAGTTGGCTAGGTTTGACGTGAAAATCAGCGCCAACAAACCTTTAGACGTATACTGGCTGAAGGTATGTATAACAAATAACAACTTTTCCTTTAACTTGACAGTCTTGGCACGAAATCTAATTTTTGAATCGTGTGTCTGTCTATGTCGTGCAGAACGGAAAGAAAATATCTCAGGACATCCGTTACAAAACGATTGATGAAGACAACCAGTATACTCTTTTGATCTTGGAAACGGCAACCGAAGACAGCGGAACTTACGAGTGCGTCGCGATCAATAACTCCGGTGAGGCGAGATGCGAAGCGCAGTTGTTGGTTCAACCTCTTGAGCAAAAAACCAAACCCAAAGGAAAACCCACTGGCAAAGAACAGGCACCCGCAATTACCCAACCGTTGTCCGGCCAAGTGATTCACGAGGGACAACCGGTCACGTTTACTTGTAAAATATCCGGCCAACCCCGTAAGTGTACACCAAACGTTATACAATTCCAAATTGTAATACTTACTCAATTGTCGTTTTCTCATCCCTAGCGATTAACGTGAAATGGCAAAAGGGTGACAAAGTGATCAAACCGTCGAAATACTTCCGGATGACGCAGGACGGCGAAACCGTGGCTTTACATATATCCGAGGTGTTCCCTGAGGACGAAGGCACTTACAAGTGTTTCGTGTCCAATGCCGGTGGTCAAGCAGTGTTGTCTGCCGATTTAAAAGTCATAGGTAATAATTAAGATTCAGATTTTTTTCTTAATCAGCAAACCAAAAACCAAAATTATGTATGTTATGCTAATGGGCTGTTTTTTTTTTAAATTTATCATTCAGTACCCGAAAATCAAGACGAAGCTCCTACGCTTAGTCCCATGAGAGATGTGGTCGTGCCGGAAGGTAGTTCTGCCCAGTTTCGCACTCAAGTCACTGGCAAGCCGCAGCCTACTATTCAATGGTTCAGAGAAGGCACTCTGATTCCGGACACGCCCGACTTCAAAGTGAGTAACCTAATTCGATATGTCGGTATTTTTTTGAACAAAGCCAAAAACAACATTTTCATGAGATGAATAAATACAGTCAACTGAGTCAAAAATATAAATATAATTTTGTATTAGGAGTAAAAAATCATTAGTAGGTCATGCGAAAATAAATCATTATAATATTATTTTTAATGTTCTGTTTTTAGAATTTAAGTAATTAAATATTAAGTATTATATATTTATATTATGCAATGTAGTCAATTCCATTGGTTCAAAATAGCTGTTATAAAAAAGCCTTACATACGAAAACCTTAAAACCAAAATAACTCGAACACATTTTATTGTGCTGGTGATTTTTGTAGACAAAATGAAAGTCTAGTTGTTGAAAGCGGAAGGGAGATAATATATATTTAGAGTGCGCGGAGAGAGAGAAAGGGGCAGTGAAGGAAGGCCAACAATACTATTTTTATTTTTTAATAAATTTAATTAAAATTAAATTAAATTAAAGCCGTTCTTTAAATAAATAAAATACTTCTTTGATGAATAATCTAGCCTATGAGTTGGCGCATTATAATAATAATCTAATAAATCCGGTTGACCATAAATTATATTATACATATTGTTGGCAAAAGCTAAACAAACAATTTTGGAAAATAAAGTTATTTTACATTATAATTTATATAGATTCTATGGCAACCTTTGTTACAGCATCGTTAACAACTCTCTGTTTTAAACGAAAAAGTCTAATTATGCTTTACTACAAAACTCAATTAAAAGAGACCCAGGGTCATATTCAATTTTGCTGATTATTATATTTTACACTTAGCAACCTTTTGACAAAAGCTTCGAACTCAGAATAAAAGAGTATTAATATTAACTTTTTTATGATAACCATTAAGTTTAAAATATTATTTAGAAATATATTATTTTATTTGAGAAAATAAATACTTCAATTTTTATATTGAGAACTATTAATGCAATATACTAAGTAGAACTAATTGTGTCATATTTTTAAATTTGAATCAATTATATTTTCACAGTAATCAGATCAATTATCAATAATAAGGTCGCTAATAAATATCCTAATTAATTCTCACTGATAGTTTTTGATACATATGATTTGTAGTAAACACTTTGTTGAAATCTAACGGTTGGAAATACCTGTACTGAATTAATATGCAACTATATGTGTATCTCTTGTGATTGCAGATGCTCTACGAAGAAAATTTGGCCGTACTTTTGATCAAGTCGACGTACGAAGAAGATTCCGGCGTGTTCATATGTCGTGCCACAAACAGTGGTGGGCAAGTAGAAACTTCGGCCAGACTTACGGTGAAAAGTAAGAAATAATCACGATTAAGTAAACTAGATTATCATTACTTTTTTTTTTTGAAACGACGTCAGTATGCAGAGATAAAAACAAGTATATAATATTAATACATACATTATATATACACATATATTTACAATATACTGCATCGGCCAATTATTTAGCTTATAAGATTATATCAATTAGTGACGTATACGTCCATGCTACATGTGCTTTCATTTCAAAATATTTAACCTGAACGGTATTCAGTAGAGCTATTATATTTGAGTGTGTAGGCTGAACGTGATGACTCCATTGATCTACACCGATCGTCGTTTTAAAATTGAGCTACTATTATTCAGCTAATGTCCCTCTCCTTCCTGAATACCTTATAATAATATATCTAGTGCCATACAATTATTTATTTCCTCATTTATTTATTTATTTATACAATTGATTTTGTTTTGTTAACAATAAGCGTGTTACTAAGATGTTTTGTTTAAATTATTAATAACGTATTATTTTATCGAATCCGTACGGTCACGAAAAAAATTATTTTGATATTATACAATTATTGTCAGCAATGTGTTTTGTTTTAACCATAATAATTGTTTGCTAAAATTGATTTATATACACCGATTGATATTTTTCATATTTTATTATGTATTGTTTCATTATAATAATAATATTTAATGTGGCACGATCTATACGGCTATTGTATTAACAAGTATATTCTATTATAATATTTAATAAACGATTGTTTAATTGCAAAAATATTTAAACATATTGTATCTATTGTAGTAATTTAAGTACTAGACTTCTAGACAGCCTAGACCGGTCTCCTGGTAAAAAATCAAATCGTGTTATATATATTTTTTTTTTGTGGTTTGTATCGTCATAGTATATTTTATGTTTAAACAAATATAAAAACGAACGATCTTCGGTATCGCGGAATGCGATGTCGTGTTTCGATTTGGGTTAAGGTTGTGATAACGGCCTTAATTTGAAGTTGACAATCGAAATTTATCGCCTTCGACTACACGACGGGTTAAGGGTATTTTTTTTTATTTGTTCATTGTTACTGTATAAATTAAATTTTGCGTTCGAGCCAAAAACTTTTTGCAACATAAAATATCCATATTATAATAATACTCAGCGTGTTACGACCAGAGTTACGACCCTATTAAAAAAAAAACAACACATTTTTATTTGTTTTCTTATGTTCAACAATCGTGAAAACCCTTCCGAGTCGGCCGTCCTGACACGTTCGGCAATTGGAAGCAATTTTTTTTATTATCGACCGACCAACAGACGTGTGAAAGACCCTTCTAGAGGTTTTGGCGCTCACCGAGCCGTCGTTTGTATTGTTTTAAACACACATTCTTTGCGGTATACCGCATTATTATAAATACCCGATTCTGTCGTCGCCTAAGTATGTCTGGACGGACCACCATAATAATATAGCGTATAGTTAGAGCATACAAAAACAAAAAAAAATCAATTGGCGTTTGTTTGACGGTTTGTGTGTGTGTGTATTACATTCTCGCGCGCGTGGGCGGACTTGCTGAAAATGGGAAATAGAAGAAATAAATAAAAAAACAAAAACATTAAAAATTTAAACGCCGAGCCAGACAAGAGTACAGCGACCGACCGAGTGAGAAATCAAACCGTGTAACACCCGCTGAGCCATCGGGTCTATTTTTATGAACTTAGCGTCGACGGTGGCGGTTCCTGCACGCTGACGGGACGTGCGCACACCCTCGCCGAGTCACACTATTTATGGAATTCGTCGTGTGTATTGTAGTTGTATATATTATTATATTATTCTACACGAGGAACAGATGCGAGACAACGACACACGTGCGTGAAAGAGTACCGAGGGCTAGTACAAGATTTATAATGTTTTATGGGCACGCACAGGACCGTATGTTTTACCAAGCAGCGATACCAGCATCAGCATCATCAGTAGCAGAAGTAGCAACGGCATGTTTGTGCGATCGTTTATAATTAAAACGGAGCCAAAGTATATACATATAAATATAAAAAGAAATTAAACAAAAAAAAACAGCTGTCAAGCCGGCTAATGAACGTGTACGCTCTGCCCGCCTTGTCGCCCGGATCGTCGTTTCCCGCCAACGTTGTTTATAATTATTATTATTAATCAGAGATAACGTCTGCGATGGTCCCACTGGAAGGTCGCCTAAAACCTTAACTCGGCCCAATGTCGCTTCCCGAATATACGTCGTTGTTGTTGTTGCTGTCTGAAAATATACGGCCAAACACACAAACGCTCGACAAATGAATAATAAACATTTTTTCCAGTATCGTTTATTTAAAAAAAAAAAATTACAATATACGACGAAAATTATTGAAATATTAATACGGGTTCGGGCTCGGACGGCGAACAGCACTCCTGGACACTTTCGTTCACCACCTGAAACAAACCAATAGAATAATAATATCATAGCTGTTCAACTAGCGCGTACGTTTTGCCGTGGCGCCCGTCCTTGGTCAAAATGTCCATACTTGGACCTAACCTTTGGCGCGCCACGATCGCTAGTATACCGTTATTTATCGTGTACAAATGAATCGTCATTTAGATAATTTTATATTTTACACATCCACATGCCACATGGTCACAGCGTGGGGGAGGAGTTGCCGGCAAGACGACGTACGAACATATTTTTAGCGTATTGCTCTAGCAACGTTTGGTTTTTTTTCCTTAGTTTTTTTATCTCAAAGCAAACGGTATTTTACAAGAACCATCCGTAAGATTTCGGATGACAAGCGGATCTAATTGGATCGTTTGCCGTCGTCGTCGGAGGTCGACCAGTTCAAAAGCCCTATAAATGCACCTATCGGTTTACCCGTACATCGCCTAAATTGCACATTGGCGTCAGCACAGATGTGTCAGGTGAGCCGTGGCACACTTAGTGGCTTGGGCATACGTCAGGCTCCCGTGCTTTGGCGCATCGGTTGTATTAACTGCCGATCAATCAGTACATTGGTTTCAACCTAAGCCACCATTCGATTGCTCTCTGAGCAATTATAATATATATTGTAAACGGTTGAAGAAAATGAAAATGTAGTTATTACATTAATTTAGTTATTTTACTGTTTTCAAGAACAATCGCAAACCGGACTTGCCGCAAAACAATAGTCCGGCGTATGTGTATACGATATAAAGCTTAAACGTTTACATTTACTTCATTCATTTGAAATTACCTACCTCGTTTCATTTCAAAATCAAATTGTTGCCGTTAGGAGCTTCGACAAGTGACAACCGAAGATATCGACAAATACATGTGCAGGCTAATGGTGTTAATATGTATTTAATAATAACGGCTATATTGTAGAATAATTAATTTAGAAAATATTAGATCTATATATATAATTGTATTGCTTTAATTAATTTACATTTATTCGAATAAGTACGAACAGTTTCCCTAAAAGCGAATACCGCTTTATTATGTTCTTCGAGACTATGTAATTATTATTAAATTTAGTATTAGTTTATATCCCATACAGCAATAATATAAACCTAACATTTTTTTGCAAAATATACTATTTTAAAGTAATTGTCACAATATTTTTACAAAAATAAAATATTTATACTAAATAAGTTTTAAAGTAATTATATTTTTTAATTATTGCAATTTTAATCATTTTACAAGAATAATATTCATAAACTCAAACAAATATAATATTTTCCACCAAACCTAACATAAATATATTTCAAAATTGTTGCGTGGATCTATTGTATGGCAATGCTGGCAACGTATTAAATAATAATATAATCTTAATAGTAATTATATTAGTTATTAACTAACCATTATGCGTTGTATACAAAATAGGTGACGAAATCAAGGTAGTATCTGTATGTAGTAGTACGGTTAGCGAAACTAGATTAAGCATTAATAATTCTCCTTTCTAATTGTATGGCCTCGATATTCCCGAGATAGCTGTCCCTAGATGATTCAACTATTGCGATGTTCAATAAACATAGAAAAATACTTAAACTCAAAGATCAAAATGAAGATTCCGTTAAATATCCTACAGATAATAACAATAATCAAAATAAAAGCGTTTAAAAAATATGAATTATTTGTTTATACTAAAAAATAAAGCACACGCATTTTATAATATTTTAATAAGATACCATTGAGTTAAGTACCAGCAATAAATGCATTTAAAATATGTTTTATGTTTGCCGGCATTTTAATAAAAAATATATGATCGAAAGTATTCATTCATTTTTTTAAACAGAAAAATCCCTAGCTTAATTATAATTAAAAAATATAATATACTCACAAAATCAGAAATTATTGCGTTACCATGCCATTTTGATTCGAATGTCGTTGGAGTCCCCGGCGGTACTGCTGCACGCTGACATTTGCATCGTCTCTCTCCCTCTCGTTTAACTGTAATAACTCTTTCATCACGCTTGGAGAGCCACCATACGTCAGGCGATGAAACCTTCAACGAATTTCAAATCCATTTGAACTCCTACCAAGACAAAACAAAAATAATTAATAATGCCAACTGTTATTCATGTTATTATCATAATAATAATAATAATATCAATAGTCGTTCTCTTTTCACCGAAAAATACTAATAACAAGAAACGATTAACTGAATGATTAAAATTAAAATAAACATTTTTTCGAAAATATAATAATGTATTAAATATCTGAGTTTATTTAAAACCAATCATTTCTGCGTTGCTATTTTTAGATGAAAAAAAAAATTTTAAATCGCTGTCAAGGATGCTGTGATAGTTCGAAAAATAAACTATTAAAAAGCTACTAATAATCACACATTATAGTTAAAGCTTTAAAATGAGATTTAAAAAAAATACCTATATCCAACTTCTTGATAAATAGTGTGTATTACATTATCTTAATCAGTCTACATCTAATGTTCATACTGTATTCATTAAATACAAAACATTTTCTAAAATACAACAATATTTTGTATCACCATAAAAATGTTTTCATAAAGTAACAACCGTATGCATATTTAACTTTTTTTCGACATGTAGCGTGGACGTGTCAGAATAATAATTTGACTAGTAGCAATATGATTAGTTACAATAATTGTAACTAAACTAAGTTAATTATTAATTGAACCAATATTACTTGAGTGAAAGTTATTTACCACCATTATGGACAATATAAATATAAATACCATTTATTATCAAAGTGCAATATTTAGTAAGATAATATCAAGTGTTTCTAGGTAAATTCTAGTGTCGTGAAAAATAATATTGTTTAAATGACCTTTGTTACGCATATATATTTACACTATGATAAAAAATGTTTTTACAGGACAACATGGGGTTACATATAAAACCGGTACATTTGACGACAAAGGTGTAGTGGATAATTCACTTATAAAACAGAGTCCAAAGCAATTTAAACAGACAGGGTCCCAAATTAATATTAATAAATCTAGGGGTGGGGAAATTTTATCTAACACCCAAAATAGTTTACTGCCTTGGAGGACTGGTATATTAGTAGACAAATTAACATGTTCTATTGAAATAACTGGCTTAAAAACCGAAAATATTAGGCAAACACCTACTCAGCAAAATAACTTTTTTACGAATGAACAAGATAAGACATTTATTCATTCCTACGCAACAGAGGAAATATTTAAAGTAGTACAAAATAACATTCATCAAAATGACGAAGAAAAAGCAAAACGAATAATTGATCAAGTTTTGTCAAAAAGAATGGCAATGCCTGACATTGTTTATTTGAACGAAAGAGTGAAAAATGAAATTGTTGGAGAAGTCACACACAGATTAACACAGTTATACACAACAGATGTTAATCAACGGATATTAGCAAAAGATATATTAAACAAAGTTTTAACAAGATCTATAGAAAAAGATAAGCAAAATGTAAAAAATCCAAAAGAGCAGAATATAGTTGCAGAATGGGAAAAAGCTAAAGACGATTTAAATTTGGCAATATCCAAAAAAATATTAAAAGATGTGTCTAGTACAACACCTAAAGAAACATTTGCCCTTCAAAAATCGAAGACAGTTAAACAAGATTTGACAACAAGAATAAATAAAGATAATCAGTTACCAGAAAATACAAATACTAGTTTCTATTTCGGCGAAATAGAAGATGTAAACTATGAAATAGTCCCAGATGAATATAAACCAAAGGTAAAATTAAAGTTTCCTGGAATAGAAAAACCCAGCGAAATTAAAAAACAAGAACAACAAACATTAACAATATGGACGGAACCAATTACAGATATAGAAGAAACCCAACTTGATGAGTATATTTCTCAACAAATTGAAATTAATAAAATAGAAACTCCATGGTCTAAAAATAACGTTAAACTGAAAAAAGTAAAATCTCTTCATTCCACTAGGCATAAAACACACGCTGAAAAGGAAGAAAATAAGTCACAAGACAATGATAATGAATCAAACTTTTCAAAATCAAATGATACTAAAAGGGAAAAAAATAATTTAGCATGGATAAAAAAATCAAAAGAACTGAAAAAGATAAGCGTTGAAAAAAAAGAAATTCCAAAAGAAAAACTAGAAAGAATTGTATTAAAACCGAAACACCAAAAAGAGCCAGCAAATTCAACATCAAGCAGAGATAAAGATAATGTATACAACGAAACTATACAAAACCCTCCAACTGTTCAACCATGGACTGAAGAAACTATTGCTCTAAAAAAAACTATGCCCAAAAAAAAAATTATTCCTAAAGAGAAGCCTGAAGAAGTAACATTAAAACCAATAAAAAAAGCAGAGATAGCAGAAATCACCCATGAAGATAAAGAGACGTTGAAGCAATATGAGCAACCAGTAATAAAAATACGATTAATGAAGCACGAAGATTCAAAAATTAAGTATCACACATCGAAAGGAATAATATTAGAACAAAAAATAATAAAAGGAAAACAAACAGAAGATGAAGAAGACATAGTAAAAACGCAGCAACCGTTAAAACCATGGACCGAAGAAGCTGTTACTTTGAAAAAGGTCAGACCGGAAAAGAAGGTTATACCAAAAGAAAAACCAGAGGATGTAACATTAAAACCACTAAGAAAACCTAAAGTAGACGAAGTAACGGTAGTTGAAGAACAACCTGAGACTTCTGAAATAACTGAAGAAGTAGTGGTGACTGAAAAAGGCGGTAAACGTATTAAGAAAACGAAAATCACCAAGATAGGTGACCAAATTGTAACTGAGGATGTTTCATTTGATGAACAAGTTCCTAAAGTCGAAGAACTCGAAGACGTACCGGTTGAGCGGGTTGAGGAAGTTCCTGATGATAAGCCTGTTTTACCTTGGAGAAAAGATGTCCCTAAAAAGATAACTGAAAAACCTAAAGTAGACGAAAAAACGGTAGTTGAAGAAAAACCTGAGTCTTCTGAAATAACTGAAGAAGTAGTGGTTACTGAAAAGGGCGGTAAACGTGTTAAGAAAACCAGAACCACGAAAAAAGGTGACCAGTTTGTTACTGAGGATGTTTCATTTGATGAACAAGTTCCCAAAGTCGAAGAAATTGAGGATGTGCCTTTAGACTCAATAGACCAACAACCCCAAAGGAAACCGTCGATACCGTGGACCGAAGAAGCTGTTACTTTGAAAAAGGTCAGACCGGAAAAGAAGGTTATACCAAAGGAAAAACCAGAGGAAGTAACATTAAAACCACTAAGAAAACCTAAAGTAGACGAAGTAACAGTAGTTGAAGAACAACCTGAGACTTCTGAAATAACTGAAGAAGTAGTGGTGACTGAAAAAGGCGGTAAACGTATAAGGAAAACGAAAATCACGAAAAAAGGTGACCAGTTTGTTACTGAGGATGTTTCATTTGATGAACAAGTTCCAAAAGTCGAAGAAATTGAGGATGTGCCTTTAGACTCAATAGACCAACAACCCCAAAGGAAACCGTCGATACCGTGGACCGAAGAAGCTGTTACTTTGAAAAAGGTCAGACCGGAAAAGAAGGTTATATCAAAGGAAAAACCAGAGGAAGTAACATTAAAACCACTAAGAAAACCTAAAGTAGACGAAGTAACGGTAGTTGAAGAACAACCTGAGACTTCTGAAATAACTGAAGAAGTAGTGGTGACTGAAAAAGGCGGTAAACGTATAAGAAAACGAAAATCACTAAGATAGGTGACCAAATTGTAACTGAGGATGTTTCATTTGATGAACAAGTTCCTAAAGTCGAAGAAATTGAGGATGTGCCTTTAGACTCAATAGACCTACAACCCCAAAGGAAACCGTCGATACCGTGGACCGAAGAAGCTGTTACTTTGAAAAAGGTCAGACCGGAAAAGAAGGTTATATCAAAGGAAAAACCAGAGGAAGTAACATTAAAACCACTAAGAAAACCTAAAGTAGACGAAGTAACGGTTGTTGAAGAGAAACCTGAGACTTCTGAAATAACTGAAGAAGTAGTGGTGACTGAAAAAGGCGGGAAACGTGTTAAGAAAACGAAAATCACTAAGATAGGTGACCAAATTGTAACTGAGGATGTTTCATTTGATAAACAAGTTCCAAAAGTCGAAGAAATTGAGGATGTGCCTTTAGACTCAATAGACCAACAACCCCAAAGGAAACCGTCGATACCGTGGACCGAAGAAGCTGTTACTTTGAAAAAGGTCAGACCGGAAAAGAAGGTTATACCAAAGGAAAAACCAGAGGAAGTAACATTAAAACCACTAAGAAAACCTAAAGTAGACGAAGTAACGGTAGTTGAAGAACAACCTGAGACTTCTGAAATAACTGAAGAAGTAGTGGTGACTGAAAAAGGCGGTAAACGTATTAAGAAAACGAAAATCACTAAGATAGGTGACCAAATTGTAACTGAGGATGTTTCATTTGATGAACAAGTTCCTAAAGTCGAAGAACTCGAAGACGTACCGGTTGAGCGGGTTGAGGAAGTTCCTGATGATAAGCCTGTTTTACCTTGGAGAAAAGATGTCCCTAAAAAGATATCTGAAAAACCTAAAGTAGACGAAAAAACGGTAGTTGAAGAAAAACCTGAGACTTCTGAAATAACTGAAGAAGTAGTGGTGACTGAAAAAGGCGGTAAACGTGTTAAGAAAACGAGAATTACTAAGATAGGTGACCAAATTGTAACTGAGGATGTTTCATTTGATGAACAAGTTCCCAAAGTCGAAGAAATTGAGGATGTGCCTTTAGACTCAATAGACCAACAACCCCAAAGGAAACCGTCGATACCGTGGACCGAAGAAGCTGTTACTTTGAAAAAGGTCAGACCGGAAAAGAAGGTTATACCAAAGGAAAAACCAGAGGAAGTAACATTAAAACCACTAAGAAAACCTAAAGTAGACGAAGTAACGGTAGTTGAAGAAAACCTGAGACTTCTGAAATAACTGAAGAAGTAGTGGTGACTGAAAAAGGCGGTAAACGTATTAAGAAAACGAAAATCACTAAGATAGGTGACCAAATTGTAACTGAGGATGTTTCATTTGATGAACAAGTTCCTAAAGTCGAAGAACTCGAAGACGTACCGGTTGAGCGGGTTGAGGAAGTTCCTGATGATAAGCCTGTTTTACCTTGGAGAAAAGATGTCCCTAAAAAGATAACTGAAAAACCTAAAGTAGACGAAGAAACGGTAGTTGAAGAAAAACCTGAGACTTCTGAAATAACTGAAGAAGTAGTGGTGACTGAAAAAGGCGGTAAACGTGTTAAGAAAACGAGAATCACTAAGATAGGTGACCAAATTGTAACTGAGGATGTTTCATTTGATGAACAAGTTCCCAAAGTCGAAGAAATTGAGGATGTGCCTTTAGACTCAATAGACCAACAACCCCAAAGGAAACCGTCGATACCGTGGACCGAAGAAGCTGTTACTTTGAAAAAGGTCAGACCGGAAAAGAAGGTTATACCAAAGGAAAAACCAGAGGAAGTAACATTAAAACCACTAAGAAAACCTAAAGTAGACGAAGTAACGGTAGTTGAAGAAAAACCTGAGACTTCTGAAATAACTGAAGAAGTAGTGGTGACTGAAAAAGGCGGTAAACGTGTTAAGAAAACGAGAATCACTAAGATAGGTGACCAAATTGTAACTGAGGATGTTTCATTTGATGAACAAGTTCCAAAAGTCGAAGAAATTGAGGATGTGCCTTTAGACTCAATAGACCAACAACCCCAAAGGAAACCGTCGATACCGTGGACCGAAGAAGCTGTTACTTTGAAAAAGGTCAGACCGGAAAAGAAGGTTATATCAAAGGAAAAACCAGAGGAAGTAACATTAAAACCACTAAGAAAACCTAAAGTAGACGAAGTAACGGTAGTAGAAGAAAAACCTGAGACTTCTGAAATAACTGAAGAAGTAGTGGTGACTGAAAAAGGCGGTAAACGTATTAAGAAAACGAAAATCACCAAGATAGGTGACCAAATTGTAACTGAGGATGTTTCATTTGATGAACAAGTTCCTAAAGTCGAAGAACTCGAAGACGTACCGGTTGAGCGGGTTGAGGAAGTTCCTGATGATAAGCCTGTTTTACCTTGGAGAAAAGATGTCCCTAAAAAGATAACTGAAAAACCTAAAGTAGACGAAAAAACGGTAGTTGAAGAAAAACCTGAGTCTTCTGAAATAACTGAAGAAGTAGTGGTTACTGAAAAGGGCGGTAAACGTGTTAAGAAAACCAGAACCACGAAAAAAGGTGACCAGTTTGTTACTGAGGATGTTTCATTTGATGAACAAGTTCCCAAAGTCGAAGAAATTGAGGATGTGCCTTTAGACTCAATAGACCAACAACCCCAAAGGAAACCGTCGATACCGTGGACCGAAGAAGCTGTTACTTTGAAAAAGGTCAGACCGGAAAAGAAGGTTATATCAAAGGAAAAACCAGAGGAAGTAACATTAAAACCACTAAGAAAACCTAAAGTAGACGAAGTAACGGTTGTTGAAGAGAAACCTGAGACTTCTGAAATAACTGAAGAAGTAGTGGTGACTGAAAAAGGCGGTAAACGTGTTAAGAAAACGAAAATCACTAAGATAGGTGACCAAATTGTAACTGAGGATGTTTCATTTGATGAACAAGTTCCAAAAGTCGAAGAAATTGAGGATGTGCCTTTAGACTCAATAGACCAACAACCCCAAAGGAAACCGTCGATACCGTGGACCGAAGAAGCTGTTACTTTGAAAAAGGTCAGACCGGAAAAGAAGGTTATATCAAAGGAAAAACCAGAGGAAGTAACATTAAAACCACTAAGAAAACCTAAAGTAGACGAAGTAACGGTTGTTGAAGTGAAACCTGAGACTTCTGAAATAACTGAAGAAGTAGTGGTGACTGAAAAAGGCGGTAAACGTATTAAGAAAACGAAAATCACTAAGATAGGTGACCAAATTGTAACTGAGGATGTTTCATGTGATGAACAAGTTCCAAAAGTCGAAGAAATTGAGGATGTGCCTTTAGACTCAATAGACCAACAACCCCAAAGGAAACCGTCGATACCGTGGACCGAAGAAGCTGTTACTTTGAAAAAGGTCAGACCGGAAAAGAAGGTTATACCAAAGGAAAAACCAGAGGAAGTAACATTAAAACCACTAAGAAAACCTAAAGTAGACGAAGTAACGGTAGTTGAAGAGAAACCTGAGACTTCTGAAATAACTGAAGAAGTAGTGGTGACTGAAAAAGGCGGTAAACGTGTTAAGAAATCGAGAATTACTAAGATAGGTGACCAAATTGTAACTGAGGATGTTTCATTTGATGAACAAGTTCCTAAAGTCGAAGAAATTGAGGATGTGCCTTTAGACTCAATAGACCAACAACCTCAAGGAAACCGTCGATACCGTGGACCGAAGAAGCTGTTACTTTGAAAAAGGTCAGACCGGAAAAGAAGGTTATACAAAGAAAAACCAGAGGAAGTAACATTAAAACACTAAGAAAACCTAAAGTAGACGAAGTAACGGTAGTAGAAGAAAAACCTGAGACTTCTGAAATAACTGAAGAAGTAGTGGTGACTGAAAAAGGCGGTAAACGTGTTAAGAAAACGAGAATCACGAAGATAGGTGACCAAATTGTAACTGAGGATGTTTCATTTGATGAACAAGTTCCTAAAGTCGAAGAACTCGAAGACGTACCGGTTGAGCAGGTTGAGGAAGTTCCTGATGATAAGCCTGTTTTACCTTGGAGAAAAGATGTCCCTAAAAAGATAACTGAAAAACCTAAAGTAGACGAAAAAACGGTAGTTGAAGAAAAACCTGAGTCTTCTGAAATAACTGAAGAAGTAGTGGTTACTGAAAAGGGCGGTAAACGTGTTAAGAAAACCAGAACCACGAAAAAAGGTGACCAGTTTGTTACTGAGGATGTTTCATTTGATGAACAAGTTCCCAAAGTCGAAGAAATTGAGGATGTGCCTTTAGACTCAATAGACCAACAACCCCAAAGGAAACCGTCGATACCGTGGACCGAAGAAGCTGTTACTTTGAAAAAGGTCAGACCGGAAAAGAAGGTTATACCAAAGGAAAAACCAGAGGAAGTAACATTAAAACCACTAAGAAAACCTAAAGTAGACGAAGTAACGGTAGTTGAAGAAAACCTGAGACTTCTGAAATAACTGAAGAAGTAGTGGTGACTGAAAAAGGCGGTAAACGTGGTAAGAAAACGAGAATTACTAAGATAGGTGACCAAATTGTAACTGAGGATGTTTCATTTGATGAACAAGTTCCAAAAGTCGAAGAAATTGAGGATGTGCCTTTAGACTCAATAGACCAACAACCCCAAAGGAAACCGTCGATACCGTGGACCGAAGAAGCTGTTACTTTGAAAAAGGTCAGACCGGAAAAGAAGGTTATATCAAAGGAAAAACCAGAGGAAGTAACATTAAAACCACTAAGAAAACCTAAAGTAGACGAAGTAACGGTAGTTGAAGAAAAACCTGAGACTTCTGAAATAACTGAAGAAGTAGTGGTGACTGAAAAAGGCGGTAAACGTGTTAAGAAAACGAGAATCACTAAGATAGGTGACCAAATTGTAACTGAGGATGTTTCATTTGATGAACAAGTTCCTAAAGTCGAAGAAATTGAGGATGTGCCTTTAGACTCAATAGACCAACAACCCCAAAGGAAACCGTCGATACCGTGGACCGAAGAAGCTGTTACTTTGAAAAAGGTCAGACCGGAAAAGAAGGTTATACCAAAGGAAAAACCAGAGGAAGTAACATTAAAACCACTAAGAAAACCTAAAGTAGACGAAGTAACGGTAGTTGAAGAACAACCTGAGACTTCTGAAATAACTGAAGAAGTAGTGGTGACTGAAAAAGGCGGTAAACGTGTTAAGAAAACGAGAATTACTAAGATAGGTGACCAAATTGTAACTGAGGATGTTTCATTTGATGAACAAGTTCCTAAAGTCGAAGAACTCGAAGACGTACCGGTTGAGCAGGTTGAGGAAGTTCCTGATGATAAGCCTGTTTTACCTTGGAGAAAAGATGTCCCTAAAAAGATATCTGAAAAACCTAAAGTAGACGAAGTAACGGTAGTAGAAGAAAAACCCGAGACTTCTGAAATAACTGAAGAAGTAGTGGTGACTGAAAAAGGCGGTAAACGTGTTAAGAAAACGAGAATCACTAAGATAGGTGACCAAATTGTTACTGAGGATGTTTCATTTGATGAACAAGTTCCAAAAGTCGAAGAAATTGAGGATGTGCCTTTAGACTCAATAGACCAACAACCCCAAAGGAAACCGTCGATACCGTGGACCGAAGAAGCTGTTACTTTGAAAAAGGTCAGACCGGAAAAGAAGGTTATACCAAAGGAAAAACCAGAGGAAGTAACATTAAAACCACTAAGAAAACCTAAAGTAGACGAAGTAACGGTAGTTGAAGAACAACCTGAGACTTCTGAAATAACTGAAGAAGTAGTGGTGACTGAAAAAGGCGGTAAACGTGGTAAGAAAACGAGAATTACTAAGATAGGTGACCAAATTGTAACTGAGGATGTTTCATTTGATGAACAAGTTCCAAAAGTCGAAGAAATTGAGGATGTGCCTTTAGACTCAATAGACCAACAACCCCAAAGGAAACCGTCGATACCGTGGACCGAAGAAGCTGTTACTTTGAAAAAGGTCAGACCGGAAAAGAAGGTTATATCAAAGGAAAAACCAGAGGAAGTAACATTAAAACCACTAAGAAAACCAAAAGTAGACGAAGTAACGGTAGTAGAAGAAAAACCTGAGACTTCTGAAATAACTGAAGAAGTAGTGGTGACTGAAAAAGGCGGTAAACGTGTTAAGAAAACGAGAATCACTAAGATAGGTGACCAAATTGTTACTGAGGATGTTTCATTTGATGAACAAGTTCCAAAAGTCGAAGAAATTGAGGATGTGCCTTTAGACTCAATAGACCAACAACCCCAGAGGAAACCGTCGATACCGTGGACCGAAGAAGCTGTTACTTTGAAAAAGGTCAGACCGGAAAAGAAGGTTATATCAAAGGAAAAACCAGAGGAAGTAACATTAAAACCACTAAGAAAACCAAAAGTAGACGAAGTAACGGTAGTTGAAGAAAAACCTGAGACTTCTGAAATAACTGAAGAAGTAGTGGTGACTGAAAAAGGCGGTAAACGTGTTAAGAAAACGAGAATCACTAAGATAGGTGACCAAATTGTTACTGAGGATGTTTCATTTGATGAACAAGTTCCAAAAGTCGAAGAAATTGAGGATGTGCCTTTAGACTCAATAGACCAACAACCCCAAAGGAAACCGTCGATACCGTGGACCGAAGAAGCTGTTACTTTGAAAAAGGTCAGACCGGAAAAGAAGGTTATATCAAAGGAAAAACCAGAGGAAGTAACATTAAAACCACTAAGAAAACCAAAAGTAGACGAAGTAACAGTAGTTGAAGAACAACCTGAGACTTCTGAAATAACTGAAGAAGTAGTGGTGACTGAAAAAGGCGGTAAACGTGGTAAGAAAACGAGAATTACTAAGATAGGTGACCAAATTGTAACTGAGGATGTTTCATTTGATGAACAAGTTCCTAAAGTCGAAGAAATTGAGGATGTGCCTTTAGACTCAATAAACCAACAACCCCAAAGGAAACCGTCGATACCGTGGACCGAAGAAGCTGTTACTTTGAAAAAGGTCAGACCGGAAAAGAAGGTTATACCAAAAGAAAAACCAGAGGATGTAACATTAAAACCACTAAGAAAACCTAAAGTAGACGAAGTAACGGTAGTTGAAGAACAACCTGAGACTTCTGAAATAACTGAAGAAGTAGTGGTGACTGAAAAAGGCGGTAAACGTGTTAAGAAAACGAGAATTACTAAGATAGGTGACCAAATTGTAACTGAGGATGTTTCATTTGATGAACAAGTTCCTAAAGTCGAAGAACTCGAAGACGTACCGGTTGAGCAGGTTGAGGAAGTTCCTGATGATAAGCCTGTTTTACCTTGGAGAAAAGATGTCCCTAAAAAGATATCTGAAAAACCTAAAGTAGACGAAGAAACGGTAGTAGAAGAAAAACCTGAGACTTCTGAAATAACTGAAGAAGTAGTGGTGACTGAAAAAGGCGGTAAACGTGTTAAGAAAACGAGAATCACTAAGATAGGTGACCAAATTGTTACTGAGGATGTTTCATTTGATGAACAAGTTCCAAAAGTCGAAGAAATTGAGGATGTGCCTTTAGACTCAATAGACCAACAACCCCAAAGGAAACCGTCGATACCGTGGACCGAAGAAGCTGTTACTTTGAAAAAGGTCAGACCGGAAAAGAAGGTTATATCAAAGGAAAAACCAGAGGAAGTAACATTAAAACCACTAAGAAAACCTAAAGTAGACGAAGTAACGGTAGTTGAAGAGAAACCTGAGACTTCTGAAATAACTGAAGAAGTAGTGGTGACTGAAAAAGGCGGTAAACGTGGTAAGAAAACGAGAATTACTAAGATAGGTGACCAAATTGTAACTGAGGATGTTTCATTTGATGAACAAGTTCCTAAAGTCGAAGAAATTGAGGATGTGCCTTTAGACTCAATAGACCAACAACCCCAAAGGAAACCGTCGATACCGTGGACCGAAGAAGCTGTTACTTTGAAAAAGGTCAGACCGGAAAAGAAGGTTATACCAAAAGAAAAACCAGAGGATGTAACATTAAAACCACTAAGAAAACCTAAAGTAGACGAAGTAACGGTAGTTGAAGAAAAACCTGAGACTTCTGAAATAACTGAAGAAGTAGTGGTGACTGAAAAAGGCGGTAAACGTGTTAAGAAAACGAGAATCACTAAGATAGGTGACCAAATTGTAACTGAGGATGTTTCATTTGATGAACAAGTTCCTAAAGTCGAAGAACTCGAAGACGTACCGGTTGAGCAGGTTGAGGAAGTTCCTGATGATAAGCCTGTTTTACCTTGGAGAAAAGATGTCCCTAAAAAGATATCTGAAAAACCTAAAGTAGACGAAGAAACGGTAGTCGAAGAAAAACCTGAGACTTCTGAAATAACTGAAGAAGTAGTGGTGACTGAAAAAGGCGGTAAACGTGTTAAGAAAACGAGAATCACTAAGATAGGTGACCAAATTGTTACTGAGGATGTTTCATTTGATGAACAAGTTCCAAAAGTCGAAGAAATTGAGGATGTGCCTTTAGACTCAATAGACCAACAACCCCAAAGGAAACCGTCGATACCGTGGACCGAAGAAGCTGTTACTTTGAAAAAGGTCAGACCGGAAAAGAAGGTTATACCAAAAGAAAAACCAGAGGATGTAACATTAAAACCACTAAGAAAACCTAAAGTAGACGAAGTAACGGTAGTTGAAGAAAAACCTGAGACTTCTGAAATAACTGAAGAAGTAGTGGTGACTGAAAAAGGCGGTAAACGTATTAAGAAAACGAAAATCACTAAGATAGGTGACCAAATTGTAACTGAGGATGTTTCATTTGATGAACAAGTTCCTAAAGTCGAAGAACTCGAAGACGTACCGGTTGAGCAGGTTGAGGAAGTTCCTGATGATAAGCCTGTTTTACCTTGGAGAAAAGATGTCCCTAAAAAGATATCTGAAAAACCTAAAGTAGACGAAGTAACGGTAGTTGAAGAAAAACCTGAGACTTCTGAAATAACTGAAGAAGTAGTGGTGACTGAAAAAGGCGGTAAACGTGTTAGGAAAACGAGAATCACTAAGATAGGTGACCAAATTGTAACTGAGGATGTTTCATTTGATGAACAAGTTCCAAAAGTCAAGGAAATTGAGGATTTGCCTTTAGACTCAATAGACCAACAACCCCAAAGGAAACCGTCGATACCGTGGACCGAAGAAGCTGTTACTTTGAAAAAGGTCAGACCGGAAAAGAAGGTTATTTCAAAGGAAAAACCAGAGGAAGTAACATTAAAACCACTAAGAAAACCTAAAGTAGACGAAGTAACGGTAGTTGAAGAGAAACCTGAGACTTCTGAAATAACTGAAGAAGTAGTGGTGACTGAAAAAGGCGGTAAACGTGGTAAGAAAACGAGAATTACTAAGATAGGTGACCAAATTGTAACTGAGGATGTTTCATTTGATGAACAAGTTCCTAAAGTCGAAGAAATTGAGGATGTGCCTTTAGACTCAATAGACCAACAACCCCAAAGGAAACCGTCGATACCGTGGACCGAAGAAGCTGTTACTTTGAAAAAGGTCAGACCGGAAAAGAAGGTTATACCAAAGGAAAAACCAGAGGAAATAACTTTAAAACCATTAAGAAAACCTAAAGTAGACGATGTATCGGTGGTTCAAGAAAAACCAGAAGAGGTTACTTTAATATCATCTACAAAAACGAATATAGAAGAATATCCCGATGATTTACCTGAGCTTGTTAATGTTGATACTCCTAAATCGGTTGACCATCATCCTGTCATTAAAATTCGTTTACTTACTCATGAAGATATGTTAGTACCAGATAGAAATAAAGTTCATGAGGGTATAGTATGTGCTCAAAAAATTATCGCTGGTCCAAAGGAAAAACCTAAGAAAAAGAAAAAACATGTTCATTTGAACGAAGATATGAATCAAGAGAAAGAATTTTCTCCTGATGACGAAGTTTCTGCTTTAAATGATGATGAATCCAAACAATTATCACCTAAGTTATTGGATACTAAGGAGTTAAGGGGAATTATGAAGCCTAGAGAAGAAATCGATTTAATTTCAACCATTGTTCTTAGTTCGCCTGATGTGGGTGATAATTTAGTTAGCCCTCTTTCTGATAAATTGTTTATACCTAAAAACATTACCGAACAGATTATACCTGCTAAACTATTAACTGAAAAACTTGAATTACCATGGAGAAAATCTAAGGTTGAAAATGATAATATACGTGAAGAAGATAAAGTCATTGATAAACCAACTTTGAGAGATTTGAATCCGAATGAGACAAAACCCAAACTAGAAAAATTAGAAATGGTAGAAAATAAGCCTAAACGACCCATTCCAGTTATTTTAGAAAATAAACCTATGTTTGCTACAATTAAACTAAAAAAGGCTCCAGTCAAACCCAAAACTGAAATACCCAATGTTACGTTACCCAAATTTTTGTTAAAATCAATTATACGTAGAGTTGAATTTGAAACAAATCAACATTTTCCGAAGATCTCTTATCTTGAACCGGTATATGTGAACAATGGAATTATTTCTAGAAACTACGCAGAAGCATTAAAAATTAAAAAAGTTAAACCTAAGTTATATAAAATACCTGATTTGGAACCAACTGAACTCGAAAAATTCGAACCCGAAGATTATATAATAGAAAAAATAGAAAAACCTGATGAAAAACCGCTATTTGTAAAAGACATTAAAGAAAAACCTAAGGTAGAAGATGAAACTCCGAGGAAGTTAAAGATGGGGAAAGGAACGATACCAAAAATCGAGGATCATAAAGAAATAGTAGTTTTAAAGAAAATTCCAAAAAAACCATTAGAAGAAGCTGTGGAAACACCGAAAAAGCCAGAAAAACCGGAAGTTCTACCAAGTATTGATTCAAAGCCGGGAGACGGCTATGAAATCAAATTAAAGCCATTCGATTATATTCCCACAGGTGAATTACCTGATGATGACTATAGAGAGTCACATCCCGATGATTTGACTACTACTAAATCTAGTAGGGATAAGCCAAAATATAAAAGAAAGAAGCCTGAGAAACCAGATGAAGTTGATACGCAGACGCCTCTTGTAATGGGTGTACCTAAACCTACACCTGATGATAAAGAAAAGGGTATAACACTTAAGTATAAGCAAGGCCTACCTGAACCCGAGGCTCCTGATGATATTAAACTTAAGCCAATACTTAAAGATAAGCCCGAAAAAATTCAATCGCCTAAAAATATAGAAATAAAGAAGCCTAAGTATGAAGATATCCTGAAATCAGATGACGAGTTAGAACCAAAAAAGTTTTCAATAACTCCTGATAAAAAGTCTAAAAAGAAAAAGATAAAAAAACCAGAAAATACAAAAATGCATGATGTACAGCATCATTTACCTGTAGAAGAAAATGATTCAATACTAATTGATCAAATTCCTAAATTAGAAAAACTGGAAATGATAGAAAATAAGCCTAAACGACCTATTCCTGTTATTTTAGAAAATAAACCTATGTTTGCTACAATTAAATTGAAAAAGGCTCCAGTCAAACCCAAAAATGAAATACCCAATGTTACGTTACCCAAATTTTTGTTAAAATCAATTATACGTAGAGTTGAATTTGAAACAAATCAACATTTTCCGAAGATCTCTTATCTTGAACCGATATATGTGAACAATGGAATTATTTCTAGAAACTACGCAGAAGCAATAAAAATTAAAAAAGTTAAACCTAAGTTATATAAAATACCTGATTTGGAACCAACTGAACTCGAAAAATTCGAACCCGAAGATTATATAATAGAAAAAATAGAAAAACCTGATGAAAAACCGCTATTTGTAAAAGACATTAAAGAAAAACCTAAGGTAGAAGATGAAACTCCGAGGAAGTTAAAGATGGGGAAAGGAACGATACCAAAAATCGAGGATCATAAAGAAATAGTAGTTTTAAAGAAAATTCCAAAAAAACCATTAGAAGAAGCTGTGGAAACACCGAAAAAGCCAGAAAAACCGGAAGTTCTACCAAGTATTGATTCAAAGCCGGGAGACGGCTATGAAATCAAATTAAAGCCATTCGATTATATTCCCACAGGTGAATTACCTGATGATGACTATAGAGAGTCACATCCCGATGATTTGACTACTACTAAATCTAGTAAGGATAAGCCAAAATATAAAAGAAAGAAGCCTGAGAAACCAGATGAAGTTGATACGCAGACGCCTCTTGTAATGGGTGTACCTAAACCTACACCTGATGATAAAGAAAAGGGTATAACACTTAAGTATAAGCAAGGCCTACCTGAACCTGAGGCTCCTGATGATATTAAACTTAAACCAGTACCCAAAGATGCCCATCTTAAAAATAAACCCTTTGATGATGTTAATTTGAGTATCCCAAAACCTGATGATAGTGAGCTACCTAAATTAGATATTAAGTCAAAGTCTAGGAAAGCACCAGTCCCCAGTACAGTTAGTATAGATACCCCTTTACAGGATTTAATTATAGTTAGCAAAAAGAGGGATGTAGTTAGTCCGGAAAAAGTTCAAACAATGGTAGCTCCATATTTTATTGAAAAAGTGCAACCTTTAGTAGCAGAGTATGAGAAACCTACTGCTTTTTCATGCACTGTGGGGGGTATTCCCACTCCTGAAGTCAAATGGTACCGGGAGGACCGTGAACTTCAAGCTACTGACGTATATGAAATAAATGTTTATGAAAATACGTCTACCTTGAGGATTTCTAAACCAACCGAAGAACAGTCTGGTATATATGTTTGCCAAGCAACGAATTCGGCTGGAGTTTCGACCTGTACTGCACTTCTAGTAGTGTTAGGTAGATTTCGATAAATGTCCTATGCGTGGTTTTGTTTTGTGTCGTCATTATTTGTCCAATTTGTAAATATATTTCGCGTTATTGTAAAAATGTCGTTTTAAATGTTATTTGCTGGTAATAATTTACAATGCTATGAAGCCTTAAATGTGTTGTATGCTTATACTCTGGACCTTGTTTTAATAGCAGAGTGTTTAATTGAAAGTGTTTTATTAAAATGTTTTTTAATTAATAATTTTTTTTTTAAGATTCGGAAGAGACTGGGGAAGCCCCATATTTTGTGGAACCGGTACGGCCAACAAAAGTGAAAGCTAAAAAATCAATTGAATTGCGTTGCGTTGTAAAAGGAATCCCTACGCCTGAAATTATATGGTGTCGTGAAAATGATGAAATAATTTCAGATGATGATGATTTTATCACATCATTTGATTTTAAAACAGGAGAAGCAGTACTAACACTAGTAAAACCGTCAAATGTAGACCAGCATTTCTATGTGGCTAAAGCTGTAAATATTCATGGTAAAGCTGAATGTATGGCCCATATAACGTATGGTAAGTTTATATACAAGAATAAAATAATAGCATTTACAATAATTTTATTGACATCGTGTTTTTTTTAGAAAAAGATGAGACGGGAGAAGCACCGAAATTTATTGAGCGTTTAAAACCGAAAGTTGTAAAAGCTAATGAAATAACTGAGCTGACCTGTTTAGTAAAAGGTACGCCAATGCCAACAGTAACATGGTGTCGTGACGAAGAAGAAATCATACCAGATGATAGTCATATTCTAACTTATTTGCCCGAAACTGGTGAATCAAAACTCGTTATTTTACACCCAGACGATATCGACGAATCTACTTACACGGTCAATGCCACGAATAAATTTGGTAGGGCTCAGTGTAGAGCAAATTTGATAGTTCGTAAGTATACAACGTATGAATTAGACATCATGATAGTAAAATGTATGGTCACGACGTAAATAATTATTCGTGTTTTGGTTGAAACGATTGTTTAGAAAAAGACGAGTTCGGAGAAGCACCGACCTTTGTTCAACCAGTGAAGCCGAAAGTAGCTAAAGCTAACGAGATAACCGAACTAATGTGTGTTGTAAAAGGAACGCCCACTCCGTTGGTGATGTGGTGTCGTGAAAATGATGAAATAGTTCCCGATGAGAGTCATTTGGTTACGTACGACTCCGATACTGGAGTATCTGTGTTGACTATAATAAATCCAACAGAAATAGATGAAACTATTTACACGGTAAAGGCCGTGAACAAACATGGACAGGCACAATGCCGGGCTAACCTAATCATACGTAAGATATTATTGTTTTATAAAAAAAATTAGTTAAATATCGTCTGTGTTAATGAAATTGATACCTATAAATTCTTTTGTTATTAGAAAAAGATGAGTTTGGAGAAGCACCTGTTTTTGTGCATCCCATTAAACCAAAAATCGCCAAAGTCAATACAACCACAGAACTGGAGTGTTTGGTCAGAGGTACGCCTACGCCGACCGTGGTTTGGTGTAGGGGCGAGGAAGAAATCGTATCAGACAAAACACATACAGTTTCGTATTTGCCAGAAACGGGTGAATCGAAACTTATAATCGTCGAAACAACGGCAGTCGATGAAAATACGTACACTGTAAAAGCGACCAATAAATTTGGCAGAGCTCAGTGCAGAGCTAATTTAATTATACGTCAGTGCAAAAATCATTTAATTAACATACATGTTCTTGCAACTAATTTTAATTTATTAATTTTCCAGAGGAAGACATTTTTGGCGAAGCACCAATCTTTGTAGAGCCTATTAAGCCGACTATAGCAAAACCAAACGAGACGACTGTGCTAAAATGTCTAGTGACTGGAATCCCAACTCCCACCATTGTCTGGTGTCGAGGAAAAGAAGAAATCATACCTGACCAAACACACACGATAGAGTTTATTCCAGAAACAGGCGAGTCCAAGTTGACTATACTAAATCCAACCGAGCCGGATGAAGCGTATTACTCAGTAGAAGCCGTCAACCAATTTGGAAAAGCTAAGTGCAAAGCTAATCTGGTTATAGGTAAGTCATAGGGTGAAACACAATTGGTAAAAGTTTAAGCCGATTAAAAATAAAAATTATAACAATTGTATTATTTATAATTGTAGAAAAACATGAATTCGGTACAGCACCATCATTTGTCGTGCCGATTAAGCCAAAAGCGGTTAAACCTAAAGAAACGGTGGAACTTCGTTGTGTAGTTAATGGAACACCAATGCCAACTGTTGTTTGGTGCCGAGGTGATGAACAGATTATTCCCGACGAGAGTCATGTTGTATCCTATATACCGGAAACAGGCGAATCCAAGTTAGTCATAGTCCATCCAACGGAAGTGGATGTAAACGATTATACAGTGAAAGCAGTTAACTTATTCGGCGTCGCCCAATGCAAAGCTAATTTAATTATAAGTAAATATGTCAAAAATAACTACTAAAAAATAAAGGCCTATTTAGACAACATAACATACATTTTATTTTATACGATTTTTTGTTATTGCTGCTTTTCAAAATTGTATCATTAACAAATGATTGTATGCGTTAGGCGAAGAAGAGACAGAAATTGAAGAAATGCCAAAAATATCTGTTGGAAAATCCCCTTACTTCGAAACTGAATTGCAGACAGAAACTGTGTTGGAAGAAGAAGAAGAAGAAGATGAAGTGATCACAAAACGTTTGGTTATCAAAGTGCGAGGCTCTCCTGAACCTAAGGTACGTTGGTATAAAAATGGAGTAGAAATCATTCCCAATGAAGAGTTCGAGATCGAAGAGGAAGAAGAAGGTGTATGCATTTTGACTATCAAGAAAACACCAAATGAAACAGCTCAAGTAATCGTTTGTGAAGCAGTCAATGAGTATGGAGTGGCGACCACCAAAACCGTTCTGATAAAAAGTACGAAATGAACGAGCTTTCTAAATAATTAAAATGTACTATAGTTTTTGATTTAAAAATAATATTTTTATAAAATAATACATTTTTGTCTTTTAGTTTCAGCCAACGCTTTTCAACTTTACCTCTAATTCCGCTTACTTTCCTTAAATACACAAACGAATACACATTTATACATAAGACACTAATTCTTGTTCACAAAATACTATAGGCTTAATTGTTTCAAACACGAATTCAATTTGAAAGTTTTGTTTGGGGTAAAATAAATAAAATGCCGCTACAAAAAAAAAACAGCGATTTTCTACCAATATAATACAAGGGTTTTTTTTTACTACACGCCTAATCTAGTTTTAAAACAAAATTTTCAAGTTGACTCCGGATGTATTTAAGTGCCTTTGGGTATCGGTTGGTTAATAATTTAAAGGCCATTTTGGTTTTACCTGCTTAAAATATGTTATTTATTATTTTTTTAGGCATAAAGGGCACTAAAGAGTACAGGAAACCTTCGTGGGTGTCTCAAATGGAAGAGCTACGTGAACAACTTCAAGGTAAATGCAATGCGGATAAATTAGGCGCTTGTAGTGTGTATGAGTCAGATCTTCAGAATCGCCCCATCAGTTTCGGTACGTATTTTCCGGGTTACAACACTAAAGACGACTTCTATTTGAGCCCCATCCAAGAACACAGTGAGCCCTCTTCCTCGGACGGTGGTTTAGATCAGCGGGTGAGGTCGTCATCTTGCCAAGAGTTGTCTTCCGTCGGTCCTAAAGATAACGGAACCGGCAGAAGTCAGACGTATCCCAGATCTCATGCTGACGAAACGGTGGCCGAGTACAACCGGCGAAAGTACACGGAATATCCATGGGAAGGACCCCGCGAAATCGACCCTGACATGTTCTTTCAGCTGAACACAGTCGACAGCCAAGAAGAACTTCAGGAGTTCTTGTTGCTAGAGAGCCAGTGCATGGACACGGGCGACCAACCGTTCGGGTTGCACGTGGCGTTTATAGAAGATCCCAAAAAATGACATTCCCTCACATTTTTAAGATAGGCCAACGTCGACGATTCGGTTTGTAATTATTGTTTTCTGTTTTTGTTTTTGTGAAGTATGATTTGTTGTGTTGATAACTGTGCTATAATGTGTATTGTGTATGTATGTAACATATAATTTATTAAAAATAAAACGGATTTATATTTATTTATAATATTATGTACAATGTACAAAGTAAACTGCATGAACAAACTATTGTGTTTGTGTGTCTGTTATGAATGATATTTTGGCACTAAATCTGCGATAAAGAATCCAAATATATTTTTTGTCCCATTCAACTATGTCTGTACAGATTCTATTATCTATTTATTGAAATTTTAAAAATACATATTATGAGTTGTTAGATTTATAATGCTATTTTTAAAATCAGCTTACCTATTATAATCAACTTAACTCCGTGTTTTATTGTTGTTTTTATTTAATATAAAATGTTTTAATTAATATTATTTTTTTGGTTTGTTTGCGAGTGTTTGCTTGTATGTATTTTTTTACCTAATACTCTAAATTTTAATCAACATTAGGGAAAGGCGTGTTAACAAAAACAAAGAGGACCACGGAAAACCTAGGGAATTTATTTCAGGTCTTTCAAAAATATTTATAAAAAAAAATTATTTTTCGTATACCATATGAGTTTACATTAAATAGCATATTTTTAAATAATTTATTAAAGCCTATTTTTTGCTGTATTTAATAAATTTCATATAAAGAATGAAACCCTGTACCAAAAAATATTGCGATGTAATATTTTTGTCTATCTGCTACCATAAGTTTAAGTTTTTTAACCACTACCTACATTTTATATGCAGAAAATGAGAGTAAATAGATAGATGGAAATAATTCAGCTTTTTTTAACGATTAATTTGTTTATAATTATCCATATTTTAAATGTTCCATACTCCTTTGTCGTTCTTTTGGGCCATTTATCCTTATGCAGTGGATAGGCTTTGGTTAAATGATAAATATTATAATATATTGTTCTGCCCACTTACTTAAAATTACCCCATAATGCCCCAAATTGGCCCGTTTGAAGGTATTAAAAAAAATATTAGATATTGTAATATTAATAAGGTAGGTGTAACAACTAATTAAATTTTTGAACGTTAATACGTAGACATAAACGTGATTATTTAGAAAGCTGATATAATTGAGACGCTTATTAGAGCAATGGCTCTATTTCAAATTTTGGTTTTTTCAGGAGACACAAAAACTATTTTTTTAAGCACATTTTTTTTAACGGAAACTTTATAATTTTGCCTAGGTTATTACTATTTAATGGGTTGATTTACAAAATATTAATTTTTAATTTATTCTAAAGAATTTTTAAAAAGCCTCCTAAAAAAAATTTTAATTGGGCTCTTGTTCTAATAAGCGTCTTAATTTTCCATTTATTCCTAATTAAAGAGGGGAATCAAAAAAGTCTTTAAGTGCCATTTTTTCCAAAAGTTATTTTTTCAGCCAAAAAGAATGTATGTTTCGACGCCAATGTAACGCAATAAGGCAAACAATTTCTCGTCGATTGATACTTACAGCCTTTTTTGATTCCGCTCTTCAATTGTTGTTTAACCTTTGTAATCCTTGACTTATAAATTCCAATTATATATATTATCATATATCAACGTTTTATTACATAATGTAACTGAATCGCTATAGTGTAGATCATAAATGATTAAGAAATTATTTTACTATTAAGAATATATTGAAATAATTTTAATAGGCAATATCATTTAATCTCACGTATGTTTATCCCGAAATTTTTAAAACTACAAAAGTAATATGAAACTGGAGCTCCAATAATTATTATTAATGAAAAAAATACTAAAAATAATATTAATAAAAATAATATTTTACTCATCGTAGGACCAATAAATTTTTTGAAATGATTTAGCTATAAATGATACAGTTGATTTCAATTACAAGTATAGTATACACATTATATAACAAAGGTAGGTAAAATGCAAATATTTTAGCATCTAGCAATTAAATAATTTGACGTAGGTAACCTAACAATATTATCAAAACATCAAATATGTATTTTATTTACTTTACCTATGTTTTAAAATGTTTAAATATTTATTACAGCATTTCAAAGTGCGCCGAGCTTTGTTCAAGAATTAAAAGACGAACGTGCAGTAGAAAATGATACTGTACAGTTTGAAGCTCAATTTTCAGGAAATCCCATTCCATGTAAATATGACACATAACCTTTTAACAACTGAAAACTACAAGTTCAAATACATTTATTTATAGTGGTCATTTGGTACAAGGACGATAAGATTATTCGAAATTCGTCCAACGTTCAAGTAAAGATCACTGATACTAAAACTACGATAATCATTCGGAAGGTGACAAAAGAAGACGAAGGTACATACACGTGCAAAGCAAACAGCAATTTGGGTGAAGCCAAGACAAGAGCTAAGCTTCATGTTAAAAGTAATTTATTCGGTCATTATTGGTATTGTAGTTTTGGAAGTTACATTTAAAAATGATTTTTTCAGAACTCGGCGATGATCAATTTACGGCCACGGAGGAAGAGCTAGAAGAAAAAGTTGAGGAAGTTAAAAAGGTTAAAAAAATTACAAAGAAAAAGAAGAAGCCCAAGAAGGAGACTGAGTAAGTGTTATTCTTGAAAATAGGTTAATCGAATTGAAAATATACTCCTTGTTTGTTGTCTCCAAGTAGATCATTCGACGATATCGAATGGAAAGAAACGGTTCCTTTGTCTACTCCAGTCGAAGAGGTAATTCGTCGAATATCCAAAATAGTCAACTATACAAGTATAATAAGAAACAAAAATGTTAATTTTGTTCAGGCCAAAGCTACTCCAACGTTGTCCACACAACATCCGGTATTAGTATCGGCGGTTGCCACTTGCAAACATGTCGGCGATGACATAGTCGACGACACTCCGATCGGGCCAGAAGTGGCAGATCTAATCTTTGATGGCCGCGAACCATTGTCAACGTCAGAAACGGTGTCAGATGAAACGGTCAGGGAGATACGCGGACCTGATTATAAACAAGCAAAACCTACCGAAGAACCGGCTTTATTCACAGCGCTGAAAAAGCAGACGCCTACCATCACCCGTGAAGTGGACGACGTACTTAACCAAATCGACCTAGTGGAATTCGGACCAGCTGAATGGCCACTACGAGAGTTGGCCACAATCAGTGTGCTTACACGCCACGGGATCTCCATAGAAGAGGTACCTGTTGGTTGGGGTATCGGATTGAATGTATCCGTATTTCATAGATATTAGAGTATATTAAAAAAAGAAAATAGTGGTATGCCAATTGTAGGTAAAATAAAAGAACAGAAATGTAATGTTTTTCATAGAGAAGAGAAAAATGAGGTAAAGACTTATAGTTGTGTTGAGTGAATAAAAAAAATAACAAACTGAGGTTTGTGGAGACAGCTGATTTGGTTAGTTGACCCAATTTGTATAGAATAAGGCAGTGACGAAGAAATTTCAATATTTTTTTTGTACCCATGTTATACATAAAAAACTTTACCTATAACAGTGTAACTTATCTAAACCAGGTGATTGTAGAACATTCTTCGGGTAAATTCCCAGCTCTGAGGACTGCGCCAGCCCAGTCGGCGATGGTACATTTGATCGAACGCGAAGGGTACACTGAATTGGTGACGGACGTGTTCACTAAAGAATCAACAATACCGGAAACCGTCAACGAAGTGTTCAAGGCATTCATGAAAATGATCGAGTTGAAACACAGCACTATGGAGGAAATCATCACGTACCTGATGCCAGAAGATTTCCAAACCAGTACTTGGGACATGGACCACGCGTCTCAAATTACCACAGATGATACAATTACCGAGACAATTGACACAAGTGAATCAACTGATGTTCAAATACATGGTAAGCACGGTTCTGGCCAATACTTATTATTCGTAATAAACAGACGTTATGTGATACCACAAACGACAATAATGTAGTATTTTGTGTTATCACAACATAATTATTAAATTATGTTTGTACAAAATATTATTATACTTGTAGCACTAATTCTAGTTTTTCATTACGAAAATAATAAAATATATAATAAAATAATAAAAATTGAAATAGTAGAAATTGTTGTGTAACAAATGTCTGTCGTTCATAAAATTGAATGCTGGTCATACAATTAGTTAAAATTAACTACGATTATTATGTTATATTAATGATTGGTTTTCAGAATTTAAAAAACGATATTCTAAAAAATTAATAAGAACCACTGAAGAATCGCTTTCAATCGGTATGTATTCTGTAACTTATTTATACAATTTTAACAGCGCGCTTTCTTTCATAAACTTTATCAAAATCAAATGTATTATCTATTGCATATTTATGTTCATAATTGCTTCAATATAGCTTGATATACTATTTAACCAGCTCAAAAAAAGCTTTTGTCTATTAAGCTTATTTTATTTATAACTATGGTAAGTTCAATACTTTTAAACTTCAGTAAGCTAACATGTTTTATTTTCCTTCTTATTATAACTAGTTTTACGTAAATATACCTATCAAAATATAATTTAAAAACCATTTATATTGCATGATAAATATCATCTGGTGTACCCACACCGTTTTTGTGTGAATATGTTCAATAAATGACCTAAAAAATTAAATTTTAAGTTATTTGTTCATAATATCATATTAAAATATTAACATTTCCACTCAAAAAACTCTTCATAATACAGATTAAATACTAATTTAAGCTGATTATATAAAAATAACCAATAAGCTAGTTTATGCGTTATTCATTTAAATTCGGAACTAGCTTTTTAGTCTTATATTATTTAGTAACAATTTGTTGTAAAGACTTATATAAAACAATTTTTATTATTGTAAATAGTATTCTAAAAACGTACTTTTTATATAAGTAGTGTTTAGTAAATGTATATTTATATACATTTGCTTAATTATAATTGCGTATAATTATTATATATATATATATATATATATATATATATTTATAAACTATTAAACATATCAAGTTATAATATAAAAAAAATGTATGTATTCATTACCAGCTATTAGTTAGTGAGTAGAGTATAATATAAATTATTTAAAAAAAACATTTATTGAGTATTAAATAAATAGTCACACACATTTAAAGGGGTACATCAGATATATAAATAATATACCAACAACTTTTTTCGAATGTTTTAAGTTAAATATAATATGGTTTATAAATAATAATACTCAATACTTTTGTAATAGTCACTTACATTTTCCTCTTCTTAAACTATGCTTCTTCGACTTTCTTCAACTCTATCTGTAACTGTCAGCATTGCTTTATAGTGGATTCTAAAAAGCACTATAAATAAGTTATTTAATTTATCCGCAGAATATGGCATAAAACCGAAATCTTCAGAGGAGAACAACCTAATTATAACAGACGTAACTGATGATATTCGTGACAATGATTTGAGCACGATAGAAAATGAGAAAAAAACAGTAACTAAAGAAGATTTAGAAGAAATTAAGGCTACAAAAACAACTAAAAAAAATAAAGGACATCTAAAAGACAAAAACCGAACCAAAAAGGACAATGAAAAAGAATTAGAAGAAGAAATCATAACTGAAGAAGTTAGAAAAAAGAGAAAATTAGTTCTAAGTTCTACAGTCAGTGAGGATAATATTCCTGATGAAGTTGTGGAAGAACTATGTATTCAAAAGCTTCCTATAATTTATCCTAATGTCGTTCAAACTCCAAGTGCTATAGACGAAGTGATTCCACAACAAGAAGTTATACTGACAAACAGCATTCAACATAAAAGCAATAAAGCTAAAGTAAGCGTAATTCCTTATAACGCAGCGGAAAGTATATTAACCGAAGTAGAACAAAAGGAAGAACACCGAAGAGAAACGAGCAATAAAAAAACATTTAAAGCTAAAACCGTCTTAGAATTAAATGAAAGTATAACAACAGACTATCCTGATACCCAATCACCAGTAGAAAATATTACTAAAAGTTCAAAAATTACACCATGCCAAGCCCTTGTGGATATAGTTCCAAATGAAGGAATTGAAACAAATGAAGTTATTCCTGATCAAATGTTAAAAGAAGATATACAGAAAGCTGAAAATAAAAATAAGGAAGCTACACTTAGGTTTATACCCCATACACCAAAAAACATTTCAGAAATGATACCATCTACAAAAGAAGGTGAATTGAAACCAAATCACACACCAGAAACTAAAACTGCTAAGGCGGAAATCATTGAGTTTAAAAGTTTAAATGTAACAGAAGTAAATGTAGGTCAAACCGAAACTATTTTACAAGACATATTACAACCACTAACTGAACAACCTACAATTGAACATCCTTTAAATGAACAAATTACAGTTAGTGAATTTTATTCACAAGTAAAACCAGAAAATTATTATCCAGAAATAATAGTACCAACAGAAGTAGCAGAAAAACAAATAGTTTCAACAAGTAATATTCTAACTACATATCAAATAGAAGCTTCCGAAAAAGAAGACAATTTTAAGCTTCGTGAAATACCCGATGGATACAGTGCAAACATCGCAATAGTACCAGAAAAAAGCATTCAAGTATATACAACTGATGCACAAGAAAGTGAACAAAACTTGCCAGAACAATGGGTTCCGGATCAATCAAAAGCAACATCTGACATAATTTTATTATCTAGTCTGGTTGTAAACGTAACTGAGCAACAAGATAACGAGGAATCATTTTTATCAAGTATTCCAGATATACGCAGAGCCAATCTTAAATTAGATGATGCTAAAGCAGTTTGTACACATTCTATGATAAATATAAATGAGGCAGAAAGTGATTTAGTAGCACAGTCATTGCCTGAAACAAAACAAGTAAGTAGTTTTATTCAAGGATTAGAGGTTCCAGATGTAATAGAAGTTGTCGCAAATGAATCGGAAACTGTGTTTACACCAATAGCGACACAAAAAGTTCTCCCTGAAACGAGTTTCAGTGAAAATCAATCCTATATAGTAAGTGAAACCACAACCAATGATTTCCCCGCAGATTTGGTATTAACTTTAAGGTACAAAACTGACGAAGCAATATCATCTATTGAGGAAGTAGAGGCAAAACAGATAACACAAATAGATGTACAGGAAACCAATGTACCGATTGAAGAATCGGCGAAACCAACATCAATAATACCGGAAACTAATTTCGCATCTAGCTTAAGTGTTACGGTTGAAGAAGCCATCATCGCAGAACAAGAAGAATCGTTAAAACTAAAGAAACACCCATATTCACACAAATCCAAGGCTGTGCCAACGCACGCTTTGAAATCCGTTACCATTGAAGAGAATACTCCACAAAATACAGTGGATTCGTTTGATAACGCAGAAGAAATTATACAAATAACTGAAAATGCCAACTCGGATATTGTCCACGAACATTCACTTGTTGTAGATGAAATATCCACATTTGATTCAGAATCCATTTTTTCACCAGACAGTGTTCCTAAAAATGTGCAAGCGCAACCTTCATTTATCGGTCTTGATACTGCCGAAACCTTAGAGGTGATTCCTAATGACACAATGGTTACTTTAACAATGGATAACATCCATAACGACAAAGCTAAAATTGGCCATGTACCATTTGAAACTTGTGTATCCGAGATAACTAATGTAAACGAATCAGAAGAAATTTTAAAGGAAAATGAAAACCAACAACGAAAAAAAGCAAAAACAATATTAGAAGAAAGTGTCGGTGTAAACGTTACCGAGCAATCAGTTTTAGAAAGTGAATTATCTACAGCTGAAATGAAACCACCACATCCAAGTAGTGCTACCACAGAAATAGTTTGCATGGAAGTACCAGATCAATCAGTAATAGTCACCGGAGATTTTACCTTAAATTTTACTGAGCGTGAAATTCCGAAATTGCAAGCTCATCGCGAACAAAGCACTTTAGAAGGTGTCGCGCTTTATGAAACCACGGTAATTGAAAAAGAGGGAAATGTAGAAACCAGTAAAGTGCCAATGACGTACTCTGCTGGAACAACAATAGTCTTAGAAGAAGCTCTAGAAATATCTCAAGTTGTGGCGGATAACAGAGAAGAAAGTATATCACATGTAGAGATACCGGTTGGAGAAAAGGCACAATTTAATGTTTCGCCGTTTAATACTGCTGAAAACCATGAAATGTTAATATGTGATAGTGTGGGTACCGTAACAGAAGGCGCTCCTACTAACGCGATTGCTCAAACAAAATATTATGAGCAACATGGTCTTGTTGAAAGTATTATAGTACCCGCGGATTCTGAAGACACCTTAAAACATTTTATAATGCCAGATAAAAAGAACGCCGATACTTTACAAACAGACTTAGATATTCCCTTAAGCGTACTAGAAATTTTAACACAAGAAAAAGAAAATGTTTTTGAATCAGAAGATCTTCAGAAACATGTTCTAGACAATCAAGAAGTAATTTTAGAAGAAAGTCACACAACTACGGAAACAACGGTGTGTAGTTCTACTGATGAATTTGTTAATGTGGAACCACAACTTTTAAATGCAACTAAAACCCAGAAACCATATTCTGCTATAGAGGAATTTGAAACGGCTGTTTTGGAACATGAGGGCAATTGGTTACCTGAAGACACTTTACCAGAAAGACATGCAGACTGCAAGTTTGAGAACGCAAATAGTGTAATTAAAACAGAACAATATAATCTAGAATCAGAGGATGTTTTATATTTAAATAATGAGCCGGCATCTGAAAACGCCTCTATGACAGTAGAGATTTATAATACCGCACTTAACACTACTGAAATAGAAGCTCCTGAAAAAGAAGATTCGTATAAGCCTAAAAAATTACCCGATGGATACAGTGCAAACATCGCAATAGTACCAGAAAAAAGCATTCAAGTATATACAACTGATGCACAAGAAAGTGAACAAAACTTGCCAGAACAATGGGTTCCGGATCAATCAAAAGCAACATCTGACATAATTTTATTATCTAGTCTGGTTGTAAACGTAACTGAGCAACAAGATAACGAGGAATCATTTTTATCAAGTATTCCAGATATACGCAGAGCCAATCTTAAATTAGATGATGCTAAAGCAGTTTGTACACATTCTATGATAAATATAAATGAGGCAGAAAGTGATTTAGTAGCACAGTCATTGCCTGAAACAAAACAAGTAAGTAGTTTTATTCAAGGATTAGAGGTTCCAGATGTAATAGAAGTTGTCGCAAATGAATCGGAAACTGTGTTTACACCAATAGCGACACAAAAAGTTCTCCCTGAAACGAGTTTCAGTGAAAATCAATCCTATATAGTAAGTGAAACCACAACCAATGATTTCCCCGCAGATTTGGTATTAACTTTAAGGTACAAAACTGACGAAGCAATATCATCTATTGAGGAAGTAGAGGCAAAACAGATAACACAAATAGATGTACAGGAAACCAATGTACCGATTGAAGAATCGGCGAAACCAACATCAATAATACCGGAAACTAATTTCGCATCTAGCTTAAGTGTTACGGTTGAAGAAGCCATCATCGCAGAACAAGAAGAATCGTTAAAACTAAAGAAACACCCATATTCACACAAATCCAAGGCTGTGCCAACGCACGCTTTGAAATCCGTTACCATTGAAGAGAATACTCCACAAAATACAGTGGATTCGTTTGATAACGCAGAAGAAATTATACAAATAACTGAAAATGCCAACTCGGATATTGTCCACGAACATTCACTTGTTGTAGATGAAATATCCACATTTGATTCAGAATCCATTTTTTCACCAGACAGTGTTCCTAAAAATGTGCAAGCGCAACCTTCATTTATCGGTCTTGATACTGCCGAAACCTTAGAGGTGATTCCTAATGACACAATGGTTACTTTAACAATGGATAACATCCATAACGACAAAGCTAAAATTGGCCATGTACCATTTGAAACTTGTGTATCCGAGATAACTAATGTAAACGAATCAGAAGAAATTTTAAAGGAAAATGAAAACCAACAACGAAAAAAAGCAAAAACAATATTAGAAGAAAGTGTCGGTGTAAACGTTACCGAGCAATCAGTTTTAGAAAGTGAATTATCTACAGCTGAAATGAAACCACCACATCCAAGTAGTGCTACCACAGAAATAGTTTGCATGGAAGTACCAGATCAATCAGTAATAGTCACCGGAGATTTTACCTTAAATTTTACTGAGCGTGAAATTCCGAAATTGCAAGCTCATCGCGAACAAAGCACTTTAGAAGGTGTCGCGCTTTATGAAACCACGGTAATTGAAAAAGAGGGAAATGTAGAAACCAGTAAAGTGCCAATGACGTACTCTGCTGGAACAACAATAGTCTTAGAAGAAGCTCTAGAAATATCTCAAGTTGTGGCGGATAACAGAGAAGAAAGTATATCACATGTAGAGATACCGGTTGGAGAAAAGGCACAATTTAATGTTTCGCCGTTTAATACTGCTGAAAACCATGAAATGTTAATATGTGATAGTGTGGGTACCGTAACAGAAGGCGCTCCTACTAACGCGATTGCTCAAACAAAATATTATGAGCAACATGGTCTTGTTGAAAGTATTATAGTACCCGCGGATTCTGAAGACACCTTAAAACATTTTATAATGCCAGATAAAAAGAACGCCGATACTTTACAAACAGACTTAGATATTCCCTTAAGCGTACTAGAAATTTTAACACAAGAAAAAGAAAATGTTTTTGAATCAGAAGATCTTCAGAAACATGTTCTAGACAATCAAGAAGTAATTTTAGAAGAAAGTCACACAACTACGGAAACAACGGTGTGTAGTTCTACTGATGAATTTGTTAATGTGGAACCACAACTTTTAAATGCAACTAAAACCCAGAAGCCATATTCTGCTGTAGAAAATTTCGAAACAGCTGTGTTAGAACTGGAAAGTGATTTAGCTAAAGTTGACCTGATTCCGGACAGGCGGGCTGAAATTGGGTTTGAGAAAAATTTAAGTATTGGTGTTTTAGAACAGTTACCTTTAGATAACAATGATGATTTTTTCGTTCAGAAAAATTATTTAGAAAAGAGTATAACGTTATCAATTTCTGGAATAGACGTGGCTGAAACTTCGGAAACATTACCTCAAAGTCCTATTGAAGAACTTGAAATTAATATTGTAAATCCAAAATTGGCTCATTCTACTCAAGATAATGAAGTTCATGGACTGGTATCATCAGAAGTTATTCTTCAAGACTCGGAAACGATTTTAGAAAATTATCTTGAATTTAACAGCAAAATAGCTGATGTCTCTTTTGAAGACAGTGCTAAGACTTGTGTTATTACAGAAGTTTCTTCCAACGAAAAAGAAATTCCACTGGCCAAACAACTGAATCCATCTCAATATAATGCTGTTCAAGAGATATTAAGTTACGAAGGATTACAAGTCGACGAAGCAATTAGCCATTTATGTGAAGATCAATTATCTCCTTTCAAATATACATCACAAAGCATTAAACCCACTTTTGAACCCAATAAATCATTAGAAGTATCTGAGATTAACCCATCAGAATCAGAAGATATTTTAATGCAAAAGCCGAAACAACCCATCAAACACGCTACTCCTATTTTTGAAGAAAATACTAGTATTACTATAAACTCTACTGTGGCAAATGAAAAGGAAAACAGCTTCATTAATGATACTTTGCATTCTAATATTGCAATTGAAAACCCCAATCTAGGTGATTTAAAAGTACCAGAACAATTAGAAAGAACAACATTTGATAGCGTTAATTTCATTGATATCCCGCTTGTAAACCAAGATTTTGCAAAACCACACTATTCACTGTTAGATAGCATCTATACGACTGAAGTTAATATACATGATAAAGAATCTCAGTTTATACCTAATCCAAAAGAAACTAAAAACATAACAACTTTTGAGTACCTTACAGAAAAATCATTAGATGTATCAGAAGTATTACCAAATGAAGCAGAATGTACTTTAATTCAAAGTGGTATGCCCCAACCATCTATTGCCTTACGCGAAATTTCAGAAACACAAAGAGTCGCAACAGCTACAGAAATTATTCCTCAACATATTGCTGAAGAATATAATGAAAAACCCCACCCAACCTCTTTTAACTTATTACCAAACTCAGTGGAAACTGAAAGTGTTGTAATTACAGAAACAGTTTGTAATGAATCTGAAAAATTATTCGATACCGTTAAGAATGACATAAGGACTTGTGATTTTGTAATTACGTCTGATCAAAATATTGAAGTAATAGAAGTAACGCCTGAAGAATCTGAAGAAGCATTAGTTAAAACTGAGTTACTTAAAGCTTATAAAGCTAATCTTCTATACGATGAAAATCAAACTCTAATAGTTGAAGAAGTAGAAGCATCGCACGATACAATTCCTTTTTCAGAAACACAATTTAAGTTTAAAAATGCCTCTCAACAATTAGAGCCACTTTTAGAAATGACAGTATCAGAAATTAGACCAGAAGAAAGTGAAGTTAATTATGATGTGCAGTTAATGCCAGCACCAAGAAAAGTTACTCAGGTTTTGCCCGAAAACGAAAGTTTAAACATCATATCTACGGTTGTAACTGAAAAAGAAATGATACTAAATGAAACTAAAAGAGATATTTGTCAAAACGCACAAGAGATAACAGTGTATAACATAAAATCTGTAACCCAAAACCAAGAAAACGATATCCAAACCGCCACAGGTGAATTTATTGAACTTAAACCTAATGAATTATACTTAAAATCATCTTTTATCCCGCTCGATTCTATTGGACATACAGAAGTAAATCCACTAGAAAAAGAATCGACATTGCATATTCAATCGAGAGATAAAAAAGAATCCGTTACTATCCAATTGGAAACAATTAATTTACCACAAGTATCTGAAATCATAATGGGTGATAAGGAATCACATTATGTTCCTTTGCCACTTATAAATACTAAACACGCCTCAGCCGATATTTCCGACAGTCAATATGTTAGCAATATTTTGGAGGTTAAACCTAACGAGTCTTTAATGGAAATAAAGCCAATGGTGTCAGACTCTTGTTTGGCAGTTCCTAAACAAGAATTATTACATGAAGTTACAGTAACTAAATATTTAACTGTAGAAAAAGAAGAAATATTTGAAGGTGAGTTTAGTCCAAATTTATCTTCTGTCAATGTTAATGTAGAGAGGGAAAAGGAAACAAAAACTATAACTGAAGTTATAACTGAAGAAGTAGTAGATGAATTTAATAAAAAAGATTTGCCCGATATTAAAAATGCTATTGCAGATGTTACTTCTGGACAACAAGTTGCAGAAAAAACAGAAATTTTACCTAACACAGCTATTGGACAATTGAACGATTCAAAACCTAAATCATTTGCAATTAAACCTGTACAAAATACACAGGAAAGTATTCAGACGACTATAACTATTCCCCAAGATACAGAAAAGACACTTTTTTCATATCCAAAACCGGAAGAATATACGGCTAATATTGGAATAATTCAATCTAAAAGTATCAACGTCACAGAAATAGTGGGTGAAGACAAGGAGGGCAAATTAATATCTTCTGAAAAGCTAAAACCACAAATAGCTGAAAAAGATATTTTACTAAATGAGGCAGCAGAAACAACGAGTGTTATAACTAATATGGACGTAATGGAATTGATCGAAGAACATCCTAAACAAGTTTCGGTTAATATTGAACATGAACCACATACAAATATTACTCAATTTGAAACAACTATTCATGAAAGTGAAATACGTATGGCACCTTATGATATTACTAGTAAAACGGCAGATATAACAATGATTCCAAACAAAAGTTTAATAATTACTGAGGTGATTTCTGATTGCAAAGATGATGAACTACTTTTACAACACAAAGAAGCCAAAAAACAAGCTAGATCTTGTATTACTCAACTTCATGAAGTTCCACAAGTATCTGAAATAATTTCATCGAATACAACAAGTGATGCACATCTGGTAAAGTGGGAAACAAAACATGCTAAAATAATGCAACCAAATTTAAACGACACTATAGTATCTTCAGAAGTCAATATATTAGAAAAAGAAACGGACTTTATTGGAAAGCCTGAGTTTGATGTCCATACAGCAGATATTCAATTTAAGGAAGATACATCTCTAAACGTGACTGAAATTATATTAAATGAATCTGAACAGCCATTAGAACTACTTAAACCAATGGAGAGGCGAGCATCATTATTACCAGCATTATTTGATGTTGTTTCTGTGACGGAAAATTATCCTATAGATAAAGAAACCTACTTTGATTCAACTCAAAACCCGAAAAGCCAAACCGTTAATGTTACTCACATAGATAATATTAACTTGTCGGTATCAGAAACGAAAACAGAAGAAACAGAGATAGAATTTACAACTTCTGCGCCAAATACTGAAGTAGCTACTATCCCAGATATAACCACACGACCAGTTGCTAATATTACTGAAATAATAACGTTGACAGAAGTAAAAAATATGCCTTCTGTAAATGTAACAGAAAACGCTACAGCTAACGAAATTCAGTTAATGTTTGAAGGAATTGTTCAAACAGAACCTAATATAGCTGAATCAGAAGGTATTTTAAAAAATACAAAAACAACCGAACAAAAGGCCAATATTATAGCCAATATTTTAGAAAATATAATTAACACTGAACAAATTGTATCAGAAAAGGAGGGAACACTTAATGATATAAGACTTCCAGATGAAAAACAGGCCAGCATTACAATAGATGATACTTATTCAAGTGTTATCGTTACCAAAGTAACAGCCGATGAAAACGAATATGACTTTACAACAATTCCAATTAGAAAATTGTCAAATGCAAAGTTACAAATAGAAAAAGCAGAAGCTATTATTAATTTAGAAACAACCACGACAGAATCATTAAACAAGTTCGAAATATTGCCTCCAAAAGATGAAACCGCTATAATCAACATTGAAGACGCTCGATCAGGTATTTTAATTTCTAAAATAAATTCCGAAGATAAAGAGACTGATTTGATAATACGACAAGATAAGCCTACAAAAGCTACAATTCAGATTGATAACTTGGAAGTTATTACTAAAGATGAACATATAACGTCAGAAAAAGAAGACTTATTACTAATAAAACAACAACCAGATACACTCAACGCATCAATTTCATTTGAAACTACAAAAAATACTGTAGATATACTTGATGTAACATGTATTGATACAGAAGACGATTTATCAGTTGAACCATTAAGAAGAGCATCAATGGCAGCAATATCGACTGAGGAATTTAAGCATTTGGAGACATCAGAAGAACTACCATTAACTAATGCATATGATCTTGAAATGCCTACAAAAATTAAAGAACAAACCGCCAAAGTAGATTTCTACGAGCTCAAACAGATAATGGTTGAAGAAGCTATAACTAATGAAACTGAAACCGTTTTAAATGAAGAAAAACCATTATCACAAAACATTCAACGTCACCTTATACCAGTTGAACAAAATGAAATAGTAGCAGAGATACAACCAATTAACTTTGAAGACGACAAATCCATTTTAGAAGAAGCCAAGATAATTATACCCACAAACCAACAATGGCTCAATGTTCGTGACGATAAAGTTCTTGAGACAACAAAAGAATTTAAGTCCGTAAAAACAGTGACAAAACAAGCAACTATAACGGATACTTCCTCAGGTAAAAGTCAGAAAACGTAATTTATAAAAGGTTGAAAAAAAAATAGGAAACGATAAAAACAAAACGAAAAAACAAATATTAAATAGTGGTAAAAAAAATTATCCTAATTAGAAATATTTGTAGATTATTAATGACTTATTTAATAAATCGTGCAAAATTCTCTATATTAGGAGGCATAAAACAAGATATGCAGTACACATAATATTAACAAAAACACAAAACTACACATAGGCGGTATCTTAAAAGCAATATAAATTTATTGAGTATCAAATAAACAAAGATAACTAACACTGCACAATAAGCTAATACACCTACAAAAGTTAAAAAAAAAATCCAAAACACAAAATTAAAAGTAGTAAAAACATCATTAACAATAGCTGGTAAAGAATACCTAACACAAATATATAAAATAAACAGTACAGCATAACACACAATTTTCTTTGACAAAATTACAGATCTCACATGGCCAGCAGAGCAGAGCGTACAGAAAACATCTCCATCCATCACAGACACACAAAAAACACAAAACACAAAAAACCTTGAAGCCCATTCTGTTAGTGAAGGGGGTAAAAAAAAGGTGACCAAAAAGAAGACTATTAAGAAAGTAGTTGACGGTAAAGAGGAGGTTGAAGTTGTTGAATCGAAACCCGAAATATCCGAAATAACCGATGAAGAAGTAGGTCATTTGCCTGATTCTAAATTAGTCAAACCCGAGGAGGCTACCATTATTCCCGAGGAAACAACTTCTGTAGATATACAAACCACTACAGTCATTGAAGGGGGTAAGAAAAAGGTGACCAAAAAGAAGACCATTAAGAAAGTGGTTGACGGTAAAGAGGAGGTTGAAGTTGTGAATCGAAACCCGAAATATCCGAAATAACCGATGAAGAAGTAGGTCTTTTGCCCGATTCTAAATTAGTCAAACCCGAGGAGGCTACCATTATTCCCGAGGAAACAACTTCTGTAGATATACAAACCACTACAGTCATTGAAGGGGGTAAGAAAAAGGTGACCAAAAAGAAGACCATTAAGAAAGTGGTTGACGGTAAAGAGGAGGTTGAAGTTGTTGAATCGAAACCCGAAATATCCGAAATAACCGATGAAGAAGTAGGTCTTTTGCCCGATTCTAAATTAGTCAAACCCGAGGAGGCTACCATTATTCCCGAGGAAACAACTTCTGTAGATATACAAACCACTACAGTTATTGAAGGGGGTAAGAAAAAGGTGACCAAAAAGAAGACCATTAAGAAAGTGGTTGACGGTAAAGAGGAGGTTGAAGTTGTTGAATCGAAACCCGAAATATCCGAAATAACCGATGAAGAAGTAGGTCTTTTGCCCGATTCTAAATTAGTCAAACCCGAGGAGGCTACCATTATTCCCGAGGAAACAACTTCTGTAGATATACAAACCACTACAGTCATTGAAGGGGGTAAGAAAAAGGTGACCAAAAAGAAGACCATTAAGAAAGTGGTTGACGGTAAAGAGGAGGTTGAAGTTGTTGAATCGAAACCCGAAATATCCGAAATAACCGATGAAGAAGTAGGTCTTTTGCCCGATTCTAAATTAGTCAAACCCGAGGAGGCTACCATTATTCCCGAGGAAACAACTTCTGTAGATATACAAACCACTACAGTCATTGAAGGGGGTAAGAAAAAGGTGACCAAAAAGAAGACCATTAAGAAAGTGGTTGACGGTAAAGAGGAGGTTGAAGTTGTTGAATCGAAACCCGAAATATCCGAAATAACCGATGAAGAAGTAGGTCTTTTGCCCGATTCTAAATTAGTCAAACCCGAGGAGGCTACCATTATTCCCGAGGAAACAACTTCTGTAGATATACAAACCACTACAGTCATTGAAGGGGGTAAGAAAAAGGTGACCAAAAAGAAGACCATTAAGAAAGTGGTTGACGGTAAAGAGGAGGTTGAAGTTGTTGAATCGAAACCCGAAATATCCGAAATAACCGATGAAGAAGTAGGTCTTTTGCCCGATTCTAAATTAGTCAAACCCGAGGAGGCTACCATTATTCCCGAGGAAACAACTTCTGTAGATATACAAACCACTACAGTTATTGAAGGGGGTAAGAAAAAGGTGACCAAAAAGAAGACCATTAAGAAAGTGGTTGACGGTAAAGAGGAGGTTGAAGTTGTTGAATCGAAACCCGAAATATCCGAAATAACCGATGAAGAAGTAGGTCTTTTGCCCGATTCTAAATTAGTCAAACCCGAGGAGGCTACCATTATTCCCGAGGAAACAACTTCTGTAGATATACAAACCACTACAGTCATTGAAGGGGGTAAGAAAAAGGTGACCAAAAAGAAGACCATTAAGAAAGTGGTTGACGGTAAAGAGGAGGTTGAAGTTGTTGAATCGAAACCCGAAATATCCGAAATAACCGATGAAGAAGTAGGTCTTTTGCCCGATTCTAAATTAGTCAAACCCGAGGAGGCTACCATTATTCCCGAGGAAACAACTTCTGTAGATATACAAACCACTACAGTTATTGAAGGGGGTAAGAAAAAGGTGACCAAAAAGAAGACCATTAAGAAAGTGGTTGACGGTAAAGAGGAGGTTGAAGTTGTTGAATCGAAACCCGAAATATCCGAAATAACCGATGAAGAAGTAGGTCTTTTGCCCGATTCTAAATTAGTCAAACCCGAGGAGGCTACCATTATTCCCGAGGAAACAACTTCTGTAGATATACAAACCACTACAGTCATTGAAGGGGGTAAGAAAAAGGTGACCAAAAAGAAGACCATTAAGAAAGTGGTTGACGGTAAAGAGGAGGTTGAAGTTGTTGAATCGAAACCCGAAATATCCGAAATAACCGATGAAGAAGTAGGTCTTTTGCCCGATTCTAAATTAGTCAAACCCGAGGAGGCTACCATTATTCCCGAGGAAACAACTTCTGTAGATATACAAACCACTACAGTCATTGAAGGGGGTAAGAAAAAGGTGACCAAAAAGAAGACCATTAAGAAAGTGGTTGACGGTAAAGAGGAGGTTGAAGTTGTTGAATCGAAACCCGAAATATCCGAAATAACCGATGAAGAAGTAGGTCTTTTGCCCGATTCTAAATTAGTCAAACCCGAGGAGGCTACCATTATTCCCGAGGAAACAACTTCTGTAGATATACAAACCACTACAGTCATTGAAGGGGGTAAGAAAAAGGTGACCAAAAAGAAGACCATTAAGAAAGTGGTTGACGGTAAAGAGGAGGTTGAAGTTGTTGAATCGAAACCCGAAATATCCGAAATAACCGATGAAGAAGTAGGTCTTTTGCCCGATTCTAAATTAGTCAAACCCGAGGAGGCTACCATTATTCCCGAGGAAACAACTTCTGTAGATATACAAACCACTACAGTTATTGAAGGGGGTAAGAAAAAGGTGACCAAAAAGAAGACCATTAAGAAAGTGGTTGACGGTAAAGAGGAGGTTGAAGTTGTTGAATCGAAACCCGAAATATCCGAAATAACCGATGAAGAAGTAGGTCTTTTGCCCGATTCTAAATTAGTCAAACCCGAGGAGGCTACCATTATTCCCGAGGAAACAACTTCTGTAGATATACAAACCACTACAGTTATTGAAGGGGGTAAGAAAAAGGTGACCAAAAAGAAGACCATTAAGAAAGTGGTTGACGGTAAAGAGGAGGTTGAAGTTGTTGAATCGAAACCCGAAATATCCGAAATAACCGATGAAGAAGTAGGTCTTTTGCCCGATTCTAAATTAGTCAAACCCGAGGAGGCTACCATTATTCCCGAGGAAACAACTTCTGTAGATATACAAACCACTACAGTTATTGAAGGGGGTAAGAAAAAGGTGACCAAAAAGAAGACCATTAAGAAAGTGGTTGATGGTAAAGAGGAGGTTGAAGTTGTTGAATCGAAACCCGAAATATCCGAAATAACCGATGAAGAAGTAGGTCTTTTGCCCGATTCTAAATTAGTCAAACCCGAGGAGGCTACCATTATTCCCGAGGAAACAACTTCTGTAGATATACAAACCACTACAGTCATTGAAGGGGGTAAGAAAAAGGTGACCAAAAAGAAGACCATTAAGAAAGTGGTTGACGGTAAAGAGGAGGTTGAAGTTGTTGAATCGAAACCCGAAATATCCGAAATAACCGATGAAGAAGTAGGTCTTTTGCCCGATTCTAAATTAGTCAAACCCGAGGAGGCTACCATTATTCCCGAGGAAACAACTTCTGTAGATATACAAACCACTACAGTCATTGAAGGGGGTAAGAAAAAGGTGACCAAAAAGAAGACCATTAAGAAAGTGGTTGACGGTAAAGAGGAGGTTGAAGTTGTTGAATCGAAACCCGAAATATCCGAAATAACCGATGAAGAAGTAGGTCTTTTGCCCGATTCTAAATTAGTCAAACCCGAGGAGGCTACCATTATTCCCGAGGAAACAACTTCTGTAGATATACAAACCACTACAGTCATTGAAGGGGGTAAGAAAAAGGTGACCAAAAAGAAGACCATTAAGAAAGTGGTTGACGGTAAAGAGGAGGTTGAAGTTGTTGAATCGAAACCCGAAATATCCGAAATAACCGATGAAGAAGTAGGTCTTTTGCCCGATTCTAAATTAGTCAAACCCGAGGAGGCTACCATTATTCCCGAGGAAACAACTTCTGTAGATATACAAACCACTACAGTCATTGAAGGGGGTAAGAAAAAGGTGACCAAAAAGAAGACCATTAAGAAAGTGGTTGACGGTAAAGAGGAGGTTGAAGTTGTTGAATCGAAACCCGAAATATCCGAAATAACCGATGAAGAAGTAGGTCTTTTGCCCGATTCTAAATTAGTCAAACCCGAGGAGGCTACCATTATTCCCGAGGAAACAACTTCTGTAGATATACAAACCACTACAGTCATTGAAGGGGGTAAGAAAAAGGTGACCAAAAAGAAGACCATTAAGAAAGTGGTTGACGGTAAAGAGGAGGTTGAAGTTGTTGAATCGAAACCCGAAATATCCGAAATAACCGATGAAGAAGTAGGTCTTTTGCCCGATTCTAAATTAGTCAAACCCGAGGAGGCTACCATTATTCCCGAGGAAACAACTTCTGTAGATATACAAACCACTACAGTTATTGAAGGGGGTAAGAAAAAGGTGACCAAAAAGAAGACCATTAAGAAAGTGGTTGACGGTAAAGAGGAGGTTGAAGTTGTTGAATCGAAACCCGAAATATCCGAAATAACCGATGAAGAAGTAGGTCTTTTGCCCGATTCTAAATTAGTCAAACCCGAGGAGGCTACCATTATTCCCGAGGAAACAACTTCTGTAGATATACAAACCACTACAGTCATTGAAGGGGGTAAGAAAAAGGTGACCAAAAAGAAGACCATTAAGAAAGTGGTTGACGGTAAAGAGGAGGTTGAAGTTGTTGAATCGAAACCCGAAATATCCGAAATAACCGATGAAGAAGTAGGTCTTTTGCCCGATTCTAAATTAGCCAAACCCGAGGAGGCTACCATTATTCCCGAGGAAACAACTTCTGTAGATATACAAACCACTACAGTTATTGAAGGGGGTAAGAAAAAGGTGACCAAAAAGAAGACCATTAAGAAAGTGGTTGACGGTAAAGAGGAGGTTGAAGTTGTTGAATCGAAACCCGAAATATCCGAAATAACCGATGAAGAAGTAGGTCTTTTGCCCGATTCTAAATTAGTCAAACCCGAGGAGGCTACCATTATTCCCGAGGAAACAACTTCTGTAGATATACAAACCACTACAGTTATTGAAGGGGGTAAGAAAAAGGTGACCAAAAAGAAGACCATTAAGAAAGTGGTTGACGGTAAAGAGGAGGTTGAAGTTGTTGAATCGAAACCCGAAATATCCGAAATAACCGATGAAGAAGTAGGTCTTTTGCCCGATTCTAAATTAGTCAAACCCGAGGAGGCTACCATTATTCCCGAGGAAACAACTTCTGTAGATATACAAACCACTACAGTTATTGAAGGGGGTAAGAAAAAGGTGACCAAAAAGAAGACCATTAAGAAAGTGGTTGACGGTAAAGAGGAGGTTGAAGTTGTTGAATCGAAACCCGAAATATCCGAAATAACCGATGAAGAAGTAGGTCTTTTGCCCGATTCTAAATTAGTCAAACCCGAGGAGGCTACCATTATTCCCGAGGAAACAACTTCTGTAGATATACAAACCACTACAGTTATTGAAGGGGGTAAGAAAAAGGTGACCAAAAAGAAGACCATTAAGAAAGTGGTTGACGGTAAAGAGGAGGTTGAAGTTGTTGAATCGAAACCCGAAATATCCGAAATAACCGATGAAGAAGTAGGTCTTTTGCCCGATTCTAAATTAGTCAAACCCGAGGAGGCTACCATTATTCCCGAGGAAACAACTTCTGTAGATATACAAACCACTACAGTTATTGAAGGGGGTAAGAAAAAGGTGACCAAAAAGAAGACCATTAAGAAAGTGGTTGACGGTAAAGAGGAGGTTGAAGTTGTTGAATCGAAACCCGAAATATCCGAAATAACCGATGAAGAAGTAGGTCTTTTGCCCGATTCTAAATTAGCCAAACCCGAGGAGGCTACCATTATTCCCGAGGAAACAACTTCTGTAGATATACAAACCACTACAGTTATTGAAGGGGGTAAGAAAAAGGTGACCAAAAAGAAGACCATTAAGAAAGTGGTTGACGGTAAAGAGGAGGTTGAAGTTGTTGAATCGAAACCCGAAATATCCGAAATAACCGATGAAGAAGTAGGTCTTTTGCCCGATTCTAAATTAGCCAAACCCGAGGAGGCTACCATTATTCCCGAGGAAACAACTTCTGTAGATATACAAACCACTACAGTTATTGAAGGGGGTAAGAAAAAGGTGACCAAAAAGAAGACCATTAAGAAAGTGGTTGACGGTAAAGAGGAGGTTGAAGTTGTTGAATCGAAACCCGAAATATCCGAAATAACCGATGAAGAAGTAGGTCTTTTGCCCGATTCTAAATTAGCCAAACCCGAGGAGGCTACCATTATTCCCGAGGAAACAACTTCTGTAGATATACAAACCACTACAGTCATTGAAGGGGGTAAGAAAAAGGTGACCAAAAAGAAGACCATTAAGAAAGTGGTTGACGGTAAAGAGGAGGTTGAAGTTGTTGAATCGAAACCCGAAATATCCGAAATAACCGATGAAGAAGTAGGTCTTTTGCCCGATTCTAAATTAGTCCAACCCGAGGAGGCTACCATTATTCCCGAGGAAACAACTTCTGTAGATATACAAACCACTACAGTTATTGAAGGGGGTAAGAAAAAGGTGACCAAAAAGAAGACCATTAAGAAAGTGGTTGACGGTAAAGAGGAGGTTGAAGTTGTTGAATCGAAACCCGAAATATCCGAAATAACCGATGAAGAAGTAGGTCTTTTGCCCGATTCTAAATTAGTCAAACCCGAGGAGGCTACCATTATTCCCGAGGAAACAACTTCTGTAGATATACAAACCACTACAGTCATTGAAGGGGGTAAGAAAAAGGTGACCAAAAAGAAGACCATTAAGAAAGTGGTTGACGGTAAAGAGGAGGTTGAAGTTGTTGAATCGAAACCCGAAATATCCGAAATAACCGATGAAGAAGTAGGTCTTTTGCCCGATTCTAAATTAGTCAAACCCGAGGAGGCTACCATTATTCCCGAGGAAACAACTTCTGTAGATATACAAACCACTACAGTCATTGAAGGGGGTAAGAAAAAGGTGACCAAAAAGAAGACCATTAAGAAAGTGGTTGACGGTAAAGAGGAGGTTGAAGTTGTTGAATCGAAACCCGAAATATCCGAAATAACCGATGAAGAAGTAGGTCTTTTGCCCGATTCTAAATTAGTCAAACCCGAGGAGGCTACCATTATTCCCGAGGAAACAACTTCTGTAGATATACAAACCACTACAGTTATTGAAGGGGGTAAGAAAAAGGTGACCAAAAAGAAGACCATTAAGAAAGTGGTTGATGGTAAAGAGGAGGTTGAAGTTGTTGAATCGAAACCCGAAATATCCGAAATAACCGATGAAGAAGTAGGTCTTTTGCCCGATTCTAAATTAGTCAAACCCGAGGAGGCTACCATTATTCCCGAGGAAACAACTTCTGTAGATATACAAACCACTACAGTCATTGAAGGGGGTAAGAAAAAGGTGACCAAAAAGAAGACCATTAAGAAAGTGGTTGACGGTAAAGAGGAGGTTGAAGTTGTTGAATCGAAACCCGAAATATCCGAAATAACCGATGAAGAAGTAGGTCTTTTGCCCGATTCTAAATTAGTCAAACCCGAGGAGGCTACCATTATTCCCGAGGAAACAACTTCTGTAGATATACAAACCACTACAGTCATTGAAGGGGGTAAGAAAAAGGTGACCAAAAAGAAGACCATTAAGAAAGTGGTTGACGGTAAAGAGGAGGTTGAAGTTGTTGAATCGAAACCCGAAATATCCGAAATAACCGATGAAGAAGTAGGTCTTTTGCCCGATTCTAAATTAGTCAAACCCGAGGAGGCTACCATTATTCCCGAGGAAACAACTTCTGTAGATATACAAACCACTACAGTCATTGAAGGGGGTAAGAAAAAGGTGACCAAAAAGAAGACCATTAAGAAAGTGGTTGACGGTAAAGAGGAGGTTGAAGTTGTTGAATCGAAACCCGAAATATCCGAAATAACCGATGAAGAAGTAGGTCTTTTGCCCGATTCTAAATTAGTCAAACCCGAGGAGGCTACCATTATTCCCGAGGAAACAACTTCTGTAGATATACAAACCACTACAGTCATTGAAGGGGGTAAGAAAAAGGTGACCAAAAAGAAGACCATTAAGAAAGTGGTTGACGGTAAAGAGGAGGTTGAAGTTGTTGAATCGAAACCCGAAATATCCGAAATAACCGATGAAGAAGTAGGTCTTTTGCCCGATTCTAAATTAGTCCAAACCCGAGGAGGCTACCATTATTCCCGAGGAAACAACTTCTGTAGATATACAAACCACTACAGTCATTGAAGGGGGTAAGAAAAAGGTGACCAAAAAGAAGACCATTAAGAAAGTGGTTGACGGTAAAGAGGAGGTTGAAGTTGTTGAATCGAAACCCGAAATATCCGAAATAACCGATGAAGAAGTAGGTCTTTTGCCCGATTCTAAATTAGTCAAACCCGAGGAGGCTACCATTATTCCCGAGGAAACAACTTCTGTAGATATACAAACCACTACAGTCATTGAAGGGGGTAAGAAAAAGGTGACCAAAAAGAAGACCATTAAGAAAGTGGTTGACGGTAAAGAGGAGGTTGAAGTTGTTGAATCGAAACCCGAAATATCCGAAATAACCGATGAAGAAGTAGGTCTTTTGCCCGATTCTAAATTAGCCAAACCCGAGGAGGCTACCATTATTCCCGAGGAAACAACTTCTGTAGATATACAAACCACTACAGTCATTGAAGGGGGTAAGAAAAAGGTGACCAAAAAGAAGACCATTAAGAAAGTGGTTGACGGTAAAGAGGAGGTTGAAGTTGTTGAATCGAAACCCGAAATATCCGAAATAACCGATGAAGAAGTAGGTCTTTTGCCCGATTCTAAATTAGTCAAACCCGAGGAGGCTACCATTATTCCCGAGGAAACAACTTCTGTAGATATACAAACCACTACAGTTATTGAAGGGGGTAAGAAAAAGGTGACCAAAAAGAAGACCATTAAGAAAGTGGTTGACGGTAAAGAGGAGGTTGAAGTTGTTGAATCGAAACCCGAAATATCCGAAATAACCGATGAAGAAGTAGGTCTTTTGCCCGATTCTAAATTAGTCAAACCCGAGGAGGCTACCATTATTCCCGAGGAAACAACTTCTGTAGATATACAAACCACTACAGTCATTGAAGGGGGTAAGAAAAAGGTGACCAAAAAGAAGACCATTAAGAAAGTGGTTGACGGTAAAGAGGAGGTTGAAGTTGTTGAATCGAAACCCGAAATATCCGAAATAACCGATGAAGAAGTAGGTCTTTTGCCCGATTCTAAATTAGTCAAACCCGAGGAGGCTACCATTATTCCCGAGGAAACAACTTCTGTAGATATACAAACCACTACAGTCATTGAAGGGGGTAAGAAAAAGGTGACCAAAAAGAAGACCATTAAGAAAGTGGTTGACGGTAAAGAGGAGGTTGAAGTTGTTGAATCGAAACCCGAAATATCCGAAATAACCGATGAAGAAGTAGGTCTTTTGCCCGATTCTAAATTAGTCAAACCCGAGGAGGCTACCATTATTCCCGAGGAAACAACTTCTGTAGATATACAAACCACTACAGTCATTGAAGGGGGTAAGAAAAAGGTGACCAAAAAGAAGACCATTAAGAAAGTGGTTGACGGTAAAGAGGAGGTTGAAGTTGTTGAATCGAAACCCGAAATATCCGAAATAACCGATGAAGAAGTAGGTCTTTTGCCCGATTCTAAATTAGCCAAACCCGAGGAGGCTACCATTATTCCCGAGGAAACAACTTCTGTAGATATACAAACCACTACAGTCATTGAAGGGGGTAAGAAAAAGGTGACCAAAAAGAAGACCATTAAGAAAGTGGTTGACGGTAAAGAGGAGGTTGAAGTTGTTGAATCGAAACCCGAAATATCCGAAATAACCGATGAAGAAGTAGGTCTTTTGCCCGATTCTAAATTAGTCAAACCCGAGGAGGCTACCATTATTCCCGAGGAAACAACTTCTGTAGATATACAAACCACTACAGTCATTGAAGGGGGTAAGAAAAAGGTGACCAAAAAGAAGACCATTAAGAAAGTGGTTGACGGTAAAGAGGAGGTTGAAGTTGTTGAATCGAAACCCGAAATATCCGAAATAACCGATGAAGAAGTAGGTCTTTTGCCCGATTCTAAATTAGTCAAACCCGAGGAGGCTACCATTATTCCCGAGGAAACAACTTCTGTAGATATACAAACCACTACAGTCATTGAAGGGGGTAAGAAAAAGGTGACCAAAAAGAAGACCATTAAGAAAGTGGTTGACGGTAAAGAGGAGGTTGAAGTTGTTGAATCGAAACCCGAAATATCCGAAATAACCGATGAAGAAGTAGGTCTTTTGCCCGATTCTAAATTAGTCAAACCCGAGGAGGCTACCATTATTCCCGAGGAAACAACTTCTGTAGATATACAAACCACTACAGTCATTGAAGGGGGTAAGAAAAAGGTGACCAAAAAGAAGACCATTAAGAAAGTGGTTGACGGTAAAGAGGAGGTTGAAGTTGTTGAATCGAAACCCGAAATATCCGAAATAACCGATGAAGAAGTAGGTCTTTTGCCCGATTCTAAATTAGTCAAACCCGAGGAGGCTACCATTATTCCCGAGGAAACAACTTCTGTAGATATACAAACCACTACAGTCATTGAAGGGGGTAAGAAAAAGGTGACCAAAAAGAAGACCATTAAGAAAGTGGTTGACGGTAAAGAGGAGGTTGAAGTTGTTGAATCGAAACCCGAAATATCCGAAATAACCGATGAAGAAGTAGGTCTTTTGCCCGATTCTAAATTAGTCAAACCCGAGGAGGCTACCATTATTCCCGAGGAAACAACTTCTGTAGATATACAAACCACTACAGTTATTGAAGGGGGTAAGAAAAAGGTGACCAAAAAGAAGACCATTAAGAAAGTGGTTGACGGTAAAGAGGAGGTTGAAGTTGTTGAATCGAAACCCGAAATATCCGAAATAACCGATGAAGAAGTAGGTCTTTTGCCCGATTCTAAATTAGTCAAACCCGAGGAGGCTACCATTATTCCCGAGGAAACAACTTCTGTAGATATACAAACCACTACAGTTATTGAAGGGGGTAAGAAAAAGGTGACCAAAAAGAAGACCATTAAGAAAGTGGTTGACGGTAAAGAGGAGGTTGAAGTTGTTGAATCGAAACCCGAAATATCCGAAATAACCGATGAAGAAGTAGGTCTTTTGCCCGATTCTAAATTAGTCAAACCCGAGGAGGCTACCATTATTCCCGAGGAAACAACTTCTGTAGATATACAAACCACTACAGTCATTGAAGGGGGTAAGAAAAAGGTGACCAAAAAGAAGACCATTAAGAAAGTGGTTGACGGTAAAGAGGAGGTTGAAGTTGTTGAATCGAAACCCGAAATATCCGAAATAACCGATGAAGAAGTAGGTCTTTTGCCCGATTCTAAATTAGTCAAACCCGAGGAGGCTACCATTATTCCCGAGGAAACAACTTCTGTAGATATACAAACCACTACAGTCATTGAAGGGGGTAAGAAAAAGGTGACCAAAAAGAAGACCATTAAGAAAGTGGTTGACGGTAAAGAGGAGGTTGAAGTTGTTGAATCGAAACCCGAAATATCCGAAATAACCGATGAAGAAGTAGGTCTTTTGCCCGATTCTAAATTAGTCAAACCCGAGGAGGCTACCATTATTCCCGAGGAAACAACTTCTGTAGATATACAAACCACTACAGTCATTGAAGGGGGTAAGAAAAAGGTGACCAAAAAGAAGACCATTAAGAAAGTGGTTGACGGTAAAGAGGAGGTTGAAGTTGTTGAATCGAAACCCGAAATATCCGAAATAACCGATGAAGAAGTAGGTCTTTTGCCCGATTCTAAATTAGTCAAACCCGAGGAGGCTACCATTATTCCCGAGGAAGCAACTTCTGTAGATATACAAACCACTACAGTTATTGAAGGGGGTAAGAAAAAGGTGACCAAAAAGAAGACCATTAAGAAAGTGGTTGACGGTAAAGAGGAGGTTGAAGTTGTTGAATCGAAACCCGAAATATCCGAAATAACCGATGAAGAAGTAGGTCTTTTGCCCGATTCTAAATTAGTCAAACCCGAGGAGGCTACCATTATTCCCGAGGAAACAACTTCTGTAGATATACAAACCACTACAGTTATTGAAGGGGGTAAGAAAAAGGTGACCAAAAAGAAGACCATTAAGAAAGTGGTTGACGGTAAAGAGGAGGTTGAAGTTGTTGAATCGAAACCCGAAATATCCGAAATAACCGATGAAGAAGTAGGTCTTTTGCCCGATTCTAAATTAGTCAAACCCGAGGAGGCTACCATTATTCCCGAGGAAACAACTTCTGTAGATATACAAACCACTACAGTCATTGAAGGGGGTAAGAAAAAGGTGACCAAAAAGAAGACCATTAAGAAAGTGGTTGACGGTAAAGAGGAGGTTGAAGTTGTTGAATCGAAACCCGAAATATCCGAAATAACCGATGAAGAAGTAGGTCTTTTGCCCGATTCTAAATTAGTCAAACCCGAGGAGGCTACCATTATTCCCGAGGAAACAACTTCTGTAGATATACAAACCACTACAGTCATTGAAGGGGGTAAGAAAAAGGTGACCAAAAAGAAGACCATTAAGAAAGTGGTTGACGGTAAAGAGGAGGTTGAAGTTGTTGAATCGAAACCCGAAATATCCGAAATAACCGATGAAGAAGTAGGTCTTTTGCCCGATTCTAAATTAGTCAAACCCGAGGAGGCTACCATTATTCCCGAGGAAACAACTTCTGTAGATATACAAACCACTACAGTCATTGAAGGGGGTAAGAAAAAGGTGACCAAAAAGAAGACCATTAAGAAAGTGGTTGACGGTAAAGAGGAGGTTGAAGTTGTTGAATCGAAACCCGAAATATCCGAAATAACCGATGAAGAAGTAGGTCTTTTGCCCGATTCTAAATTAGTCAAACCCGAGGAGGCTACCATTATTCCCGAGGAAACAACTTCTGTAGATATACAAACCACTACAGTCATTGAAGGGGGTAAGAAAAAGGTGACCAAAAAGAAGACCATTAAGAAAGTGGTTGACGGTAAAGAGGAGGTTGAAGTTGTTGAATCGAAACCCGAAATATCCGAAATAACCGATGAAGAAGTAGGTCTTTTGCCCGATTCTAAATTAGTCAAACCCGAGGAGGCTACCATTATTCCCGAGGAAGCAACTTCTGTAGATATACAAACCACTACAGTTATTGAAGGGGGTAAGAAAAAGGTGACCAAAAAGAAGACCATTAAGAAAGTGGTTGACGGTAAAGAGGAGGTTGAAGTTGTTGAATCGAAACCCGAAATATCCGAAATAACCGATGAAGAAGTAGGTCTTTTGCCCGATTCTAAATTAGTCAAACCCGAGGAGGCTACCATTATTCCCGAGGAAACAACTTCTGTAGATATACAAACCACTACAGTCATTGAAGGGGGTAAGAAAAAGGTGACCAAAAAGAAGACCATTAAGAAAGTGGTTGACGGTAAAGAGGAGGTTGAAGTTGTTGAATCGAAACCCGAAATATCCGAAATAACCGATGAAGAAGTAGGTCTTTTGCCCGATTCTAAATTAGTCAAACCCGAGGAGGCTACCATTATTCCCGAGGAAACAACTTCTGTAGATATACAAACCACTACAGTCATTGAAGGGGGTAAGAAAAAGGTGACCAAAAAGAAGACCATTAAGAAAGTGGTTGACGGTAAAGAGGAGGTTGAAGTTGTTGAATCGAAACCCGAAATATCCGAAATAACCGATGAAGAAGTAGGTCTTTTGCCCGACTCTAAATTAGTCAAACCCGAGGAGGCTACCATTATTCCCGAGGAAACAACTTCTGTAGATTTAGATAAAGTGGCTAATGTTTTCCCTTTTTCCCCTCAAACATCTCAAGGAACTTCACATAATATACCACTACACATAGTACTGTCAGGTAATTGGCATTTAATCACAACATAACACAATTATTACTTATATTTTTTTTTGTTATATATATTGGTGTTCTATTACTTTCATGTCACGTATGGTCGTTTGTGTTGTCTTTTCAATCTTCTTATTTTGCTTATTCTGTAAACTATTTTATCACAACTGAGGATAACATCCATGACATCTATAGCCAAATTAAGAAATAATTTCTACCCCTTCTAGGAGAATGAGTTTATTATATTTTTTCCGTTTTTTCAACTTTTATTAGTATAACTATATAACTAAGAATATTCCATAAAAATTGGGAACTAATTTCATAATATTTTAAAAAGATGTAAGGTGCCGTATTTGTTGAAAGTATGTAATATATTTTGGTTTTTTCTGCATTTTCAAAGGGAAGGGGTGAATTTTTCAAATTGGTTGCCCCATGAAGTACCTTTTAGGTACAATGTCAAATCAATAGTTAAGTTGCTACAAGAATAAATCGGTTCAGTGGCTTTGAAGATTCGTGTGTCCAACCATCAGTTATAAAATAGAAAACACATCTCAGGAACTCATTAAGGCTAAAAAATATTGACATAATGCATAAAAATATGATTTATAATAAAAACCTCATGTACACATATTTTTATTTTTAAAGAATGTATCATAAATTTTGTAACACAATTATTTCAATTTTTTTCTCGTCCTTAATATACATTGAATATTACATATATTGATTAACTTCGTATAATTGTCAATTAAATTATTATTAATATATTTTAAGACCATTAACCGATTAATTCTACAGAATATTACATGGTAAAGCTTCATAACAAAACTTGCATTTATATTACAAACTTACCTATAATAGGACTGAAAATATATGTTATTTTAAAATAGATGAAAAACTGGAAGATGTAAAAAATGAGGATACTGAAGAGATACTACAAAAACCTATTGAAAAGCCAAACGAAAATGATATTGATATTAAAAATGCCTTTTTGATATTAAAACCGAAAAAAACACAACTCGAAGAAGAAGATGAAGTAGCCAGCGTTACATTCATTCCCAAAAAATCTAAAGTTAAGGAAGATATAGAACAAGTATTTAGTATCAACGCACAAACGTATGAAGAGGAAGAAATTTCTATGACAGGAATTGTAAAGTTACAAAGAAAATCATTAATAGAAACCCTAGAAGTTGATACTGTTGACAATATTGATCAAAATATACCTGCTTTAACTATAGAAGAATTAGATGAAACAAATAAAGTTATTCAAACACAAAAAGATACAGAAAACTATGAAACTGAAGTTACTATAACGTCAATACCAAAGATACCTAGCACCAAAAAAGATCAAAAAGAAAATATTGGCGTTACGGATAACGAACTTCCATTGAAAGAAGGTGAAGAAGAACAAAAGCCTAAGCGTAAACCATCGTTAAAGAAAGAAACTGATGACCAAAGCTTAACACCAGAAGAGTCATCGGTTATAGTAAAACGTCCTAAAAAGAAATCGATACCTAAAGAAGAAACTGAAACTGAAGGAACCGAAGTTACAATTAAGAAAAAACCTAAAAAACCAGTAACCGAAGAAGGCCAAAAAGAATCTATTGAAGTTACAATTAAACCAAAGAGAAAACCATCAATACAAAAAGATGAAGAATCTGACAAAATCACGGTAGAAAAGATAGAAGTTGAAGAATCTGATGACAAACTTCCCTCGAAAGAAGGTGAAGAAGAAGAAAAGCCTAAGCGTAAACCATCGTTAAAGAAAGAAACTGATAACCAAAGCTCAACACCAGAAGATTCATCGGTTATAGTAAAACGTCCTAAAAAGAAATCGATACCTAAAGAAGAAACTGAAACTGAAGGAACCGAAGTTACAATTAAGAAAAAACCTAAAAAACCAGTAGCCGAAGAAGACCGAAAAGAATCTATTGAAGTTACAATTAAACCAAAGAGAAAACCATCAATACAAAAAGATGAAGAATCTGACAAAATCACTGTAGAAAAGATAGAAGTTGAAGAATCTGATGACAAACTTCCCTCGAAAGAAGGTGAAGAAGAAGAAAAGCCCAAGCGTAAACCATCGTTAAAGAAAGAAACTGATGACCAAAGCTCAACACCAGAAGAGTCATCGGTTATAGTAAAACGTCCTAAAAAGAAATCGATACCTAAAGAAGAAACTGAAACTGAAGGAACCGAAGTTACAATTAAGAAAAAACCTAAAAAACCAGTAGCCGAAGAAGACCGAAAAGAATCTATTGAAGTTACAATTAAACCAAAGAGAAAACCATCAATACAAAAAGATGAAGAATCTGACAAAATCACTGTAGAAAAGATAGAAGTTGAAGAATCTGATGACAAACTTCCCTCGAAAGAAGGTGAAGAAGAAGAAAAGCCCAAGCGTAAACCATCGTTAAAGAAAGAAACTGATAACCAAAGCTCAACACCAGAAGAGTCATCGGTTATAGTAAAACGTCCTAAAAAGAAATCGATACCTAAAGAAGAAACTGAAACTGAAGGAACCGAAGTTACAATTAAGAAAAAACCTAAAAAACCAGTAGCCGAAGAAGACCGAAAAGAATCTATTGAAGTTACAATTAAACCAAAGAGAAAACCATCAATACAAAAAGATGAAGAATCTGACAAAATCACTGTAGAAAAGATAGAAGTTGAAGAATCTGATGACAAACTTCCCTCGAAAGAAGGTGAAGAAGAAGAAAAGCCTAAGCGTAAACCATCGTTAAAGAAAGAAACTGATAACCAAAGCTCAACACCAGAAGAGTCATCGGTTATAGTAAAACGTCCTAAAAAGAAATCGATACCTAAAGAAGAAACTGAAACTGAAGGAACCGAAGTTACAATTAAGAAAAAACCTAAAAAACCAGTAGCCGAAGAAGACCGAAAAGAATCTATTGAAGTTACAATTAAACCAAAGAGAAAACCATCAATACAAAAAGATGAAGAATCTGACAAAATCACTGTAGAAAAGATAGAAGTTGAAGAATCTGATGACAAACTTCCCTCGAAAGAAGGTGAAGAAGAAGAAAAGCCCAAGCGTAAACCATCGTTAAAGAAAGAAACTGATGACCAAAGCTCAACACCAGAGGAGTCGTCGGTTATAGTAAAACGTCCTAAAAAGAAATCGATACCTAAAGAAGAAACTGAAACTGAAGGAACCGAAGTTACAATTAAGAAAAAACCTAAAAAACCAGTAGCCGAAGAAGACCGAAAAGAATCTATTGAAGTTACAATTAAACCAAAGAGAAAACCATCAATACAAAAAGATGAAGAATCTGACAAAATCACTGTAGAAAAGATAGAAGTTGAAGAATCTGATGACAAACTTCCCTCGAAAGAAGGTGAAGAAGAAGAAAAGCCCAAGCGTAAACCATCGTTAAAGAAAGAAACTGATGACCAAAGCTCAACACCAGAGGAGTCATCGGTTATAGTAAAACGTCCTAAAAAGAAATCGATACCTAAAGAAGAAACTGAAACTGAAGGAACCGAAGTTACAATTAAGAAAAAACCTAAAAAACCAGTAGCCGAAGAAGACCGAAAAGAATCTATTGAAGTTACAATTAAACCAAAGAGAAAACCATCAATACAAAAAGATGAAGAATCTGACAAAATCACTGTAGAAAAGATAGAAGTTGAAGAATCTGATGACAAACTTCCCTCGAAAGAAGGTGAAGAAGAAGAAAAGCCCAAGCGTAAACCATCGTTAAAGAAAGAAACTGATGACCAAAGCTTAACACCAGAAGAGTCATCGGTTATAGTAAAACGTCCTAAAAAGAAATCAATACCTAAAGAAGAAACTGAAACTGAAGGAACCGAAGTTACAATTAAGAAAAAACCTAAAAAACCAGTAACCGAAGAAGGCCAAAAAGAATCTATTGAAGTTACAATTAAACCAAAGAGAAAACCATCAATACAAAAAGATGAAGAATCTGACAAAATCACGGTAGAAAAGATAGAAGTTGTAGAATCTGATGAAAAACTTCCCTCGAAAAAAGGTGAAGAAGAAGAAAAGCCTAAGCGTAAACCATCGTTAAAGAAAGAAACTGATGACCAAAGCTCAACACCAGAGGAGTCATCGGTTATAGTAAAACGTCCTAAAAAGAAATCGATACCTAAAGAAGAAACTGAAATCGTTGAGATTGAAGATACTGATGATGATGTTACCTCTGTCACATACGTACCAAGGTCAAAAAAAATAGTGGAGAACATTGAACAAGAGTTTAATATACACTCTAATACTTATGAAGAAGAAAATATATCTATGTCAGGTAAAGTGAAAATTCCATCAAGAAAGCAATCCTCTTTAGAAACTGATGTTAATGTATCAGAGACTTTAGATGTTGTTTTGGATGATTCTGAGGTCCATAAAGATGACAAGGTAGAATATTTGGACAATGTAGAAGTTCGTCTAAATCGACCGAAACAAATCAAATCTAAGAATATAAACAAAGAAAGAACTTTTGATGAGACATCAATTACCTTAAGACATCCATTAAAAAGTGCTCATGAAGAACATGAAACTTTAGAACAAATTGATGCTGTTGAGCTTAAATTGAGATCTAAATCTCAGCCTTTTAATATAGAAGAAGGTCCTGATGAGCTATTTAATATAGATCTAAAACTAAAAAAAGAAGTTAAGAATAATTTAGTTATATGTGAAGAAGAATCATTGGATTTTAAAGTCAAACGAAAGCCGTCGATAAAATGTATTACTCAAGGTGTGTATTAATTATATTTAAGATATGTACTTATAATATTATTATTGGTTATCAAGTGAGAAATGTCAAATACTTACGACTTAAGTACATGACATTATATAAATTATGAGATATTATTTTCTTAATTTACATTTACAACTATATTTACAAATTAGTTTTGTAGAGCCGTACATCATATATAAATAGTTTAAACAAAATTCAACCAATTTAGGATTAAAAGCTGTTGAGTTACCATATATTTCCTATGATTTATTTTATTACGTTGTACAATACTTAATTTTTTTTTAGATGGAGCTGAATTGAACTTATTCCAAGAGAAATATGTATCAACCGATGGTATGATAGTACTACATTAGCATTGAAGCTTTTGCTGTATTCATTTGTACATGCTTGTCGCGCTTTTAACTTATAAAATCTAATAAATCGTTATGTATAATTATATTTTACTTTATAATTCCAAAGCCTAATTTTATGTTCTAGATGGTAATATGACCTGTTCTGAAAACCATGATGGAGAAGCTATGTTTGCAATACGTTCTTATATTGCTGAAAATGATGATGCACTAGATTTAGTAGAAGGCGAAAAAGTTCACGTCATTGGTATTATTTTATCATATTATATATGTATTACTAATTAATTGGATTGTTAATTAATTTAAATTTAAAGAGAGCAATAATCAAGAATGGTGGTTCGTAAAAAAACATTTAACTGAAGAAAAAGGCTGGGTTCCGTCTATATATCTCAGAGACGAAACTAGTTATATGCAATACGTACAAAAGAAACTACATGAAAAAATAGACAAACTGCCTATATTTCAAAGTAAGATTTATCTTTATTTATATTGTTACAGAAAATGTAATAATATGGTGATTATAACGTGTAGGACATTCTCTAAATGAAAAACCAACAGCTCCACGATTTATTGAAAAACTTCAACCTAAACACATACCTGACGGGGGTACAGTTCAGTTCCAATGTCATGTGGAAGGAAATCCTAGACCACAAATTACTTGGTTTAGACAAACGGCTATATTAAAGCCTTCGCAAGACTTCCAAGTACGTTGATATATTTTTTAATAATTTAATGGCGTAAAATAAATACTTTAATTTCTTCGACTCTAGATATTCTACGACGAAGACAATGTAGCAACACTGATAATTAGAGAAGTTTTCCCCGAAGATGCGGGTACATTTACTTGCGTTGCTAAAAATATTGCTGGTTTTGCTTCCAGCACTACAGAATTAACTGTCGAAGCGCCATTATCTGATCATGGATCTGATATTACCGGTCTTTCTAGAAAGAGCATGTCTAGGTAAACATTTTAGTGTTCCTTAATTTTTCGCTAATACTAATTCGTTTTATATTTTAGAGAATCTTCGTTAGCAGACATACTGGAAGGTATACCTCCGACGTTTTCACGTAAGCCAAAGGCCACATGCGCGAATGAAAACTCTGATGTTCTTCTCGAATGTCGATTAGTAGCTGTTCCAGAGCCAGATATCTTATGGCATTACAACGGCAATGAGATGTCTAGTACGTCATCTATTAAAGTAGAAACCTACTCCGATATGCACTTCTACGTTAGTTCAGTCAAAATTAGCAATGTTAAAAAAACACAAGAAGGAGTTTATTCGGTAGTGGCTAGGAACAGGGAAGGTGAAGCTAAAATGGATTTAGTATTGAAAGTTAAAACAGGACAGCCCGAGAAACCTCAAATATTAGAACCACTTTACGATATTACAATAAATGAAGGAGAAACTGCAATTTTAAGTACTCAAATAAGTGGAGAACCACAACCTACGATAGAGTGGCTTAAAAATAACAAACCCATTTCAAACATCAACACAGTAGTATCTAAAGATGGTGTTCACACTTTGACGATAAACAAACCAACGCCTCGTGATTCAGCAAAGTATACTGTCAATGCTTCAAACAAGCTCGGATCTGCTCAAACAACGTGTTTCCTGTCAATTGAAGGTAAAATCAAATAATTGTTTTTTTATTTCCTTACAGAAAAAATTATTCGCGTATAGCTTGTGGAATTAAAAAATAATAATCTGTTTTACAGAACTTCCTGGTCCACAAGCACCGTTATTCGTTGAAAGGTTCCAAGAGCAAACTGTAAAAGAAAATGGAACTATTACATTGATTGCGAGAGTTACTGGAAATCCAGTTCCGACCGTCTCGTGGTTTAGAAATAACAAACCTTTATTAGCATCTCCAAAAAAGAAGGAAGTATTTGACGGTGAAAATATCGTTTTAGAAATTTTGAATGCTGGTAGCGAAGATGATGCAGGCGATTACAAATGTGTTGCTACAAATACTTTTGGAACTGCTACACATGGAGCTCGTATATCAGTAGACGTTCCACTAGTGTAAGTGAAATTCTCAAAAAAATGGATAGATATATAGATAATTTGTTCTAGGTAGTTAATGACTAACAATTTACAGGACATTCTCTCGACCACTGAAGGAAGTGATAGAGGTTGATGAAAAGCAGTCAATATATTTGGAATGCGAAACATCGCATACTGTTACGACAAAGTGGTTATTGAATGGCAAAGAGCTTACTGGCATGGATCATAGAGAGTTGCATCAAGATGGACGAGTACATCGATTAGTTATTAAGAAATCAAGTATTCTCGATTCGGGCAAGTACACATGTACTGTCAAACACCACTCTACTTCCAGCACAGTAACAGTACATGATATACAAGCAGAGTTTGTAAAAAAACTTGAAGATGTCGAAGTAAAGGAAAATGAGTGTGCTATTTTGGAAGTAGAAATTTCCTCCGATACTGCTAATGTTACATGGCATAAGGTATTTTGATCATTTTACTAGCAATTTTTATAATGGACAATTTGTACAATAATATTTGCAATTAGCTTATAATATATATTAATATAATAAGTCTATCAGTATTTCTTAATTTGTATAATATATTTTTTTTTTTTGTGTTCTTCAACAATCATAGAATGGAGAAATGCTTACCGATGGCTTGAAAAACAAAGTGTTCTTCGAAAAAGATGGTCAAACACGTAAACTAGTCATAAGGAGTATCTCAGTGCATGACGACGGTGAATATACATGTTCCTTAGGTGATCAAGAATGTACTGCAGAAATAAATGTCATAGGTAATAAACTGTACATAATGTACAAATGACTATCAATTATACAGTGATTGATTTTTAAGTATCCACTCAATAAATCATACAATTTAATCAGCTGTTAAACTTTTTTAACTCCTTCTCAAGTTAATTATTTTTTATTAACTTTTGAAACTGGTAACATATACACTATACATTTTATTTACTCTTGTATTTTTATTTTACCTGTTTTAAATAATTATTTTTAAAGTTATTTAAGTTTAGGTTGGAAGAAATGTGTAGTGTAGTATTATATTTTTATCTGCGCGAATTACTCAAGATGTTTACTAACCAGTCAACATTTTTAGAAAATTATTCTAAATTTTTAAAGTTAATAAATAACATACATTACCACTTAAATTTCAAAAGTTTATATACGAATACTTAATTTGGGAGGGGTTTAAAAACTTAAAAGTTTGTGAAAAATTGAACTATCAATGTATATAAACACTATAAAAAATCATGTAAAAAAAATGTTCTAATTGAACCCTACGAGATATTGAGTGGACAACTTTAAAAAAAATTACTCTATACAAACATTAATAAATATATATGTAACTTTTACAGAATTAGCACCACAAATTATAACTAAACTGAAAGATCAGAAAGTTGCCACAGGAGAACAGGTGCTATTTGATATTGAATTGACAAAAGGAGATGCTCTGGTCAAATGGACCAAAGACGAAAAAGAATTACAGCTGAGTAATAATGTTAGATTGACTATTGATGGAAAAAGACAAAGATTGGAAATTGTTAAAGCGTCAAAGAGTGATTCTGGTATTTATGGTTGTCAAGTTCACGAACAAACCTGTAAAGCTAAACTAGTCGTTGAAGGTAATTAGTATTTATTTCTATTATTTTTTTTATTTGATTATTTAACATAATAACTGTTTGAATAGTTTACTATGAACACACTACACGATTAATTTTTTATTTATTAATTAGAAAATATTTGTTTTAGAACCGAAAGCGAGTTTTACAAAAAAATTACCAGATGTTACGCTCGCTGTTAATGGTACTGATATTAAACTACAAGTAGAGGTTTCAAATCCAGAAGTGTCAGTAAAATGGTTAAGGTAAAACAATTATTACTGTATTCAATGGAAATTAATCAAATAATAATTTAACATTTAATTTTTTTTAACCATATGTTTCAGGTCAGGAAAAGTTATAAAACAATCTGAAAAATATAATATAATTTCTGAAGGACAAGTTCACACACTCATCATTAAAAAAGCTACACGAGCTGATGAGTCCGAATACACGTGTACAGCAGTTAATGTCAAGACATCGACAAAATTAAAAGTTGAAGGTAGTGTTGATCAATACTTGACTTGATGTGACGTATATTTAATGTGCAAACAATTAAATTTCAGTCAAAGAAGAGCCACCTAAAGTTATTAATATAGTCAAAGAATATCGTTTAAAAAAAGATGAAGATTTAAGTGTTAACGTAACTTTTACTTCATCGACAGCAACCTCAGCAGAATGGTTTATCAACGAAACCCAATTAATAAAATCAAACAGAGTACTTGATATTTTTATTTTGCATATTATGTGCAAATTGTTCAGTACTAACTAAAACGTACATTTTTGCACACAGGTATCCTATTCGATTGCTGAATCGTCAGCCAGTCTTAACATTAAAAAGATAAGCGAGTTGGACACGGGTAAACTCATTATAAAATTAAAGAACGATTATGGGGAAACTGTCGAAGATATTACCGTCAACGTGATCGGTAAATTAAACAACTACCGAATTTTAATATTAACAATGTTTAAGTATAATCATGACTTAAAAAAAAAAACAATTTTATTCAATTTTAGAAGTCCCTGGAGAACCTGGCGTACCGGATGTTATTGAGATCACAAATACTTCAGTAACACTCCATTGGAAGCCACCACAGTTCGACGGGAACTCACCAATCGAATGCTATATAATAGAATATCACGACAAAGACGAATTCATGGTGTAAGTAAATGATAATTTGTAATAATGTGTTTTATTTTTCACAACTCTAATGATTTAATATTATAAAATCCAAGGTGGAATAAAATAGAAGTCACAGACACCACACATGAAGTTACTGGACTGCCAACTGGGCATGAAATCATGTTTAAAGTGGCGGCTAAAAATTGCGCTGGTGTGGGACCAACCTCACACAATACAAGATACGTACAAATTATCAGTATGGGTTCATTTTCTCCCCCTGTAATTCAAGAACCCCTATCAGATTCATCAATCGGTTTGGGCAAACCGGCCACTCTTCAGTGTGTCATCACTGGACAGCCTATACCTGAAATAAAATGGTTAGTGTAAAACAACACAAATAACACGTTGTTAATACATTTTAAGAAATAATAATTGAATGATAGTTGTACGCCATTGATAAAATAATATTTTTGAGGAACAGTAATTTTAATACCAAACAACAAGAACACAGAAACCCATTTTCAAGTTTCAAAAGGGTGAAATTGCTGTTATTTTTGTTTTAAAGTTTAATGATGTTGAAAATTAATAGTGGTAAACATTTAGATTTTTGTATACAAGAAACGGAGTTACGTATTCTATTTAAACTTGTTTGGGAGTGTCTTTTGAAACAACTTTATACGTTTATTTTTTATGAACATTTTTATGTGTGTTTGATAATACATTTTTTTATAGGCTTAAAAATGGCACTGTACTAAAAACTAAGGCGACTACGTTCGAAAATCACTTGGCCAAGCTAACGATTAGCGAGTGCGTTGAATCATCTGCGGGTACTTACACGTGTCAAGCGACTAATGGTGCTGGTACGGCTGAGACCTCGTGCAAGTTAAGCGTACAAGACGTGCCTAAAATCCAAGTCAACGAATCGGATACTTCGCAAATGATTAGGGTGCGAAACCAATGGAAGGTCACAGCCAAATACACAGGGTACCCGAAACCGACTGTAGTGTGGCACAAAAACGGACAACCATTAGAGATGCCAAACAAACACGTGAGCATTTACGACGACTTGGACGATTGGTCAACAACAATAGCCATTTATTCAGTGGAAAGGCCAGACACTGGTGTTTACACGGTAACAGCGTCCAATTCTGCCGGCACAACCACTTGTAATTTGAACCTGAAAGTCATCGGTAAGTGATATAATTCCTTGCATAATCGACCTTAAAACGGCCTACAGCCCGCGGCTATAGTGTAGCCGCTTTTATTGTATTATTTTAAAGTTCGTTTTTTTTTATATTATGTTTAGAATCAGTTAAGGACGGTAAGGGATTTAAGTTCACTGTAAATTTGGTAAAACGTTTTCGTACCCTGTGCGAATCCTTTTTATTTTCAACCGCATTTCCGATTAATGGCACCGTTTTTTTATTTCCCTATATGTTTTAACTGTGATTCCGACTGAAATCGAAAAACCTCACTCGTTTTGTAATAGACCAGTATTTAATATAATATTGTAACGATATTCGCAGATAAACCAAGTGCGCCACGAGGTCCTATGCGCATCAAAGAGATCAACTCGGATTCGGTGACTATTGGATGGGACAAGCCAGCGGATGACGGTGGCTTGGATATAACGGCATATCAGTTGGAACGATGCAATGTGGGTAAGATGATCTGGTCTAAGGTAGCAGACGTCGGTCAAGATGTGTCAGCCTACAGTGTTCAAAAGTTACACGAAGATTCTGAGTATATGTTTAGAGTGAGCGCCCAGAATGCAGTTGGAACTTCAGAGTTCTTACAAAGCGAATCGGTCACGGTGAAATGCAAATACCGTAAGTACAGTAAACATTTGGTTTTATAATTATTTTTCAAAAATATCCAAGTATGTATCATCAGATATGCGAGATATGTAAAAAACTGACAAAGTATGACGAATGACACGAGTTGAACGTGAAAAATACAGCAGAAGTATAAAAAAAAAAAAAATTTTGTTCTTGTAGAAGGAAAAATGTGTATAACACTTAAGCTAAGTCTGTAAAGATGTATAGAAGAGATTTAGGCATTGAAAAAAAACGATGAGAGTATAACGAAATTGGCTGAAATGAGAATGGTGCAATTGAATTGTGTAGTTGTAAATTAGATGCAAATATGAGGAAGTAAATCGAAACTCGAGCTAGAAGCAATGGCAATGACTAAGAAAAGACAAATCTGTCTAATCAAACTTATTTAACCATTTTGAGAGTTGCAATAAGCTTAAAAAAATTAAAATGTCAGAAAATCAATATGATAGTTTGCGAGAATATAAATCAGGAATAGTGGGTTGCTTAAAATTATTATAATATTTATCATTCGAAACAATGTGACAACCTCTCTAAAAAAAAAGTAACGATTATGCAAAAAAAGAAAGAGTTTGTGTTTCTTATAATAATTGTTTGAGACAAAGCAAATGTGATAAAAAAAAAAACAATAAATATCCATTTTTTTATGTTTTTTTTTCGTCTTTACAACATACTAACTTAAACTAATCTGAGTATTTTCCTAAAGCAATTGATAATTAACTCAAAATTGTATCCCGTCGTAATAGATAAGCCATCGGCACCACAAGGTCCACTGAAGATTACTGGTGTCACGGACACGTCTTTAACAGTCACATGGTTACCGCCATTTGACAACGGTGGCATAGCTATTGAAGATTATTGCGTAGAGATCAAAGAGATCGATAAAAAAGCTTGGCAGAAGGTAATATTATATTATTATTAATTCCTTTTCCTATAAACGAATAATAGATGCCTGCCAGAAAATAAATTATAATTTTAAACGGTATTCGTTTAGATCGCTTCTACCAAAGAATTGCGTATGAAAATATCCGATCTGAAAAAAGGCTCGTCTTATAACATTAGAATAACAGCCAGGAATCATGTAGGTTATGGAAAACCTTACATACCGGATGAGCCAATTGTTGCTGGAAAACGCATAAGTAAGAAATTACGACGTGCACATAATATTGTATATCGTAAGACGCAATAATGATTGCGCTTTGTCGTTGTTAATTAGACGTTACTAGCGCTTTAACGCTTTTGCTTTTAACAATATGCTTTACTATAGGTTTTAAGGGAGGTATTTCCGACGAAACGCTATACGTGCTTATGGGAATTTTCCCAACAAAATCAAAAGCTACTGGTAAGTCGAATAGCCGCTTCATGATGATTTTAAAACAACAATACCTAAAACGAAATATGACAAGTTTTTGGAGACAATGTCATGTCCTTTTTTGATAACTTAATATTTAACATTTAAAATCACTTTTTTTACTTTTTTTAAATAAATATAGCTCTTTTTCAAGTTATTATTTTTCAAAATCTAATATGACACAGTCTCCAAAATATTGTTATCTTTCGATTTTTTAATATGTGTTTTTACCCTAAATCAACCATGGACCTAGTAAAACGCAATTTGAATAGTTATGTTTAGATGAAAAATATATTTAAATTCGCTGACAATGATTCTGTGATATTCCGAAAAAAAAATTTAATCCAAAGAAAAGTTCTAGTTAATAAAAAAAATTAAGGATAATTTGACATATTTTTAGGTAATAATTAAATTACACATAAAATAATATAAAATAAAAAACATACTTACAATTTTTAGGGACTTGAGGTATGCAATAAAAATGTCTACATTTTATAAGAATATAGATTGCCTATCGTAACCCCTTTAGATTACATGTACAATTTATGTTAATAGAAAATAATATTTATTTAATATTGTCTTGTTTAAAATTCAAGTGGGGAACAGAATTGCCGCATTTTTTTTTTGTCTTACCATTTTTATTTTACTTAACATAATATTTATTTGTTCATTAGTATCCTATTTTATAAATAATTTCGCATTAACACTGGTTACTTCGCTTCCATTTAATAAAAGTTTATAATACTGATCATTTAATTTCAGCGCCTCCATCCCCGCCAACTAATTTCACGGTGACCGAAATCGCAAGTAAGAGTGTAACTCTTAGCTGGGGTCCACCTGAAAGTAACGGAGGCTCAGAGATTACAGGTATGATTACGGAGATACATTAAGTTTATAACACTAATCATTTCATAAATAATGTCAGTTTTGGCAGTTATAGCAGGACCAACTGCATGAACATACTATGCCTAAAAAATATTTTTGACTAAAATTTGTAGTATTATTACATCAGCATTCAATAAAATAAAAAAGGAGTCATAAGACTACGCTCGTTTACAAATTAAAACAGCTTAACATTTAATTGAACAAAAAATATCATTTTTAGGCTATGTGATCGAAAAACAATTAAACACGACCAACAAGTGGTTCAAGGTAGCGACTTTAGAACCTTCCACTTCACATTATTGCGTGGAAAACTTAAAAGATAAATCAGAATACTTCTTCAAGATTTATGCCGAAAATTCAATAGGACTCAGTCAACCGGTCGAATCGAAATTGATTAGCTTATTGACTCATGCGAGTAAGTTTTGTTGTATTGTTTTTAAACATACATATTAGCCTTTAGGCGATTAACCTAAAAGTGATTTGAATTTTAATAATGCCGAGGAACCTTTTATACTATGCTTTTTTTTTATAAATATCCAATTCAAATGTGATAAAATAACTAAATAACCGTACTTTACTAGCTGTACCGTCACCGCCGACTGCACCGTTGGAAGTGCGCAACATCAGCACTAACACTGTGATCGTTGAATGGGGTGTACCAGAAACTGATGGAGGAGCACCTCTTAAAGGATACAACGTGGCCATCCGAGACGAAAAGAAAACCATGTGGATGGAAGTCGGCCGTGTCAACGCGGACACACAAAAATACAACATCAAAGACTTACAAGTAACGATTTTTCGGCATATAATCCAGCCTCCAGACTTTGAACTAACGATACTGTTGTTGTTTTTGTTGTCCTATAGGAACACCATAGGTATTGCATAAGGATATTTGCCAAAAACGAAGTTGGTCTGAGCGACCCGCTGGAAACCGAAGAGCCATACTGCGTAGAAAAATCAACAGGTATACAGTACTTATATTTATCTATCTTCTTCTTTCTCATCTTATCCACCATACTTTTAAACCTATAGGTAACAGATAAACAAATAAAATTTTGTTTCTGTGTTTTTCTATAGACTTAGATGAATCGGACGTCGAAGAATCCATTATGGATACAAAACCGTCGTTGACCCAAACATCGGACACGACCACGTCTTGGTTAAGAGAAGCCAACATGGACGCTGACATATCGTCCTACTCGAACATGTCCTTACTGAAGAGGAACGAATACTTCTTCAAAGTTTGGTACTACGCGAAGCAACTGTTCAAGTAATTGCAAAACGGTAATTTGCAGTAAAAAAAAAAATGTATTATCATTATCACCTGTACTTATAATATATAAACGCATACAAAATACGAATGCGGCATGAGAGCGTTTCGTTTTGTCATTCCCTGAGTCAAAATGAGATGTTTTCCCTCCAATTTCATATTTTCGTTGTTGTTTAACTGTGATTGTGATACATCGATTAATTATTTACCATTTTATTTTATTTTTTGTATTTAGTTTATTTACCCTCCCTCTCCCCGCCCCCCCCCCCCATTAGCCACTTCCCGGTAGTTTTAATTACTTTATCATATATAGATATTTATATTATATTTTGATTGACATAAAAATAGGGTGGTAACTCGTTTTTTTAAAATTATAAATATAAATATAAATTGTTTTTTGTTAGTTGTAAGATATACCTTAATTAAAATTAAATTAAGCTAACATGATAAAGTTATTTTATTGTTTAAACTCCCTGTTATATTAGTATTAAGAAATTGTTGTCTAAATAAATATATATTTTTGTAAAAATAACCAAAAGTCTCTTTCATTATGAACGTGCAAATGGAAACCTGTGATATTTTACTATGACGCCCTTCTAGTAAATAATAATATAAAAATTTGAGCGATATTAACTAATTAGAGATTGCAGTTTAATTAGTTTTATAATATTTTATATTTTAAAAAAAAATGTGAAAAAAAAAATTTCCAAAAATATGATATTTTAAACCTAACATGACAGTTGGCCGCAATTGACACGCAATTGTATCGTTATGATACAATATTATTAAATAATAAAAAAAAAATATACAAAAATTGCTTAAAACCTTAGATGATTATTAAAGTCAGCTAAGTAAGTAAGTAAGTAGTAAGTTGTTATCAATTTCCCTAATAAACTGAATGTATTATTTAGAACTCGAGAGTGATATGGACTTTATGAGTTTTAAAATTTGAGTTAAATAATAGACACATAACATTTTCTGGTATATGTTTTATTTTAGGTATAGCTCAATAAATACATGGACACACAATATCATCATTATTATAATAATTGTAAAATATACAATCTGCCGAATTTTAATAATTTAGCTGATAACAGTTAAATAAACATAACTAAAGTAACATAAAAACACAACACTGACACAATATTCTTTGAGTTAAAACTTAAAAGTAAATTTTAAATTTATTTTGTTCTTTTAATTTTTTAGGTAGGTACATACTATTTTATAATTCCATTCCAAAAGAAGCTAATAATAAATAATCTTTCTAGGAAACATATTATAAGAGAACAAGAAAAAAAATAGTTATATTCCTCAATGTAGTATTCACTTTTTGTGAGTAGAAGTGCGTCTAATGTGAAGCAAATGACAAAATAATAGAACGTTACGTGAAAACTAACATTAAAAATAAGTCGAACTAAAATACACTAATGACATTTAATTTGAATGACTGCGGATACAAATTTGGTTTAACTCGTTTGTGAAAAAAAAAGTCTTTCAACGCGGTACGTACTTTTTCCCGTCATTACAATAGCTAACAATTTATTTATAAGATATTATATTTATTATAAAATTTTCTTATTTTAACATAAAATGATTGCAACTATTTTGTAAATCGAATTATCGTGTCCTTGTTTTTAACAAAATCTACCCAATTATATACGTGATACGTGTAACAATACAAATAATAGTATTTTTTTTTAACTTATGTTTTTTATGGTAAAGTCTTATTAACTTACACACAAACTTTATAATATCGGATTTCCTACGATTGTCCGATGAAAATATAATATAGTAAGATATCACGTGCAACCGACTCAACTGCACTACCTGAATTTATTGTAAATAGCCAATAAAAAATGTTTGGTATAACAAGGTAGATCTTAAATTCTACCAGAGCGTAACTCCGTAGAACCTAGATTGAAATTCAAGAATTGTGGTAATAATTATTATGTTCCCAATGAAATCAATATACTCAAAATAATATTTCATTTTTGTTGTGGTTTCTAGTTACAGAATGGTTTTTATACGGGTACTGTAATGATCATATGTTTGCAAATATTTAAATGTATATGATTTATAAAATTATGTATGGTATGTATTATTATTTATTTAAATACTTAGTTTTAAGTAGGTTAAATAATTTATGTTATTGATCTTTGTAAAAAGATTTCATAATTTAATTTCATCATGTTTTATCAGTTGTCTTTTTTGTTTTAAAGTAAAACTCTTTTTTCGTTGGTTATTCTATGACTTCACACTATAAACAGTATAGAGGGGAACGGAAACACTGTATAATTAATTGAAACGGCTTTGAAGTAATGTTCATAACAGGAAATAACAATAACATGAACTACAGCCGACCATTTTTTTGTTTAGCAGTTAGCCATACGACCGGTGGTATTAAATCTATTTGGATTGGTTCAGGCCTTTATCGGTAAACACAACTAATTTTAAAAACTATTTTTCAAAACTCTTTTATCGACTGATCAACATTTTCAGCCAATGATATATAATTTTAAAAATTAGGATAACATAACACATGTATTACCATTTAAAAATATTAAGTTCTTAACACATTAAGGATAAGACTATAGTTCTGAAAAGTCTTACGAACTTGGGTTGCCTATTAACTACAAATCCAAATTAACTATGCCTATAAACTATAAGCCTAATATGAAAAGAATATTTTAAAAAAGCCTGATAACATTAAAGATATTGCCTGGGTCATAGTTAACCAATCACCCTGTACTTTATTGGAGCCGGTTTTGAAATCGTCTAAAAACATAAGTTATAAACACTTGAATAAACAGCTACTTGAGTTTTATTGGTGTAATGTTATGGTGTTTTTCTGACAATTTTAAGACTATGGATTTGTGTAGGTATACAAACTACAACAATCCGACTACTAAAGATACCGACATTATCTTAAGTACGGTCTATCGTTTAGGTATTCAAATCCAAAGGCTCAGTAGACTTTAGATTTGAATATCGATACTATAGTACGTAGTTTAAACCGAAACAAGAACAATTTGAACGGATTTCATCGTGTCTGATTTATACAATTATAAACCAGATATGATGAAATCCGTTTGATTTGTTTTCGTTTCGTAAGTACTGCTGACAGTTTTTTTCGGGTAAGACACGTTATTTACAAATTTGCTTTGCAGTTTGCTTAGATATTTTTTACTCTAATTAAGCTACCAGAGAAGTAATGTAAAACTTTTGCTTAAAACAAATTAATGACGCGGTATGTAACTCATTTTACAGATATAAACGTACACGAAATTGGTGATAATGTTATGTTTCTTCATAATCGTAAATTCGTAAATATTTTACAAATTAAATATTACCTACATCAATGTACCTACAACACAAACCAAAATGTATACAATTTTATATATTGTAAGTTGTATTAGGTACATAACTTATAATATTAATAATAGTATTACATTTTTTATTTAATACTTGAGAATTTTAGTTTCAAAAATTTCAATAATGTATACAAACAAATACCTAAATGCAATTTTAAATTTGAATCTTATTTTGTTATTATTCTTTTTAGACCACCCGATTTATGTCAAGTATAATGGTATACAATTTTCTTATTTTTTGTAAAATTTGCGTTGTATTTACTTTGTCTGTTTATGTCTTTCTTGCAATGTCTTATTGTTTATCGTATGTCTTATTATGATCAAAGTAGTATGCTGTGTCATCTGACATCCCTCAGTTTGGGCAGCTCGCTTAATTTTTTTAAATAACGTTTTTTTTACATATTTACAATAACAGTAAAATTATATTTTTTATAGGAAATAATTTGGGCTTCAGAGGTATGTGTTTTTTATTATGTAAAAATGTATTTCTTCTATAAAATACTAGTTTAATTAATTAATTTAAGTTAAGAGTTCATTGGCAAGAGTGCATTTACTATTAAGAATATAATTTATGTGTCATTTAATATAGTGGTTTTCGAAACACGTCACAACTAAAATTAAATGCCAAATGAGCACATACTTTGTTTAAAGGAAGCAGATGTTATTTTTTTGCAAGACTTATCTGTTCAGTTGATTGTAATTGTTTTAACTGCGTAATACATTTACATATTCAAAGACCAAAGAGTAAATTTACAAAAGTTTTGTTACGGCTTTTGAATTTCAATACTCTAAAAACAATACGGTAAAATTACTGTAAAATCGTTACCAAGCTTTGTATAGTCTTAGTTAAATTTACTAAGTATTCATACAAATTATATTTTATAAAAAACCTTGAAGACAAACTTATGTTCAGTACATACAAAATCCAAGTACCTAGATTATTTTACTACTTTGTGTATACTGTGTAGTAGGTAGGTACCTATTATTTTCAGAATTTACAACTTTAGCACAATTATTTTTGTAGTAATTATTACAAACCGTACATTATTGTCTGTATTAACATAATTATATTATTGGCATCCACAATGGAAGAAGGTAGGACAGGGGAGAAAACTACAATACTGTCATTTTAATGTAGCCGGAAAAATTCTAAAAATTAATTGTATTGATAGTATTTTATTTCAAAATAATTGTTTTATTAACTTATTTAATCTTGTAACACTTTTATGCTAAAAACAATGATTGTTTTACATAAAAAAAATCCAAAATCCGTTTCCTATATAACCTATTAAAGTAGCCAAACAACTCGTATATCCTTACAGAATTGAAATCAGACCATAAGAAGTATTCGATATTTTGTCAGGCTTTTAAGCCTTATACGTCAAAAAAACAGACTACTCTCAGTCCCCTTTACAGGCAAAAATTATGCATGCATTATAATACTGTCAATACCTTAAATATCACATTATACATTATACAATAACAGTACTATACATATATTTTGTAGGATTATTTCCTGAATCAATATGGTAGGATCAAAATCATCAGGAAAAATATCGTAGCATCCTCGTGAGTTGTGTACACATGTAAATATTGACCACTGAAAATCAAGTCGATGGCAAATGTGGACATTTTGCATTTTGCGCCTACGGGAAAACTCTTATAATTTGTATAATATTGTGCTTATTTTAGTCGGTATTGTTTTCGCGCGTGAATTGCGATGCAGTTAATATAGCGGTTTTAGACGGTACCTATAGGCAAACAAATTCCTACTGTGATCGGTTTGATAATTTTTCAAAGACGTGATTCTCATGGGTAATTAAAAATATATTAATATTATAGAACGACACGGGAACTCAATAATAATAATGGCATTGTTGTTGTTGTGGTGGGCAGTAAACTGTAAAAACAGTCGGCTGTGCGTTTGAACTTGACCTCGCCACTCGCCACTCGCCCACGGCCGACCGGGTAGACCTGTCCGCTAGAGAGCGCGGCTGGCCGTAAACTTGCGCGGACGACGCCGGCCGAAAAAGCTTGCCGGTCCCGGCCGGCAGACGTACCGTGCGTGCCCGACCGCCCGAACGTGTCATTACGCGTAGAGCCTATCGAATACAGTACCCGTGTATTGTTATTACTGTTATCATACTGTTATTATCGCCGCCGGATCGTGTCGTTTCCGTGATTGTACCTACCGGGTTCGCGTGCGTTTGCAAAGCGTAATGCCCGTCGGTGACCGAGCCGAATAGCAGATTTGTACCCACACGGCAATAATATCGTCATTAACAACAGTAATTATACTATCGTTCTTTTTGACTGCGATTCGTGCGACCGTTTTATCGAGACGCGCCGGCAACCGACGACACGACCATGCGATAACGCGGCACGATGATCATCGTTTCGAATCAGGTAAGCCGGCGCACAATATTGACCGCTTTGTAGTATTGCGTAGTATTTTCGAGTTGCGGCGTTGGTCATTTTTTTTTTTTTTCATCCGATGCCGGCAAGTACGTGTAATAATTATTATGTAGGCGGTTTATGCGGGTGACGGCGACTCTCCTCGCGCTCGACCTGGGACCGCGGGCGGGGGCGAGGGTAATCGATCGGCGGCCGCCACCCGGCGATCCGTGGGTTCGCAGCTGCAGAAATTCGCCCTCGTGTTCGCCACGTGATAGTACGGCGGTTGTACGCGCGCGATGCACGCGGAAACGCCATCGTCATAGTAACGGTCGGTCTTCGCGGTCCAGACGGATGTTGTGTCCGGATTTAACCATTTAGGGGTTGTCGGCCGCGGCCGCCGACGGGTGCAATCAACAACGTCAACAACGAATGGCCGTCGGCACACTATTGTTTTGTCTACGTTACGTAGACGTAAATGCGGTTGCCGGTCGACGTTGGCCGTTGTCTGCCACTCGGGTTACTCACAATGTACGTTGGCTTTTGTACGGATTCGGTCTTGAGAAAGCGTTACGGATAAAAAAAAACGCAGTTGTGGGCATGTAATAAAAAAAAAATTGATGTATTAAATTTTGTACGTATACATTTTTTGAAGTTTCGGCTACAGTATTACATGTTTGTAAATCTATAAACGGTTCCATCTTTACCCTAAGGGCACGTGGGGCACGAGCCCTGGTACCCCGGTCTGATGGAGCTCTGATTATTTTAATTTACATGTGTACTTTTTTTATGGTTTTCTTAAAGAGCCGCCTAAATCCGTGTGCCCAAGGGCCCATAAATAGACTAAGACGGCCCTGTTCATGAACACATAAATAATAGTATAGGATCGGGTGGGGTAATTTACTGATTTAAATGCGATTTGTCTTCTAGAAAAAACTCAAGACAACTGATTCGTATTTTTTTAAAAAAAATGTTCCTGTTTGTTTATATTTCCCCCGTTTGATCTTTATCAAACTGCATATTTGTGGGTAGTAAGACTTATTATGCATTTATTTACAGTTTTTATACAATTTTATTTGTTCTAATCTGTAATTTCGAAACATGAAGAATGAGCTTATCTAGTTATGTTTATGGCCCAACCTAGGAACTTGTATTAGAATTTAACCCAGATTAATAATACACTTGCCTTAGGTAAACGTTGCTCAGCAACTCATTGTTAGGCTCCGGTATATTTCCAAGTATAGAGTAATGGGTAAAATTATATTTTTATTAACAACACATTTCCATACTTAATGGGTCTACGATTTCCAATCGTATTTTAGCTATTTGTTTTAGCGTTTTAAACTAAAATTACAACAACCATAATATATTTTATGTTATTACTTGTTTGGGAAAAATTTGAGTATCCCACGACCTGTATACATTTTGATTATTATATAAATTATGGTAATTTAAAATCATAAATTTAAAAAGAAAACCTTAGTATACTAACGTCATCATAATATATATATATATATTATAAACCAAGGCACGGTTGAAATAATTTGTCTAACTTTTCCTGTCTAAGCTACTACCAATTTGTAATTGTATTTTTGTACGCAGATCGTTTGTCTCAGATTTGCCCATCACCTATGACGACGATTCTCAACTCGTTTTTTTATTTTTTCAAAAACGTCACATTATCATGTATTAAAATTCTCGACGGGTATAATGATAGTTGCGCAGCATTGTCGACGTTCCGGTTTTTTTTGTTACCTACATTTAAATTAACTCTGCCCTTCGGTGCGGTAAAAATTACATACTGTAATGATTGCGTTTCATTTCAATGGCTGAAATCCGAATTGGCAACGCTTGCGCGTCCGTTAAAGTTTGATATTATTATAATTATGACCAGTTATCGTTATTATTTCTGTGATTAATATTTTTAAAAAATTCTGCATCTCGCCCAACAATAAGACGGCCGTAGAATCGAATTATGGCCACGACGAATCAAAACTAGCTGACGTATCGCTGCGATTGGACATAAGTCCACAATATTTTGATATAGTTGTTGAGTTGCCGGAAGTTCCGTTTTTCTTATTGACAGCTAATCTCGCACGTAACACGATTAGCAAGGTCGCAAAGTCACACGCGTTATGTTCCAACGGTATTGCCAGACTGTTAAAACAACTGCTGCAAAATTATACATTAGTAGTTTTGTTTAGTATTGTTAACGCTCTATGCGTTGTTTAAGTATATAATCATTTTTTTTTTTTTTTGTAAATCCGCATTGTATACGTCTTGTGAGCTGTGACACGACCACGACGGTGACAATGCGTTATTTTTGCGTTTGATTTTTTCTTCTTCTTCTTGGTGCCATCTTAAAATCTGCCGTGCCGATATGACGATTAATCATTATTGTTTACACGGTTTACAGTTTATTATTATTATGAGCTACGTGGGTGCCAAACCGGCGATTGCTTGTCGCCTACGTCGTTTTTAGACCGAGAAACGCTACAAAAAAAAAAAAATTATTAACTGTGAGGAAAAATTGTTTTATAAACTTGGGCGACGCAACGTCTTAGCGCATTGCCGGAGAAACGATTTGTGCTTCTCTACCTAAAATTTGCCATAGAAAACCCAAATACCTACTCATACGTCTAATATTCTAAGTCTACTCGCGTTATAATTTTTCTAATAGTTTATTACATGCGAGCTCCTGCGTGTGCGTTTTATAACAAATTTTCAGCTTTGACGCAAAACTAAGAAGATGCGTTTATTGTTACTTTCAGACGGTTTATAAAAAGAGCCATACACCTAAAATTTAATATGAAAAACGCGTGTAATTTTCAATAATTATACTCACAACACTGCCTAGAACACTGCCTACAGGCAATCGACGTATTAATAAATATATTTATCACGCCTAACTGTATGTAAACTGGACCGACTTACGAACGGCGTTGTGTCGTAGTAGCGTTCTTTCGTGAAATGTGTTTGTAATTAATTTTTTTTTTTTTTTACATTATATATTTATACACCGAGACCGGAATTAAAACCTACTCCGAGAAAAAAAAGGGTGGACGGTCATATTTTTAGAACGCCGAGATTAAACGGTCGGGTTGAGTCGCGTTGGAACTATAACGCATAACCTCGCGTGTCTTAAGGCATGCGGGTGAGTTTTGTTAGCGACGGCAAAAAGGAAAAAAATAAAAAGTGAAAGCAAACAATGTGTAAAAAAAAAATTATAACCATATTGGCGGCACGGCTAAGCGAATTCCGATCAGTTAAATTTGTACAATATACACCACTCGTGTCGGTGGAGATAATATTATTATAAGTAATGCCTACCTAGTGTTTTTTTTTTTTTTGTTATTATTTAAACCGTTGTCGGCGTTCCAGTAATTTGTGTTAACCTTAAGACGACTATTCGTCACGGACACCCGAGAAAATTATTCCTTGTCCAAACACGACACTGTATACAACACTTTTATTCCTGTGGATTAATTTTTCATCATAATAATAATATAATATTTTGGTTTTGGCCGACGCCGCCACGTTAACGTTTTTTCGACACCTTCGGCGCTGGTCGTTATCCATATTTTATTTTGAATTTTTTTTTTTTTTTGACCTAATTTCCAACTACCAGCAAAATGGGTAATTAATCTAATTAAACGCAACAGACGTCGAGCTCTCTACATGGTCAATTGAAACAATATACTATTATTATACCGCCTAGCGTAACGAACCGCCATAAGTTCTTCCTCTAGTATTAATATATTCAATCCTCGTTACCGGTCTGGCCCGATACACATCCACTGAAACATTAATAATTATTTTACCCTCAATGTTCGCAGGTCAACCGATCCGTGTTTTGAAAATGTCGATTAATATTTATGAGCGCTATTATTGTTAACCAAAAAAAAAAAAAATTAAAAAAATGAACAGCGTTCGACTTTCTCTTAAAAGCTATAACAATGATCTACACAGCTATTGAAATGTTTCCGGCGAGTACCTAATAACAATAATAATAATGAAGTCGACGCCATCACTGTTGGCATAATAAAATTACTGTATAATGGCCTCGGATTCAAATCGATAAACATTCGGCATTTAGGTTAGGTGGGACAAATGACTTCTATCGTTAACCGAATAATATCGTCGGGTACGATGAAGCTTTATAAAATACAGTTGAGAACTTTCATGGTGTGCGTAATTAAGCCTGTTTGTATATCGATTCTCCTTGGGCTGTGACTGATAAATCTAGTTCAAAGCAAACAATAATAACAACAACCAAGAAATCGGTATCCGACAGCGTGTGTCAGAACAAAGACAATTCAGTATAAACCCTAGCACACGTCCTGGCTAATGTGCATTAGCTGGCTTATATTATATATTTACATTATCCAACCGTGTTTATAAATAGTTTTAACCCTCTTTGTTTGTATTTTTCCGTTGAACATAAATAACGCAGACGCTATAAAGTCTAAGCTCGGTCAGCTCATTTCGGTGTCTTCGGGGAAAAACGTTGGCTGCCGGACGGTTAACAATTCTGTTGGCGTAGTGCACCTGTGGCTTTGCTCGGTCGAGCGACGATTTTAGCATGAACAACAGTCATAAAATAAAATATGTAAGCAGTAACGGGAAAATCGCGAAAAACAAAATTCTCCGTCGACCAGGTCGGATTTACCTACTTTATTGTTGCTCAAAAAACATCCGTCTGAAAAACTAAACATAGAAAATATAAATTAAAAAAATAACAGCGGAACATTAAGCGCAAATAAGATTATCTCACTATACGGGAATAGGTACATCTGATTATTAATTATTTATTTTTCAAAACGATTATTTCAATTATTGTGTTCAAGTCATTTTGCTGGTGATAAGAGTTTCCCGGGACAGTAGTTTATGCTATATTTACGCACATGTTACTCGACATCTCTACGTCAACATAACTCATAATGTTAATTAGTTGCCATTCTATGTGTGTGTGTAATAAAAATAATTATTACATTTCCTATGTCCGAATTATA